TATTGCAGCAAAATCCAACCGTGCGACTCCAGACGGTTACTAACTGCTCGGGCAGAATCCTCGCCACTGCTGCTGCCTAATGCTGTCTGCCCTGACGGTCCAGATGCTCCGTAACAGTGCGCGACCCTTCGTGTCATTCCGCCTCTTCGTCTTCAGCATCGGTGCTGTGTGACTCGATTGCTGCTGTCAGGAGTGCACAGTGTTCTTCTCAATTTACTATTCGTAACAGAGCGTATACCCGAAATACGGGTTAAGGGCCAAATCAGCCTGTAAGGAAACAGGCTGGCCTCAAAGCCAGCCATGAAAATGGCTGAGATGAGCCCAAGACAACACTTGAATTTCAGAGTAAAAAGTGCAAATGCACTTTAGCGACAGGCCTCGTTGAGATATTCCTTACAAAGCAGTGAATTATTTGTAGATAGCCAATTGTGATGGCTGGTTTTGTGTTTCCAGGGTGTGCAAAATAATGCCAGAATACTTTTGATTGTTCAACGTATTGTAGCACACACAATGAAATGCTATATGTCACTAATATATATATTAGTGCTATGTGTCAAGTGAGTGGTGAGGGAAAGAGAACACGTTTTTTTTTAGATGCAATGATACACGATAGGAAATGTACGAAGCGCCGGCAGTTGTAACTTAGAACCCATTTTCATGCAAGCCTCTACAGGCCTTTCGTACTACACTAAGCTTGACCAATTACACTCCAATATGTACGTGTACAGTACGTGTGGCCATTTCCCATTTTGAATCGTTATGGAGTGAGTGTTTCTCCGCATACACTCTGCAAGGAATGCTGTGTGTAAAGTTTCACATTTCGCCAGCAGCAAGCACATCTGTAGGAGGTTCTGTTGTGACGACGATACAGTACAGTTTCAGTGGGCAGCCAAGGCACCATCCCAAAATTCGGGTCAGCGACACACTGAGCGAATATGCTGCTCGATTTGATAAGATGTTTGTTCATGAGATAAGGTGTTTGTTCATGGAGAAACAAACAAAGGACGATGTTTGTTTCTGTACGAAATTGTTCTGAACGGTACCCCAATCCCGCTCAATGTGGCGTAAGCTCCGCACGTCTGGTCCCTCCCATCAGAGTCCCCATCCGTCACGCTTGAAACGCAACTGCCGCCGAAATAGGTTACACAAGGATAGCGCCGGCTTCAGCATTTTCAACCACACGACGCGTGCGTGAACCCTTACAGATCGATAAGGTTCACGGCAATTCATGTCAGTCCCAGCCAGGCTTCCCTCCTACAGTAAGCTTGACCGCTCCCAAAAGCGCTATTGCCCAAGCGATCGAGTGAGTGTCTCTTTCGGACGCTAAACACTGGCGAGACACTCGCATTTCGCCAGAAGCAACCACACCGAGTCCGATCCCAGTCCCCCCCCCACCTCCCATCCTCACCACGTTTGAAACGCATCCGCCGACGAGATACTGTAGGTTGCATCAAAGGACAGACACGAAGCCCCACTATTCAGTGAAGCCAAAACAGTACATTGTATGCCTTTCGGGACAAAACGGTCGTTTTTGGTGTAGGAATGGTGGGGAGGGTACTGTATTCAGCGTTGCGTGGTGCGGGCAGTGCCCGCAACTCAAAGGTTTTAAAAAAATGCCAAAAATGTTTGGCCGTCGTTCTATGAGTAAATTGAATGTAGCAAGACCTATACATAGTACATAGTACGAGACAGTCAGTCTTTTTCAAAAACCTATACATACATAGTACATCACGCGCTGGTGAGAAGGTCCGAGAAGTGCCACGTGGGTGTATTGCCCACGTGCATTATTGCAGCACCCAAATCGGACAAGATACTGTGCATCTACGTAGATGAACACTCTCCTCTATTCCGCTGGCGGCAGCATTACTATTTTCCAGTCCCCCGAAGCTAGCCATATCCGTCGCTTCGGCCGATTAGGTTTGGATAGGGTGGCGCCGACCATTTTGCAACCACACCCGACGCGTGCCGTGAACCCCTTCAGCAAAGATGATAAGGTTTCCCGACGGGGGGGGAGGAGGAGGGGGGGGCGGGTGGTTGGGGGGGGTGGTGTTAGAGGGGAGACGGCCCGGGGGAGTGGGGTGGGGGATTGGGGGGAAGAGGGGGAAGGGGGTGGAGGGAGAGAGAGCGAGGAGGACAGAAGGACGGCTTGCAGTATGATTATACAACCAGCGGCGCTTCCATTTGATCCAAAGAGTATCGCTAGCTTTCGAAGAATTGTACACCCTATTCTCGATAATTTCACACCCCCACATCCCGGACCGCGTTTCGATTTGCCCGAGAGGGTGTGAAATCAAGGGGGGAAACCGAAATCCTCGGTAATTTCACACTACAGATAGGGTTGAGATTCTGCTGACTGTAAAGCGACTCTGTACAGAGCGAGCCCAGCTCGATACTGTCCAGCCTGGCACTCATTATGGGAGGACCGAGAGGTAAACACTTGGATGTTGAAAACGACGGTAAAGAATACAAACACAAACACACAAAAGCAAATTGGCATCCTGAAAGTCACAGAAATCAACTAAGGAAACATGTCAAACCAGAGTTGACTCGTGACGGCCGTGACGCTCGTACTCCAACACTCCCTCAAGCCCAACCACCTTGTGAGAGCTTGCGTTGTCCACAAGGATGGCAATGCGTCGGTCTGCTCGCCCCATTTGGGCATCAATGACGTCGATCCACTGAGAGAAAATCTGAAGTCATTTAATTACACAAGCAAAAGAAGCAGGAGATTAGAGAAATGTTGCCATATGTTTACATCTAACGTCAACAAGTAAACGCATTGGGAGGCACACTATACCTGTGACGTCATCCCCCCACGTTTGTTGGCACGGTACACCACAAATTCCTCCACGTAGAAGTTGCGGAATGAGCGTGGATTTTGGGCCTTGCCAATTATGATGGGGGTCATAAGATCGCTCCCATCGGCGTTGCAACATACCGCGAGGGTGACACGGTCCTTGCTTAAACGCCCTTCCGACACGCTCCCGTTCGCATAGGTACGTCTTGGTTGTTGATCATAGAAGAATGCGGTTTCGTCCATGTTATACACGTCGGTTGATTCGTACCCCAAATCGGAGAGCAGTTTTGGTACAAATTCTCGTGCAATTCCAATCGACTGCCGCATGCGTCCAGAGCCTCTCCTTTGCGTATGTACGAGGCCATTCCCATGCGAAGCAAGGCACGTACTAACCACCCCCTGCTAACATGAAAGTCCGGTGGAAGGTTGAGGTACTTTGCCAACTTGGCGGATTTTTCCAGAAGAATGTCGAAAGTCACCGGTCGGTTATTTGTCCGTTGCCGCGTCGTCCACATTCGTAACTCTGACTCTAGTTCGGGATAATGTCCGTATCGCTCCCGTTTCCGAGTTAGAGGTAGAGTGCTATTCTTCCACTTTTCAGGTGTCTGAAGAATCTTGAGGATCGTGGTACGGCATGGCCTCATGTTGAACTTAGTTAGACAATATGTCACTATCTCGTTGTGGGTCATGTCTGGATTTTTCTCCTTGAGCGTACATATCTCAAGCTTCTGCTCCCTGGTGAACGCTATGTTACGGGGTGGTGTAGGCATCGTTAGAGTTGCTGCTGTGTTTGCTGGAATGGTGTCGAGAGAGAAATGTGTCGAGCAAGAATATGAGTGGAGTTGCTTTCAACTTTCAATTGTGAAACGCTACTGTAGGTGGTGTTCAGATTTTTGTTGAGTCGTTGTTTTGTAAAACATGTACGGCTTTGTGTCATGAGGTTTTTTTAATGAAGGGACTTTGTGGCGTGGTCGTTACGTTTCGCGTGTCAAACATTTTCTGTGTGTTTTCTACACAAAGTAAGGTCTCGATTTCGGATTGTCCGCAGGGCGAAATCGTGAATTTTAATTTGAATTGGTGGTTTAGGGAAAGCCGAATCAATTTTGACGAATGGATTTGTTTCACTCTATCTAGCCACCAATGAGAGCTTCTCTTCTTTGGGGGGAAATGACGTTCGTACCCCTTGGTCAAGTTTCTCGCCTGCAAAGTTCGTACCCCTGTCCACGTTGTCCCAAAAGGCAATTTCGTTTCCCAGAAATCAGGAAATCCACAAATGCATGCCACCTCGGCAGGCTCTTCAGCTGGATGGCCACCCCGAGTCGGGGTGTGAAATTAAAGGGTGTGAAATTATCGCGAATAGGGTGTAGTAGTACTAACGCTCGTCAGGCAATGACGGCATCACAAAAATGTGTGCGTCTGGAAATCATCTGACCATTTTTTTTTTTAAGCAAGTTTCCGAAAATCGTTTGACAATCATCCAGGAATCATCTACGAATCGTTTGTATAGCATTCTCGTCAGACCAAACGTTTTGCTGATGTTTTAGTAATGGTTTTGCGATGTTACAATGGAATGTTTGTAAGATGTTAATTGTTGAGACAATAATAAGATGGCTTAAAAGTGTGTTTCACAATCAAAGAAGGTTATGGTAAATTGACATAGTTGCTACTTAATATGCATCACCAGATGAACCTATTGAGCAGCTTCACATCAGGGTCTTTGCAGCACGGGACAACATGCACGATGCTAAGAATGCAATCTGCATCTACAACTGCATAGTTGTAGGTGCCCTTCGTGGGCAGCAGTCGTTTGCAGCCAGTGTACCGGCAGACACGCTGATCCTCCGTGTAGTACTCGATGTAGGCGGCTTTTTTTGCCACGCCATCTTTCACGTAATGGAACAGCATCAAGCAGCGGCCGTACCAGTTGGCCCCCTTGCCAGCTGGATTTATGGCTACATCTGAAAAGTGCTTTCAGAAGGGCTTGCTTTTACAAACTGCCCCTTCTCGGTCCACTCCATCTTGTCGTGCGGTGGGATTGCCATGGCAGTGTGCACCTGCGAATAGGCAAGCAGGGGTCGCAGCACAACAATGGAAGGTTGTGTTAGGATTGAGACAATGGGGTGCTGACGGGTGCGTGGATACAACAGGATGCCATGCCTGGGTTCGGCCCATTAAGGTGGGCGATGGCCCGCGTTTAACAGGTCTACGTGGCAGTGGCAAGGGGGACAGCATTGAGCACCCTATTGATTCTCACATTTAGCACTTGGTCGTGGATTCCCTCCCTGGCCAGCCGCTTCTTCAAGTAGCCCATCGCTTCATCTCCGTGAACAAGGACATAGCTCCTGAACACACCATCCGTGATCTGCCCCACGGTCATCTTCTTGTGTGTCTTAGTCAGCACCCGACGCCCAAGCGTGCAAGCCTGGGTAGGAGGGTGATTGATGAATGGTGTACATGGGGGGCAGCAGGAGAGGGGCAGCACTTGAGTACAACGGGGCCAGCAGTGAGAGGGAGCAGGGATTAGAGACAAGTGGGTGAGTAGAGTTCAGCAGTTCGAGAGGTCAGAGGGTGCAGCAAGAGGAGGGTGCATAGGTGGACAAACGTAAATCAAGGGAGGGCGAAGGAAAGACGAAGGGCAGGAGGGTTCAGGATGAGAAATGGATGGACAAATGGGTTCATAGGGGGGAGAACGAGGGGGCAACGTGCTTAGCAGGACGGAGGTTCATGGTGGACTAGTGGGGGAGCATTGGGGGGCACAACGACGGATAACTCCACGGGGATTGAGAGAGGGGCATGGGTGGATAAGTGGGGGAGCATGTGGGGGCAAAACGGGATGTGATGGGTGGCAGCTAGTGGGAGGTTGATGGGTGGACATGATGGTGAGCATGTGGAGGCAAAACGGGATGTCAAGGGGGGCAGCGGGAGGTAGGGTTTGGGTGGACGACGAGTGGGAGCATGTGGGGGCAGAACGGGATGTCAAGGCCGGCAGCTTTAGAAAGGTCCACTAGACCGATCGGAATAAGGGTGTACACAGGCTCACCTCCTTCATGGCTGTCTCGTAGGTTTTGTCCCCGCCGGAAGCCCGTGACAGCTGTCGAACAACGGCCTGCTCGATATGCTTCTTCACAATTCGATCTTCCACACCCTTCCAGTTGGTGCCGCGGGAAGGGCGCTTCACTGTTGTCTTGTGGGACTGCTCGTACCGGTTCGACGAGTACTCCTGTGGCAATCCCCGTGCACGGATCGTCGGTGGCAGGTGCGAGACAAGATGTACCTTGATAATAAGCCACTTCGACTTCTGGTTGTCGAATGCTAGAACAAGCGCATCGACCATCCTGAATGGGATGTGTTAGGGTGGAGTGGATTTCACACAGTTGGGGCATTGGGGTGGTGGGGAGGGGGGTAGTGTGAGTAAGCACATAAACTACTTCACCACTATTAACATCAAACTGTGCCACAGAACCTCTCTCATTTTCTGCAATCCTCTCTCACCACCCCCCCCCTCCTCTCATCTCCCCCCCCCCCCCCCCCCCTCTCTGATCCCCTCCTTCCCTCTAACTGCCCCTCCATGCTGAGAGTACCACTCACGAAGCTGCTGGGGCGACGGGGTCTCTCCGAGACGCTGCTGCTGGCGCTGGACACCACCAAAACCTCCACGCTGCGCCGGTCCACCCCGACCACCACCCCAGCTGCCGCCACCACGCCCACTGCCGCCACCACCACCGCCTCCACCCCGGCCACCTCCACCACCGCTGCCGCCACCACCCCTGCCTCCGCCACTGACTCCTCCAGCCCCGCCACCACCCCCACCACCGCCACCGCCCCCACCGCCGCCACCGCCACCACCACCGCCTCCCCCGCCGTCACCCCTACCACCCTTGCCCTCCTTGCCCCTGCCGCCCTTGCGCCTCCCACTAGAAGCAGACGCAGCCCCGACTTCCTCAGCTCCAAGGTAGTCGACGGCAGCAGCAGAGGCGACTGAGGGGAGAAGGGGGGAAGGGGAACACCCTTCAAAGAAGGGCGTGCGGGGGTCGCCGCGAGAGGCACCTACAGCGACTATGCTAGCCTCAGCTGCAAGCAGGTGCTTCTCGGGCAGGTCAACGGTGAGCTCAGTAGGGCAGAGGGCGAGAAAGTGGTCCCTGACTGCGCGAAGAGAGTCAGGGAGACGGGTGACGAGGTGGTAGAGAGTGAGGTACATCGGGGGGGGGGGGTTGTTGGCGAGAAACTCAGCAGGAAGGGCGGCACGGTAGCGAGTGTCACTGGTGCGGAGGTGGGTGATGAGGTCAGCGACGGTGGGAAAGGCGGACAGATCGGGGAAAAGATAGGGCAGCGAGAGACGGCCGATCGTAGCAGAGGCAGGTGAGGAGTAGCGCGCGACTACAGCATCGTACAGTGCCTTAGCAGTCTTGTGCTGGCCAAAGTGCGCGCGCTCATCTAACGGCAGGTGGCTGCAAATGGCTAGGCGAGCGTGAGCGTCACGAGTCTGCCACTGGGAACGAGCTGTACTGTCAGCAGTCTCAGCAGGTGCTAGAGCGGTTCCGGACGCGTGATCATACAGCGAGATATCGTCCTTAGCAGTGATCTGTAGGAACAGGTGCAGGTCGTCGAGCCAAGCATCAAACTGAATCGGACGGCCCTCAGCATCGAAAGAGAGAACGGTGGGACTAGCCATAGGGGCAGCAGTAGCAGTAGCAGCAGTAGCAGTAGGAACAGTAGGAGCAGCAGGAACAGCAGTAGCAGTAGGGCAGCGCGGCTCGGACAGGGCGGCGCGGCACGGTTCGGGCAGGGCGGCGCGGCGCGGCTCGGGCAGGGCGGCGCGGCGCGGCTCGGACAGGCAGGGCGGCGCGACGGCGGGCCTGCGCGCTGGTGTGAGGCTGCGCGCAGGCTGCGGTTGCGCGCGGGCCGCAGCTGCGCGCGGGCTGCGGCTGCGCGCGGGCAGCGAGCTACGCGCGGGCTGCAGCGGCCGGCGTGCGAGCAGCTGCGACGCGCGGGCTGCGCGCGGGGCCGCACGAGGCCGTCGCGGGCTGCGCGCGGGCGGTGCTGGTCGCGCGGGCGGCTAGCGGGCTGCGCGCGCGCGGTTAGCAGACTGCGCGCGGGCAGCGCGAGAGGGAGGGCGCGCGAGGGCGCACGAGCAGAGAGAGGCGCACGAGGGCGCGAGGAAGGCAGGGCGCACGAGGGCGCTTCTAGCGGAACGGTGGGCCACAATCAAAGAAGGTTATGGTAAATTGACATAGTTGCTACTTAATATGCATCACCAGATGAACCTATTGAGCAGCTTCACATCAGGGTCTTTGCAGCACGGGACAACATGCACGATGCTAAGAATGCAATCTGCATCTACAACTGCATAGTTGTAGGTGCCCTTCGTGGGCAGCAGTCGTTTGCAGCCAGTGTACCGGCAGACACGCTGATCCTCCGTGTAGTACTCGATGTAGGCGGCTTTTTTTGCCACGCCATCTTTCACGTAATGGAACAGCATCAAGCAGCGGCCGTACCAGTTGGCCCCCTTGCCAGCTGGATTTATGGCTACATCTGAAAAGTGCTTTTCAGAAGGGCTTGCTTTTACAAACTGCCCCTTCTCGGTCCACTCCATCTTGTCGTGCGGTGGGATTGCCATGGCAGTGTGCACCTGCGAATAGGCAAGCAGGGGTCGCAGCACAACAATGGAAGGTTGTGTTAGGATTGAGACAATGGGGTGCTGACGGGTGCGTGGATACAACAGGATGCCATGCCTGGGTTCGGCCCATTAAGGTGGGCGATGGCCCGCGTTTAACAGGTCTACGTGGCAGTGGCAAGGGGGACAGCATTGAGCACCCTATTGATTCTCACATTTAGCACTTGGTCGTGGATTCCCTCCCTGGCCAGCCGCTTCTTCAAGTAGCCCATCGCTTCATCTCCGTGAACAAGGACATAGCTCCTGAACACACCATCCGTGATCTGCCCCACGGTCATCTTCTTGTGTGTCTTAGTCAGCACCCGACGCCCAAGCGTGCAAGCCTGGGTAGGAGGGTGATTGATGAATGGTGTACATGGGGGGCAGCAGGAGAGGGGCAGCACTTGAGTACAACGGGGCCAGCAGTGAGAGGGAGCAGGGATTAGAGACAAGTGGGTGAGTAGAGTTCAGCAGTTCGAGAGGTCAGAGGGTGCAGCAAGAGGAGGGTGCATAGGTGGACAAACGTAAATCAAGGGAGGGCGAAGGAAAGACGAAGGGCAGGAGGGTTCAGGATGAGAAATGGATGGACAAATGGGTTCATAGGGGGGAGAACGAGGGGGCAACGTGCTTAGCAGGACGGAGGTTCATGGTGGACTAGTGGGGGAGCATTGGGGGGCACAACGACGGATAACTCCACGGGGATTGAGAGAGGGGCATGGGTGGATAAGTGGGGGAGCATGTGGGGGCAAAACGGGATGTGATGGGTGGCAGCTAGTGGGAGGTTGATGGGTGGACATGATGGTGAGCATGTGGAGGCAAAACGGGATGTCAAGGGGGGCAGCGGGAGGTAGGGTTTGGGTGGACGACGAGTGGGAGCATGTGGGGGCAGAACGGGATGTCAAGGCCGGCAGCTTTAGAAAGGTCCACTAGACCGATCGGAATAAGGGTGTACACAGGCTCACCTCCTTCATGGCTGTCTCGTAGGTTTTGTCCCCGCCGGAAGCCCGTGACAGCTGTCGAACAACGGCCTGCTCGATATGCTTCTTCACAATTCGATCTTCCACACCCTTCCAGTTGGTGCCGCGGGAAGGGCGCTTCACTGTTGTCTTGTGGGACTGCTCGTACCGGTTCGACGAGTACTCCTGTGGCAATCCCCGTGCACGGATCGTCGGTGGCAGGTGCGAGACAAGATGTACCTTGATAATAAGCCACTTCGACTTCTGGTTGTCGAATGCTAGAACAAGCGCATCGACCATCCTGAATGGGATGTGTTAGGGTGGAGTGGATTTCACACAGTTGGGGCATTGGGGTGGTGGGGAGGGGGGTAGTGTGAGTAAGCACATAAACTACTTCACCACTATTAACATCAAACTGTGCCACAGAACCTCTCTCATTTTCTGCAATCCTCTCTCACCACCCCCCCCCTCCTCTCATCTCCCCCCCCCCACCCCCCCCCCCTCTCTCATCCCCTCCTTCCCTCTAACTGCCCCTCCATTCCCTCACTTTGTGCCCCTCCTCACCTATTTATGCCCCTCTTTCCCTCACTCAGCCCCTCTTTCCCTTCCTCAGCACCTCTTTCCCTCTCTCAGCTCCTCTAACCTTCTGTCAGCCCCTCTTTCCCGCTCTCAGCCCCTTTTTCCCCCTCTCTGCCCCTCTGTCCCACTCTCGGCCCCTCTTTCCCACGGTCAGCCCCTCTTTCCGGCACTCCGCCCCTCTTTCCCTCTGTCAGCCCGACTTTCCTGCGCTCTGCCCCTGTTTCCCTCTCTGCGCCCTTCTTCCCTTTCCTCTGCCCTTCTTCCCCCTTTCTCAGCCCCCTATTAGCCACACACTGCCCCGGAATCCCTCCCTGTCCCCCTTCAGCCCTCGCTCTGTCCCTCCCTCATGGTGCGCAATGCACCCACATCCATTTCCACTAGACTTACTCGCAGGAGACCTCCTCCATGCGCTCTAGCGAGGCATCGGTGTGATACTCAGCCCGGATAAACTCCTTGTACCAGTCCGACATGAGCGTGATGGCATCTCGAATATCGTCGCGCTTGGGGAGGTCGAAGATGAGGGGCAGCACTTGCATCATGGCACGGTGCTCCGACGCCGAGAAGCAGGCCGTCGTGGTGAAGTACGCCCATGCGGATGGGAGTCTCAGCAAAGACGCAGGAGTCACTGCCTTGAGAATCTTGTAGCGTCTACACGTACGGGATGCCATAAGGGTATCGGTTTTGGGGGTGTGGGGCGGGTGGGGTGGCGGAGGGAGGGGGCGGGGGAGAGGAGGGGCGGGGGGGGGGGGGGGGGGGGGGGGGGGGGGCGGTTGCCGAACAGGGGGGGGGGAGGAGGGAGGGGGTTTGTAGATCGGTCCATCAGATCGCACCCTCATCTCCCCGCGTCCTCTATCTCAGTGCATCACTGAGCGTCCTCCGCCCCAGCTTCCCTAACTCACTGCCTCACCTTTCCTCTCTCTGCCCCATGTTCACCTCTCTCCGCCCCTCGTTCCCTCTCTCAGCCCCAATTTCACTCTCCCTGGCCCAATTTCCCTCACTCTGCCCCAATTACCCTCTCTCTGCCCCAAATTCCCCCTCTCTGCCCCACTTGCCCTCTATCAGCGCCAATTTCTCTCTCTCTCCCTCTACCCCGCACTCCTCCTTCGCAGCGTCTGCTTCTCTCCCTCTCTATGCCCCAAATTCACTTCCTGATGCCCTGCGCTCACCTCCCTCTGCCCCTCGTACCCTCTCTCTGCCCCTCCTTCCATCTCGCTGCCCCTCCGCCCCACTCGCGGTTCCTCCTTCCTACTCGCTGCCTGGAAATTCAGTCACGCTGCCCCAATTACCCTCTCTCGGCCCCGAAATCCCCCGCTCCTCCCCACTGTCCCGTTCTCTGGCCCATACGCACCTCCCTAAGCCCCGCATTCCCTCCTCACGCCCTACCCTTCCTCTTTCCGCCTCGAATTCATCCCTCCCTGCCCCTCCATTCCCCTCCTCGCCTCTCTCCCCCCCTCGTTCCCACTTCACGCGCCGCCATTGACTTGGTGTGCCTCGAAGTCACTTCTCTATGCCCCTCCAGCCTTCTATTTGCCCCACCGCATTCGCTTATCCCTGCCCCTCCTTCCATCTATCTCCCAGGGTTTCCCTCAAACTGCCCCAAATTACTACCTCTCTGCTACCATCTTCCCCCCTCCCTGCCCCAATATCCCTCTCTATCTGTCCGTCATTTCCCTCTTCACGCTCCGCCTTCTCTCACTGTGCCCCGAACTAGCTTCTCTACGCCCTTCCCCCCTTCTCCTTGCCCTGCATTCACTTAGGGCCGTGTCTCCTTCCACCCCTCCTCCCCCCCATCCCTCCTCCTGCCCCTCCTTCCATCTCCCTGCCCCGAATTCCCTCTCTCCGCCTGACTTCTCCACTCTCTGCCCCACTCTCCCTCTCTCCGCTTCCCTCGCTTTCCCTCCCGCTTCCCCTCTCTCCCTCTCTCCGCCACTGGTTCCCCCTCGATGCACCTATGGATCTCGCCCCACTGGGTGATGAGGAAACTTACTCGAGAAGTATCTTTCATTCGGAGGCTTTCAGTTTCTTCACGAGGCACCTCATTGCATGAAGCCAGAGCCCGGCCTCGATGATGTGCATGATGTCAGGTGTTTGGGCGAGGTACGTGTTGCCCCACTTGGTGTTGGAGAACTCCCAATCCCACAGCAAGGACTAGCAGGAAAGGGAGGCACGCGGAACGAAAAAAAAGGGGGCCTTAGCGATGAGGATGGAACAGGGGGGCCACCTGCAACACTACCGGGGGGTGGGGTATGGGGAGTGTAGGAGTGTGACCTGGACGGACACCAAGTACAGGGTGGGGGTGTGGGGATTCGACGAACGAGGGCGGGATCATGTGAGGTGTGTGAGCATGCCTACCCAAGGGTGGTACAAGGCGAGGTGACCACCTCTAGCACAAGATGGAGGGGCGACGTGAGATGAGGTGGAGGCATGGTTGTTGTGAGCGTGAGATTCACACAGGAGCAGTGGGTCGTGGATAGAATAAATTTAAAGCCAAGTGCGGTGGGAGGAGAATAGGGGTGGGACTGTGGGACCGCGGAGCCATACAAACGTGTGCGAACAAGACTCAGTGGTACCTTCACAAAGTGGGTAGAATACTTCTTCTTCAAACGGGTCAATTCCTTCTTGGTTTCTGCCCCCTCCATTTTCTTGTACACAGCTTTCTGATCTTTCACGGTGCGTGGAACGATCTCGTCATCCACGTCCCGAAGATTATCTCTCGTAACCATGCAGATGGAGCAAGGTCGGTAGGAGCTACATGACATGGTGCACGAGACCTTGTTAGACTCGGGATGGTCGTTCACGACCGAGTACAGCAGTGGGATGGCCACGTACTCAACCCCATTGCTGTCCTCGACCTTCAAGCCCCCGCTGCGCGACCAAACATGGAAGCATGCCATCATGGAAGCAATGTTGCACGGGGTTGTGCGGTACGGTAACGAAACGCTTGGGAAACGGATGAGTGGAAGCTAACAATGCACGCCGAGTAGGGCAGCGCATCAAATATGCACTCCATATAACCCCTCACGCAATACATGGCAAGGAGGTGACACAACCGTATGATGCACAAAACGGCTATGGCATGCGCACATGACTGAAGGTGATGGGCTTTAGTTGCAGCGTACCCGTGGAGCTTGGAAAGGCGTTTCAGGGGCTGTAGCATGTATTCCGCCGCCAGTTGGAACACCCTAATCTTCTCCTCTGGCTTCAGGTCGGAGGGGATGTTAGGGAAGAGCCCCACAAGCTCGGTGCCGCCGTCCAACCAACGCGCCCACTCCGGTGTGTTACCGAACGACAGGACGAAGGGGTGTGCTGATTGTCTGCCATTGTTGGACAAGTTCGTTTGATCCGAATAGAGAATGATCGCCAAGACGATAGCACCGACATTACGGACGCGGTCCTGTCGGGTGAGGGAGGATAGAGTATGGTTAGGTGAACAAGGGCGCAGGGGAAAGAGCACGGGCAGGAAGGGGGCACAGGGAGGGGATCAAGGTGTATGTCAAGGGTTACAAAACGACCAAAGGGAGGCGAGCAAAGGCCGATGGGCAGAACACACGAGACTAGCGACAGATAGCAACACTCTTGAGCTCAGGGTTGCAAAGGGCGGGAGAGCAGAGAGCAAAGGGCGGGAGGGCAGAGAGCAAAGGGCGGGAGAGCAGAGAGCACAGGGCGGGAGAGCAGAGAGCAAAGGGCGGGAGACCATGGAGCAAAATGCGGGAGGTCAGAGAGCAAAGGGGGGGGATCATGGTGCAAAAGGCGGGAGGTCAGAGAGCATAGTGCGGGAGATCGGGCAGAAACGGGCGGAGATTTGATAGATGATCATGGAGATCATCGAGCAAAGGGTCGTAAGTAGCGAGCAAAGGGCGGGAGATCAGCGAGCAAAGAGCGGAATCAGCAAAGAGAAGAGACAAAATCAGGTACCAGAGGGCGGAGATTAGAGAGCGAAGGGACAAACCCAGCGACCAAAGGGCAGATATTGGAGAGCGAAGGGACAAAATCAGTCAGTAAAGGGCGGGAGATCAGCGAGCAAAAGGGCGGAATAAGTGAACAAATGCCGGCGATCTAAGAGACCAGCGAGGGAAGTGTGGGAGGTGGCAACGGACAAAGAGCAATGGGCGACAGGGACCAATGATAACGGACATCAGGCTTGGGATCCTCACTCACCCAAGCCTTTAACATCCAGTCCGTGTTGCCGGGAGTGCTGTAGCGTCTTTCACCCTCCACCTTCCACTCCTTCGGCTCGATGATGAATCCGCGTACTGCGGACATCTTCTTGAACATCGCCTGCGCCAACTGCAGAGTGGGATGGGCATTGTTTTATTGGTGCGTAGTGGACGCAGCCATTCTATGAGTTGTTGACTAATACTTGTGACTGGTAAGGGGCGCAGCAGAAATAACTTGGGCCGTGTTACGGAGGTAGTAGCACATGCAAAGAGCACGCTCTGTTGCGACAGACGCACCACGTTAATGTCGCGAAATCTGAAGGTGAGGAATCCCACTTCATGATCCACCTTAATCTCCGCCACTAGCCACGACTGCTCCGGTCCCAACTCGAAGCTGCTTTCGTACTTCTCAAGGTCTCTGTAGGTCGTCCAGCCTTGTAACTGTTCGATATCAAGGTCTGGAATTCGGAACAGGTCTATGAGGTCAGTAATAGCCCCGTTCGTGAGGCCGTGCTTCCGTGACAATATGCAAATCTCGGCCTTCAAGTCAATCGGATCCTCTTCAGCATCAGGTTCCACAACAACAGAGCCTTGGCAAGGCGCTTCAACGGCCTGCCTCACTTGTTCTGACGGTTCTGATGGCGGTGCAACAATGGGCGCAGCTTCTGTCAATGGCAGCTGGATATACGGACGTGGAAGCGGTGCAGGGATCAAAGGGGCGCCAGAGTTCGAAGCGGCACCTAGCCGGGAGTGCTTCGGCCTCGACTGCTTGAGAATGAGCTTACGCTTCTGCTTGAGCTTGCACAACTCGCCGCCATTGACTTGGTGGCTTCTAAGGGTCTGATAACAGTATGCAACGTATCCACAGCCACACTTCTGGCCTTTCATCGTTCCTACTCAATAACGCATAACAGCGGGCAGCATAGCGACTCTTGACATATAGCCCATAGCAACGTAGAGCTCCATGACTGGCCATCGTTGAATTCTGGATCGGAGGGTTTGGCGGGAAAAGCATTTGAATGACGAGCAGTACTAGCCGTGTAAGATATGTGCACAAGGGTGTCTCACCAGTGAAAAGGCGGATTCCAGGAGCAACCGCACTGCACCGATATATCTAATTTGCCGTTTGTACCCGACCGGTAGTCACGCCTTGAACATCACAGTTTGTGTCTCGTAACCTAATCGAAACCCTACTCGATGACTGGTTGGCCAAACCTCCTCCGACCAGGCCTCACGATGTGTTTTTGGCCACCCTGCTAGAAGCGAGTCGTGGCCTACCTTCACCCTGCCACTGCAGCATGCCAAGCGCGGCATACTCAGGAAGTGGCAGGGTGCTTTGCTTCGTCTTGTCGAATTTGGAAGGGTAATAGTTTCATTAACGATGAGTGAACACAGCGTGCTTAACGGACATCGCCAATTTTCCAGCGTGTCCCAGGGTCGTAGAGAAGTTTGCCGTGTCCTTCTGTGACGTGCTGTACTTCCGAGTGCTCGAGTGACGTAGCCGAATTTCCAGAGTGTTTCAGTGACTTGGGCGACCCCCACAGTCTTCGGTGACTTAGCCGAGTTTCTCCCGTGCTTCATGACTTTGTTGAATGTCCAGTGGGGCGTCAGCTACTTAGTTGATTTTCCAGAGTGATTCAGTGACTCAACGCCCATTCCCAGCATATGACCCCTCGCAGTGTAGGGATGTTTTATACTCGAGAACGTTAGGGCTGACTACATTCTCTCATCTGGAATTTAATGGTACGATTTTTCTCATATCATGGCAGTGAGGGTAATCAATCCTCGAAGTCAATTTCATCAGGGGGAAGTGTATAAACCACTCTGGAAAACTGGCTAATCAGGGAAAAACACCCTGAATTCCAGGTGACTGTCTCCGATTCTGTCTGGGATTGATTCTGACAGCTCTCTGAGTTTGCACCAATCACGCTGCTTCGTGCAACAAGTGTGCCAGGCATTCAGCTCGGAACCCTAAACGGCCCGTGGATATCATTCAGTCTTCACCGTAGATCACCACCACTGTAGATTTCATCTAACGGACAACTACTATTACGCCCAGAACATGGGAGCGTGAACGTGTGGCGTGGACCACTGAGGAGTGGACCAATGCGCGCCGTAACCTTATTGGACATGGCGCCCGCCCAAGTGCGGGAAGAAGGGCACATTCACGACACGCAACCAAGGTACCGGTAAAAGCCTGACGCGTTGAATTTTGCTAGCCCCGAGAACCTGCTCCACATCGTCAGCGATGTGTTTTGATTGGCTGTCCCACCGTGAAGGGGGATGTATCTGCAGAGTCAGCAGGTAGGGAACCAGACTGACCATTGCCAAAGAGCCCCGATAAGTGGGGGCCCTCTGGCGAATCTTGTCCATGCGATTGCGAAAATTTCCAGGTTCAGGCAGGCGGGGACACCCGATGCGAAAAGTGACGAAAGTGGCAACAACCTCCGCGGCAGCTCGTGACGGATAGTAGCGTGGCTCGGAAGCCCAGATTCCAAAGCGGGGCTGCGTTCTCATAAATTCCCAAGTGCCGCACGCAACTCTAAGCCGTCAACTTTCAGCCATGGCGCTTCCTAGCTTAGAAAGTAAACTAGCCTTTCAGCCGATTTCCAGATTAGAGACTCATTAGACAGTGACGTCGCGGTTCTCTCATGCTCTTCATTTGGCGTTGAAATGCGCACTCGCAGGATGCTGCAGTACGAACACGGTAGCAACCGCAACAAGTGGCTTTACGGTGGGTCTTATTTCTGGGACTACGCTCGGAAGGACACACCGAGGCGTGAGAACGCCTACACGTTCGGATTGGGTATTTTCGAATTCAGACACGTTCTCGTTCCGATTAATACCGAGTGAGTAATCGTCGCGCCGTAAAAGTTGCACCGTATATAATTCGGTAGTCTAACGTTACAGGTGCTGATGATAGTCCTCATGTATGCCTTAGGGGTCACTGGAGCCTGATCATCATCGAGATCATCCCGAGACCCGACGACCCGATTCCCATGAACTGCGTGCTCTGGCACGCTGACTCGTACGGTACCCATCACGGTGTTGACGCACCGTTGCGCAGGTACTATCTCTCAAATGGCAGTCCGCAAATGTCTCATACATCAGATCGGGGTGACTTAATTATACAGTGAACATCACCCGATTTGCAGGTACCTACGAAACGAGGTGACAAGATGCTGTGCCTGGATCTTTGATACGGACGCAGATGCATGGGCTGCAAGCATCCCGCTACGGCAGGTCAAGGTGAGCGCTATTGCCTTGTTTGTACAAGCTCCGAAACAATCGCATCTCTCGTTTTCGCAACGCGATTTCCTCACCGAAACCCCAAATTCGGACTGGGCCTTACCCTGCCATCATTGACCCTGTGTGACTTCAGATTCCAATGCAGGACAATGGCAACGATTGTGGTGTGTTCACGATGCGTGTGATGCACACGTTGGTCGAGGATGGTTTCCGTAACCTAACAGCGTGTGAGCTTGTCGGTACGCCACTCAAGTGGCGCCGTCAGTACCGCCGCGATTTGAGGAAGTGGTCTGTGTATTTTCGGGCAAAGACGATGGTGGAGGTTGGAGGTGTGGCATGAGGCGGCGCTGAGCTGGAATGGGGCGGGTAGCTTGGCGGAATGCGGCGGGAAGGAGGGGGGGAGGGGAGGCGCGGAGCAAATGGGAATTGAGCAGGGTTGAAAGGGGGGATTGAGGCGGGGATAAATGGGAGAATGACAGGGTGAGCGAAGGGGGATGAGGCGGATAGCAAGGGGGAATGAGGCGGTGAGCGCGAGGGGAGGAGGCGGGTGTGTGGGAGAGAACAAGAAGGTGCGCATATGGGGAATGATACGGGAAACATGGGGTAATGGTGCACTGAGCAAGTGGGAATGAAGCGGGTTGCAAGGGGGAAGGAGGCGGGTAGCAAGGGGGAATGAGGCGGGTTGCAAGGGGGTATGAGGCGGGAAGCACGAGGGAACGACCGTAGTGGAAACCGGAGTGATCAACGAGGTGCGCATGAGGGGAATGAGAGGGGGGACAAATGGGGAAGGAGGCAGTGAGCAGGAGAGAATGAGGCGGGAAGCTGGAGGGAATGAGGCTGGTATCGGGGGGGGATGAGGCGGTGTGCGAAGGAGGGTGAGGCCTGTAGCAAGGGGGACTGAGACGGTGAGCGGGAGGGAATGTGGCGGGAAGCAGGAGCTACCGAGTGCGAGCGCAAGGGGGGATGAGGCGGGTAGCAGGGAGAATTAGGCGGGAAGCAAGGTGGATTGAGGCGGCTAGCAAGGGGGAATGGGGCGGGTAGCAAGGGGGACTGAGGCGGGAAGCAAGGGAGAATAGGGCGGGTAGCAAAGGGGGTATGAGGAGTGTAGCAAGGTGGATTTAGGCGGCTAGCAAGGGGGAATGGGGCGGGTAGCAAGGGGGACTGAGGCGGGAAGCAAGGGAGAATCGGGCGGGTAGCAAAGGGGGTATGAGGAGTGTAGCAAGGTGGATTTAGGCGGCTAGCAAGGGGGAATGGGGCGGGTAGCAAGGGGGACTGAGGCGGGAAGCAAGGGAGAATCGGGCGGGTAGCAAGGAGGTATGAGGAGTGTAGCAAGGTGGATTGAGGCGGCTAGCAAGGGGGAATGGGGCGGGTAGCAAGGGGGACTGAGGCGGGAAGCAAGGGAGAATCGGGCGGGTAGCAAAGGGGGTATGAGGAGTGTAGCAAGGTGGATTTAGGCGGCTAGCAAGGGGGAATGGGGCGGGTAGCAAGGGGGACTGAGGCGGGAAGCAAGGGAGAATCGGGCGGGTAGCAAAGGGGGTATGAGGAGTGTAGCAAGGTGGATTTAGGCGGCTAGCAAGAGGGGAATGGGGCGGGTAGCAAGGGGGACTGAGGCGGGAAGCAAGGGAGAATCGGGCGGGTAGCAAGGAGGTATGAGGAGTGTAGCAAGGTGGATTGAGGCGGCTAGCAAGGGGGAATGGGGCGGGTAGCAAGGGGGACTGAGGCGGGAAGCAAGGGAGAATCGGGCGGGTAGCAAAGGGGGTATGAGGAGTGTAGCAAGGTGGATTTAGGCGGCTAGCAAGGGGGAATGGGGCGGGTAGCAAGGGGGACTGAGGCGGGAAGCAAGGGAGAATCGGGCGGGTAGCAAGGGGGTATGAGGAGTGTAGCAAGGGGGAATGAGGCCACTAGCAAGGGGGAATGGGGCGGGTAGCAAGGGGGACTGAGGCGGGAAGCAAGGGAGAATAGGGCGGGTAGCAAAGGGGGTATGAGGAGTGTAGCAAGGTGGATTTAGGCGGCTAGCAAGGGGGAATGGGGCGGGTAGCAAGGGGGACTGAGGCGGGAAGCAAGGGAGAATCGGGCGGGTAGCAAAGGGGGTATGAGGAGTGTAGCAAGGTGGATTTAGGCGGCTAGCAAGGGGGAATGGGGCGGGTAGCAAGGGGGACTGAGGCGGGAAGCAAGGGAGAATCGGGCGGGTAGCGAAGGGGGTATGAGGAGTGTAGCAAGGTGGATTTAGGCGGCTAGCAAGGGGGAATGGGGCGGGTAGCAAAGGGGACTGAGGCGGGAAGCAAGGGAGAATCGGGCGGGTAGCAAGGAGGTATGAGGAGTGTAGCAAGGTGGATTTAGGCGGCTAGCAAGGGGGAATGGGGCGGGTAGCAAGGGGGACTGAGGCGGGAAGCAAGGGAGAATCGGGCGGGTAGCAAAGGGGGTATGAGGAGTATAGCAAGGTGGATTTAGGCGGCTAGCAAGGGGGAATGGGGCGGGTAGCAAGGGGGACTGAGGCGGGAAGCAAGGGAGAATCGGGCGGGTAGCAAAGGGGGTATGAGGAGTGTAGCAAGGTGGATTTAGGCGGCTAGCAAGAGGGGAATGGGGCGGGTAGCAAGGGGGACTGAGGCGGGAAGCAAGGGAGAATCGGGCGGGTAGCAAGGAGGTATGAGGAGTGTAGCAAGGTGGATTGAGGCGGCTAGCAAGGGGGAATGGGGCGGGTAGCAAGGGGGACTGAGGCGGGAAGCAAGGGAGAATCGGGCGGGTAGCAAAGGGGGTATGAGGAGTGTAGCAAGGTGGATTTAGGCGGCTAGCAAGGGGGAATGGGGCGGGTAGCAAGGGGGACTGAGGCGGGAAGCAAGGGAGAATCGGGCGGGTAGCAAGGGGGTATGAGGAGTGTAGCAAGGGGGAATGAGGCCACTAGCAAGGGGGAATGGGGCGGGTAGCAAGGGGGACTGAGGCGGGAAGCAAGGGAGAATAGGGCGGGTAGCAAAGGGGGTATGAGGAGTGTAGCAAGGTGGATTTAGGCGGCTAGCAAGGGGGAATGGGGCGGGTAGCAAGGGGGACTGAGGCGGGAAGCAAGGGAGAATCGGGCGGGTAGCAAGGGGGTATGAGGAGTGTAGCAAGGGGGAATGAGGCCACTAGCAAGGGGGAATGGGGCGGGTAGCAAGGGGGACTGAGGCGGGAAGCAAGGGAGAATAGGGCGGGTAGCAAAGGGGGTATGAGGGGTGTAGCAAGGTGGATTTAGGCGGCTAGCAAGGGGGACTGAGGCGGGAAGCAAGGGAGAATCGGGCGGGTAGCAAAGGGGGTATGAGGAGTGTAGCAAGGTGGATTTAGGCGGCTAGCAAGGGGGAATGGGGCGGGTAGCAAGGGGGACTGAGGCGGGAAGCAAGGGAGAATCGGGCGGGTAGCAATTAGGTATGAGGAGTGTAGCAAGGTGGATTTAGGCGGCTAGCAAGGGGGAATGGGGCGGGTAGCAAGGGGGACTGAGGCGGGAAGCAAGGGAGAATCGGGCGGGTAGCAAAGGGGGTATGAGGAGTGTAGCAAGGTGGATTTAGGCGGCTAGCAAGGGGGAATGGGGCGGGTAGCAAGGGGGACTGAGGCGGGAAGCAAGGGAGAATCGGGCGGGTAGCAAGGAGGTATGAGGAGTGTAGCAAGGTGGATTGAGGCGGCTAGCAAGGGGGAATGGGGCGGGTAGCAAGGGGGACTGAGGCGGGAAGCAAGGGAGAATCGGGCGGGTAGCAAAGGGGGTATGAGGAGTGTAGCAAGGTGGATTTAGGCGGCTAGCAAGGGGGAATGGGGCGGGTAGCAAGGGGGACTGAGGCGGGAAGCAAGGGAGAATCGGGCGGGTAGCAAGGAGGTATGAGGAGTGTAGCAAGGTGGATTGAGGCGGCTAGCAAGGGGGAATGGGGCGGGTAGCAAGGGGGACTGAGGCGGGAAGCAAGGGAGAATCGGGCGGGTAGCAAGGGGGTATGAGGAGTGTAGCAAGGGGGAATGAGGCCACTAGCAAGGGGGAATGGGGCGGGTAGCAAGGGGGACTGAGGCGGGAAGCAAGGGAGAATAGGGCGGGTAGCAAAGGGGGTATGAGGAGTGTAGCAAGGTGGATTTAGGCGGCTAGCAAGGGGGAATGGGGCGGGTAGCAAGGGGGACTGAGGCGGGAAGCAAGGGAGAATCGGGCGGTTAGCAAGGAGGTATGAGGAGTGTAGCAAGGTGGATTTAGGCGGCTAGCAAGGGGGAATGGGGCGGGTAGCAAGGGGGACTGAGGCGGGAAGCAAGGGAGAATTGGGCGGGTAGCAAGGGGGTATGAGGAGTGTAGCAAGGGGAAATGAGGCGGTGTGCGAAGGGGGGCGAGGCCTGTAGCAAGGGGGACTGAGACGGTGAGCGGGAGGGAATGAGTCGGGAAGCAGGAGCTACCGAGTGCGAGCGCAAGGGGGGGTGAGGCGGGTAGCAAGGGAGAATTAGGCGGGAAGCAAGGTGGATTGAGGCGGCTAGCAAGGGGGAATGGGGCGGGTATCAGGAGGGAATGAGGCGGGAAGCAGGAGGGGATGAGGCGGGTGGGTGGGAGGAAAGAGGCGGTGAGCGACAGGGGATGAAGCGGGTAGCAGGGGAGAAGGATGCAGTGTGCAGGAGGGAATGAGGCGGGAAGCTGGTAGGAATGAGGCAGGTAGCAGGTGTGCGCATAGGGGGAACTTGTGTGCAATAGGATGTCAAACAAGACCAATGGGACCCTGTTTGTCCATCCGTCCTGTCCATCGTGACAAGCCAACTAGCAACACACAAAACGCGTGGGAGACGCTTGGAAACAGTCCCGCATAACGTGTCAACAAGTGGGACCAGAAGGGGAGTGTTGGTAACTTCCAGTCATGCATGACTAGAGAACACTACCCATAGGGATGTGTTTGTCAATGCCGGTCCAGCTCGGGATGTCTACTAACAATACACGATGCAGGAGGCTGATGCTACAAAACAGACCTGGATGTCCCAATTACTCATGTGACGAAACAGCAAGTGTTTGTCACCTCCGGTCCTGCAGGAAACAAGAACATACAACACACCATGCTCCTGATTGTTGCACATATGGCTGCCCTACATGACACGAGAGCAGACAAGCCCCGGAAGGGGAGTTTGTGTCTGGCACTGGTAAAGTTGCACCACAAATGACATACCAGTAGGGAGACGGATGTGTCTGGTTATGCACTGTCGGTGCTCATACTTGTGAGTATGCAAGAGGGATTGGACAACTCAACATTCCTTTGGTAGTAATGTTTAACATATTTTTATGCTCGTGTATTGCAGTCTTGCAAATAAATGTGTCCTTACGTGCCCCCCGTGCGCCATACCACTCACCACAGCTTCATGGCCACGTACGTTGATCTCTACGACTTGCAACCCAATCGCAACCACTCACAACTAACTCCCGAGTCTGCGTTCTTTTCGCAAGCGTTCCGTAATGGGATCGTATGGACCTGTCGCATCGCTGTACGAATTGCGCCAATCGTGCGTCCCCGTTTCTCCGGAGTGGCGCTGAGACTCTTGATGTGACGTTTGTGATAAGCTTCGTGCGGCACGCGTGGTAGTCCATGAAGATCAATCGCATCACGCCGGGACGGGCAGACTAAATATATGTCGCAAGCCCTAATACACTAGTGCTAGTTTAAGAACCAAGCACAATTAGTATCGCTCCCTGCAGCTCATGGACTGCTTAACGCCCTCTACCACTTAATCTTGCCCCAGTGGTGCAGCAATTCTTTTTTGGATACACGTTAACCACCGTGCGATTGGTTGTTGGGGGAAACGAAAGACCTGGATGTTGCAAGTTGCAAGGAAACACTCAAACCCTCGTCACCTCCGTGCTCCTCTTGCGTGCCTGCTTGTGGGACAATCATCTGCTCCAGGCCCCTATCTGTGCCTCGTCCCTTCTCTGCTCAAACATCTTTTAGTGCTCGAAGTGTGTAAGTCAGGGTGCAACGTTGTAACTACTCACCACCTCAGACTACTGCGTGAATGGAAACCTAGACATCGATATGGCTAGTCACACAATTAAGGGGCCCGACGGGGCGATCGTTTTGGCCGACTCGTCCAAATCTCCTGAGGAAAAAATATATACGGAGTTAGTTACAGCAGATAAGACGGCCGAGATCGTAAAAGAGTACCGCAAGCACAATGCGTCGTCGGCGCTAGAAGATGAAGAGTCGGGACGTGACTCTTCATCTGGTAACGAATCGAACAGCGACGGCGATGTTGAGCCATACGCAAACAAGGGCGTGTCCTCCCCTCCGAAACCAAGGGAGAAGCGGGTGAAGCACTTAGATGATATCGGTCCCAAAGCCGGCAAAAAAGGTACGTGTCGTCGGTCGCAGATGATGTATGGTAGACTTGTTTCCCTAATTACCACGGACTGATGCATTAAATGCGGTATGCCGTCGTGTATGACTTGTTCCCGTTACTGACGCTCCGAATGTGTTTCCGCAAAATTGTCAGCGGACAAACGTGACAACCGAAGGGGGCGTAAGCGCCGTCAACGAGCGAGAGGCACTCCTTCGCCTGCCGCGTCTGAAGGCGACGAGGAGGTCGAGGACGGCGGACCGGTCAAAGAAGGTTAGAGTTTGTGTAATGTCGACGGTTTCTCAGTTACACGTTACTCATAACAACCATTGACCATATTGTCATGCGTGCTTCATGCCAATAAGGTTACGCCGCACTGTACTGCTTATGTACCCGTGATGTACGCCTTCGCAGCTCGGTCAGCAGGCAGGCACGCAGGCCAACGCGGTGGATGTTATGACCGTAGAGGGAAGGCTGCGGAGGATCCTGGCAGTACATCAGGCCGCCAAGGAAAGGCATTGGCGTGTGGCGATGAGCAGGACCATGCCGAGCCTGAAGGGCGGGGTGGTCTAAAGCGCAACAGCACCAAGGCGGCGGCGGCGGCGACAAAGGGCAGTCCATCGGGCAGGCTCTCGCAGGATGTGGCTGGTGGCGACGAGCAGGACCATGCCGAGCCTGAAGGGCGGGGTGGTCTAAAGCGCAACAGCACCAAGGCGGCGGCGGCGGCAAAGGGCAGTCCATCGGGCAGGCTCTCGCAGGATGTGGCTGGTGGCGACGAGCAGGACCATGCCGAGCCTGAAGGGCGGGGTGGTCTAAAGCGCAACAGCACCAAGGCGGCGGCGGCGGCAAAGGGCAGTCCATCGGGCAGGCTCTCGCAGGATGTGGCTGGTGGCGACGAGCAGGACCATGCCGAGCCTGAAGGGCAGGGTGGTCTAAAGCGCAACAGCACCAAGGCGGCGGCGGCGGCAAAGGGCAGTCCATCGGGCAGGCTCTCGCAGGATGTGGCTGGTGGCGACGAGCAGGACCATGCCGAGCTCGAAGGGCATGATGGTGGACGGCGCAACAACACCAAGGCGGCGGCGGCAAAGGGCAGTCCCTCGGGCAGGCTCTCGCAGGATGTGGCTGGTGGCGACGAGCAGGCGCTGCCCGAGCCCGTTATCGAAGGTAGGCGGTTCCTGGCTACATCTGTCGTTGATGGTGAGGTTGTATAGCCTACGCCGCCAAAATCCTTGTATATTGTTTCCTGGTGCACCAGCAACTTTGTCGTGAGTGACGTGACACATACACTGTCTCTCTTATCTTGCTTTCGCTGCAGGGATAGGAGACCAGCGACGCGGTGGCGGTATCGATCAGGATGAGGGCGAGCCTGCAGCAGTGGCTGATGGGAAAGAGCATGGACGTGAAGCTGTGATTCCTTACAAACGACGCAATGCTGTGGACTCGGCCGGTCGCGACCGTAATGCGAGACAAGCTCGACAAGGCACGAAACAGTATGTTTCGAGCTCGTCGGGTTCGGAGTCAAGATCCAGCGACAGTGAGTCAGGCAGCTCATCCGGGAGTGAGGAAGTATACGAGGACGAGGAGGAGGAGGAAGAGGAGGAGGAGGATGAGGAGTTGGAGCCGGAGAGCGCGGATGAGGAGGAGGCTCGGCATTCGAAGAGGAGGAGTGTGCGCAAGCTCAGGAAGGGCAACGGAAAGCGAAGATCGGAGAGGGGTCGGGTGAAGAGCTGTAAACAGAGTGTGCGTCGTGCCAAATCACATGGCAAGCGCCATAGACCTCGATTCGAAGCTAAACTTGTGGGTGTGCGTACCACGGCGAAGCGGGAGTTGGATTTTTACGAATCCATGGGGGTAAGAGGTCCATCGAGCTCTAACGATCGGAAAGCCGCGGACCCGTACGCTGCGTTACGCGGGCCGATGGATTCGGCTGGGAAGGGAGATCCGATGGCTTGGGGGTCAGCGCGGTTTGGCAGGGAAGCGATGGACCCGCCTGCAAAGAATACGGGGGGTCACGCGGTTCATGTGAAAATCGAGGGGGCAACGAAGCGGCACGAACCCTCGGCCGCTGCAGCAGCCGATGACGGTGTGGGAGGAGGTGTGTGGGCGAATGCCTTGGGTGAATGTGGCGGCGGGGTGGAAGGCTCCATGTGGGATGTACGGGAAAGCAGGGGAGAAGGAGGAGTCTTGCATCAGGATCCGGCGACTAGGGAGGGGAGGGGCGAGAGCATGGGCACACCTGGCGCATCCAGTCGGCCCGATGTGGCTGGCGGCATGACGGTGGAGCAGCTCATGCGGGAGCTTGCCCAGCGGGATCGCGAAATTGCGGCACTCAAGGCAAGGCCAGGAGCCAAAGGACCTGTCAAACCCTGCACCCCTCCGTCTAGGCCTCCTCCTCTTGCGTCTCTGTCGAGCGGCCCATCTGCAGAGGGCCTCGATCCAGGCGTGGCGCCAGAAAGCCCAGCGACGGTAGACGTACCGGTCCGCCGAACGCGTGGGATGCCCAAGCCCAAGCTGCTGAAGGTGGGTATGTTTAGGTGTTAAGCAATGTGTGGCATGGGGCTCAGTGATAGCTGCAGCTCTCTCTTTCAACACCTCGTTTCCCCCACCTCTTGATGCTGGTCAGAGTGTTTGTGGCATTATGCGCAGTGAAAGCGTCCTGGCTGCGGTGGGATAGGCACTCCCAGTACGCCCCGCTTCAGGGAGCTGGCGCTGGGCGTACGATACTCTCACACTCTGCCCCACCTCTCCTAGCTCACCATAACTGTTCTATTTCCTCACCCCCCCCCCCTCTCTATCCCACGCGCCCAATCCCTTCTTTCCGCCGCTCCTTCCCCCCCTCTCTATCCCATCCCTCTCCCTCCTCTTCCAGAGCCCCTCTAAACGGTGCTGCTGGTCTGGTGTGGGTGGCATGCGGCGCAGAGATAGCAGCAGCCCTCTCTGTCAACCCCACGCGCCCAATCCCTTCTTTCCGCTTACTCCTCCCTCCCCTCTCTATCCCATCCCTCTCCCTCCTCTTCCAGAGCCCCTCTAAACGGTGCTGCTGGTCTGGTGTGGGTGGCATGCGGCGCAGAGATAGCAACAGCCCTCTCTGTCAACCCCACGCGCCCAATCCCTTCTTTCCGCTTACTCCTCCCTCCCCTCTCTATCCCATCCCTCTCCCTCCTCTTCCAGAGCCCCTCTAAACGCGCATGCTGGTCTGATGTGGGTGGCATGCGGCGCAGAGATAGCAGCAGCCCTCTCTGGCACCTTCACACGCCCAATCCCTTCTTTTGTCTTGCTCCTCCCCCCCCTCTCTATCCCATCCCTCACCCTCCTCTTCCAGAGCCCCTCTACACGGTGCTGCTGGTCTGGTGTGGGTGGCATGCGGCGCAGAGATAGCAGCAGCCCTCTCTGTCAACCCCGCGCGCCCAATCCCTTCTTACTGTCAGAAGTAGTAGGAGTACGGCCTAGGCTTAGTAGCCTAGGCCACAGTAGGACTAGTAACGAGGAGCCAATTATGAGCTAGGAATGTGTGTAGGAACAAAATTGAGAAGGAATGATTGAACTAGCAAGCAGCAGGATACAAATAGCAAACCCTAAGGGGCTGTACTCACTATAGAGTACCCCACTGCAGGCTACACAAACAACATATTCTGACACACCCCCATAGCCAAAGTGGGGTGTAATCAGCACAATGAGCAGTCATAGCAATAGTTCATAATTATCAGCAAAGCTAGAGGCTATCACAGAGGGCAAGTGAGGAGGAGGAGGGACTATGAAAGGAGAGAAGATGGGAGGCGACGACTGAAGCTGCAGACACACGGGCAACAGAAGCGGCTGACACAGTGGCGGCTGACACAGTGGCTACCGAGACAGAGCGCCCCGGAATACTGGAGTAACTGGCTCTGCGGCTACGACGAGCGGCAGGAGCAACGGACCCACGGGCAACAGGTGCAGCAGGCTCTCTGAGCTACCAGGACAGTGCGCCCCGGACTACAGGTGCTGCGGACGACAAGACAGCAGCCTCCACTCAACCTCCCCCAACAGTCCCACACCCCTCTCACACACCCCCTGCTTCACCCCTTGCTCCACTCCCACATCACCCCCCTAGTGCCACTCCCCACGACTCCCACACCTCCACCCCCCTCAGCGGCAGCTGCAGCAGTGGGAGACGAAAAAGGAGGAGGGGAGAACCCACACCTCTCACCCCCATGCTCGCCACCCCACACCCCAGCCACCGCGGAACGCACGGTGGAATGGGAGCAATGGGCAGCACGGGGGGGACGGGGCGGGCTTCTGCAGAGGCGGCTCGCGCGGGTCCTGGGGCGGCTGCTGCAGGTGCGGGCTGCTCCAGGGGCGGCTGCTGCAGGTGCGGGCTGCTCCAGGGGCGGCTGCTGCAGTGGCGGGCGGCTCCAGGGGCTGCTGCTGCAGTGGCGGGCGGCTCCAGGGGCTGCTGCTGCAGTGGCGGGCGGCTCCAGGGGCGGCCGCCGCAGTTGAAAGGCAGAAGGGGGGGGGGGGGGAAACGCACGGCCCCTAGGGCGCCCCGAGGGGCGACGAGAAGGGAGCCGCGCGCCCCCCCCCCCCGGGGCGCCGCGACGGGCACCAGGGAGGGCGCCGCGACGAGCCCCCAGAGCCGCCTCGACGGGCGACGGGGAGGGTGCCGCGCGGGCCCCCCGAAGTCGCCTCGACCGGCGACGGGGAGGGCGCCGCGCGGGCCCCCCGAAGTCGCCTCGACGGGCGACAGGGAGGGCCGCGCACGGCCCCCGAAGTCGCCTCGACGGGCGACGGGAGGGGACCGCGCGTGGCCCCCGTGGTCGCCACGACGGGCGACTGGTGGGGAGGCCGCGCGGGCCCCCAAGGTCGCCTCGACGGGCGACGGGAGGGGAGGCCGCGCGGGTCCCCGAGGTCGCCTCGACGGGCGACGGGAGGGGAGGCCGCGCGGGTCCCCGAGAGCGCCTCGACGGGCGCTTCGACGGGAGGGGACCGCGGAGGCCCCCCCAAGGGCACCACGACGGGCGCCACGGAAGGGAAAACCGCCAGGCGCCCCGAGCGCGCGGCGGGCAGAAATTAGCGTTTCGCCGCCGCGCACCACGGGGCGCGCGGCGGACAGTACGGCAGCGGAAGCGGGTGGTGGGCCCATACACAGGAAGGCGGCAGACATGCCGCCCTCTGATACCATGTCAGAAGTAGTAGGAGTACGGCCTAGGCTTAGTAGCCTAGGCCACAGTAGGACTAGTAACGAGGAGCCAAGTACGAGCTAGGAATGTGTGTAGGAACAAAATTGAGAAGGAATGATTGAACTAGCAAGCAGCAGGATACAAATAGCAAACCCTAAGGGGCTGTACTCACTATAGAGTACCCCACTGCAGGCTACACAAACAACATATTCTGACACTTACCGCTTACTCCTCCCTCACCTCTCTATCCCATCCCTCTCCCTCCTCTTCCAGTGCCCCTCTAAACGCGCCTGCTGGTCTGGTGTGGGTGGCATGCGGCGCAGAGATAGCAGCAGCCCTCTGGCACCTTCACGCGCCCAATCCCTTCTTTTGTCTTGCTCCTCCCCCCCCTCTCTATCCCATCCCTCTCCCTCCTCTTCCAGAGCCCCTCTAAACGGTGCTGCTGGTCTGGTGTGGGTGGCATGCGGCGCAGAGATAGCAGCAGCCCTCTCCGTCAACCCCACGCGCCCAATCCCTTCTTTCCGCTTACTCCTCCCTCCCCTCTCTATCCCATCCCTCTCACTCCTCTTCCAGAGCCCCTCTAAACGCGCCTGCTGGTCTGGTGTGGGTGGCATGCGGCGCAGAGATAGCAGCAGCCCTCTCTGGCACCTTCACGCGCCCAATCCCTTCTTTTGTCTTGCTCCTCCCTCCCCTCTCTATCCCACCCCTCTCCCTCCTCTTCCAGAGCCCCTCTACACGGTGCTGCTGGTCTGGTGTGGGTGGCATGCGGCGCAGAGATAGCAGCAGCCCTCTCTGTCAACCCCGCGCGCCCAATCCCTTCTTACCGCTTACTCCTCCCTCCCCTCTCTATCCCATCCCTCTCCCTCCTCTACCAGTGCCCCTCTAAACGGTGCTGCTGGTCTGGTGTGGGTGGCATGCGGCGCAGAGATAGCAGCAGCCCTCTCTGGCACCTTCACGCGACACCCCTTCTTCCCGCCGCTCCTCCCCCCCTCTCTATCCCATCCCTCTCCCTCCTCTTCCAGAGCCCCTCTAAACGGTGCTGCTGGTCTGGTGTGGGTGGCATGCGGCGCAGAGATAGCAGCAGCCCTCTCTGTCAACCCCACGCGCCCAATCCCTTCTTTCCGCTTACTCCTCCCTCCCCTCTCTATCCCATCCCTCTCCCTCCTCTTCCAGAGCCCCTCTAAACGCGCATGCTGGTCTGGTGTGGGTGGCATGCGGCGCAGAGATAGCAGCAGCCCTCTCTGGCACCTTCACGCGCCCAATCCCTTCTTTTGTCTTGCTCCTCCCCCCCCTCTCTATCCCATCCCTCTCCCTCCTCTTCCAGAGCCCCTCTAAACGGTGCTGCTGGTCTGGTGTGGGTGGCATGCGGCGCAGAGATAGCAGCAGCCCTCTCTGTCAACCCCACGCGCCCAATCCCTTCTTTCCGCTTACTCCTCCCTCCCTTCTCTATCCCATCCCTCTCCCTCCTCTTCCAGAGCCCCTCTAAACGCGCCGACTGGTCTGGTGTGGGTGGCATGCGGCGCAGAGATAGCAGCAGCCCTCTCTGGCACCTTCACGCGCCCAATCCCTTCTTTTGTCTTGCTCCTCCCTCCCCTCTCTATCCCACCCCTCTCCCTCCTCTTCCAGAGCCCCTCTACACGGTGCTGCTGGTCTGGTGTGGGTGGCATGCGGCGCAGAGATAGCAGCAGCCCTCTCTGTCAACCCCGCGCGCCCAATCCCTTCTTTCCGCTTACTCCTCCCTCCCCTCTCTATCCCATCCCTCTCCCTCCTCTACCAGTGCCCCTCTAAACGGTGCTGCTGGTCTGGTGTGGGTGGCATGCGGCGCAGAGATAGCAGCAGCCCTCTCTGGCACCTTCACGCGACACACCTTCTTCCCGCCGCTCCTCCCCCCCTCTCTATCCCATCCCTCTCCCTCCTCTTGCAGAGCCCTTCCAAACGGTGCTGCTGGTCTGGTGTGGGTGGCATGCGGAGCAGAGATAGCAGCAGCCCTCTCTGTCACGTTCACACGACCCCCCTTCTTCCCGCCGCTCCTCCCCCCCTCTCTATCCCACCCCTCTCCCTCCTCTGTCAGAGCCCCTCTAAACGGTGCTGCTGGTCTGGTGTGGGTGGCATGCGGCGCAGAGATAGCAGCAGCCCTCTCTGTCAACCCCACGCGCCCAATCCCTTCTTTCCGCCGCTCCTCCCCCCCCTCTCTATCCCGTCCCTCTCCCTCCTCTTGCAGAGCCCTTCCAAACGGTGCTTCTGGTCGCGTGTGTGGCATGCGGCGCAGCGTGTAGCGGGCCGGGCTGCAGCGGGGGTTGTGACTCCTAGTACGAGGAGAACATGACCCCCCACGCTGGGCGTACGGTGCTCTCACACTCTGCTCCCTATCCCATATGATTTCACTCAGACTATTTCATCCCCTCTCTCCCCCCTCTATCTCCCGGCACTCCCCTACCTCAACCAGAGCCCCTGTTCATGGTGCTGGTGGTGGTGTGGGTGGCCTGCGGCACGTGTTACCCAAATCCCTCTCCCTCGACATCTGGTTTCCGCCCTTCTTTGGGAGTCACCCACATATCCTTTTTTCCTATCCATCCGGCCGTCGCAGGTTCATTTCGCGGAGGGGCGGGACCGGATGTGCCTCGAGGCGCCAGACCATGCCATAGACTTCTACCCAACACTCGAACAGCGCCTGCAGGTGTTGTATCATGTTTTCAGCGAGACGCACATCATCAACATGATGCAGCTGCGAGAGGCTATGGAAGACAAAAACATCGTAGGCACTTTTAAACGCGCCTGGACGTCATGGAAGAACGAACGTGGCTTCCACCTCAAGCGCAGAGTGCTCGTCACTTTCGGCAAAAAGGTGGAAGGCCTGCGTGCAGCCGAACTGTGGATGGGCACCAAGAAGAAGCGGAAGATGTGGAAAAAATACCAACCGAGTGAGTACTTGCGTGACTGTTTTACATCCCCTATTGACATGTCTGCTCATGCACCTCTCGTGCATGCCCCACGATGATGAAGCACATACCCCCAATGCATCCCCACTTTGGCACGCGACTACTACATACCTGCTCTCCTCGCCCAAGCTTGTAGCGCATGTGCAAACACATCCGCATGACAGCCTTGACTTGGTTCTTCTCCCACTCTCCCCTTCTCCCGCCCCCCGTTTAACTCCCGCCCTCCTCTTCTCTCCCGCCACCCCCTTCTCTCCCGCCCTCCCTTCCTCTACCGCCCTCCCCTTCTCTCCCGCCCTCCCCTTCTCTCCCGCCCTCCCCTTATCTCCCGCCCTCCCCTACTCTCCCGCCCTCCCGCCATTCATCCCCCCCCGCCCTCGATGTTCATCCATACCCTTTGGACAACCCTAGACCATGTCATGCATGATCACGCATGTCTCATGCTTCCCCGCATTGTCATACATGCGCGCAGGAGGGAATCAGCGGGTCAGCTCGTGGGGAAACAACAGAGACGGGCTCCCGTTTGCCAACGGCCGGTTTGTAGATGCGGTCCGGGAAGCATTTCGGAATTTCTGTGTCGGGCGCCGGGTGTGCGTCAAAGCATACCACATTGCCTGGTCAATCATGGTGGTACGCAATTATTGCTCAACCCATCGTATGCTCTATCTTTGCATGCTGTTATAGTCCCTCGGCATGGTATGTGGGGCATTCAGCGCAGCCTGTAAACTCTGCACGCGAGTGTCCAATGAAGTTGCTGTTTTCCTCCATCCCATACTGTGCTATGCCTTTCCAGATTGACCAGGGCTTATCAAAGGTTAAGAGGACTGACTGGAACGTCTCCAACTCCCACCGGAAAAACACTGAATGGATGGGGGGTTTGCACCGTAATGTGCGGTGGATTATCAAGGACCACTTCACACGCCACACCCCCGTGTACAACACAGACGTGAAGGGCTTCAAGTGGGGCGACCGTGGGCTGTATGTTCACGAGTCAGGATTTGAGGCCTTCCGGGGGATAGCTGAGCTTGATGACGAGAAGAAGGACCTGAAGGAGGAAGAGCAGGAGGTGTACGACTCGGAGGACATGAAGACGGATGAGGAGGAGGAGGAGGAGGAGGAGGAGGAGGAGGAGGAGGAGGAGGAGGAGGAGGAGAAGGAGGAGGACGACGAGGAGGAGGACGAGGAGGAGGAGGAGGAGGAGGAGGACGAGGAACAGTGGGGGCAGGAGCGGAGGAAGAGGAAAAGGCACAAGAGACCTAGGGCAGGCGGGAGGGATGAGGAAGAGGATGAGAAACGGGGGGGGCAAGAGCGTAGGACGGGCAGAAGGCACAAGGGAGGGAAAACCAGGGGAGGCAGTGTTATAGTCACAATAGGCTTGAATGTGCCTAAAACGAAAGATAGAGAGCACAGACGGATTTCTGCACAGCGGCTTCAAACGTTGATAGCGTTCTGCTCACAGCTGCAAATGACTTGATTCAAATTGGATCTGGAGCGTCTTCAGGTCGTCTACAATTAGCAATTTAGATTGCACGATTTGATAAAGAATTGACGACACAGCGTCGGTTTGAACGAACGGTACTATGGCAGCCACTATAGTCTTAGAACACAAGATAGGAAGAGTTACGAGTTGGGAATGACTCCCAGCTCCTACAAACCCCAAGAGCCGAGGTACAGTGATGTGGAACAGTGCCACACTGTCCCCAACCACGAAGGGTCTCGAAACTACCCTTCACTAGGGCCTACACCAAGTGAAATGTTACACTACACAAAGTAATGTAACTATCTTCAATATCTTGAGGTGTACCCTTTTTGGCGAGCTTTGAAATCACTTGAGGCTTGACACCAAGGCTCGGGCTCTTCATCACAAACTCATCCTTGAGTTCTTGATGGGTCTGCTGCACACACCTGCGACACGCCGAACGTTCGACACATGACAAAATAGAAACCGCGCACGACAAAATAGAAACCGCGCGCGAGACACAAACGACCGCGTAACACGCGTCTAGCGATAACTCGCTATTGACTCGACACACACACTCGACATCATGACTCAACATTCACACACAATTATAAGCATGAAATATATATTATCCCATGCCCTCATACCATTCCATACACACACACATTCACGCACACGGACAACAAGCCGAGTGCAAACCGTAGGGTTGCACCAACAAACTCCCCCTCGGATTGTTGGCCTTAGGATATGTTGCTCTCTCAGTTCAGAGCCATCCCAGCCAGCTTGCAACACTTCCAATGCTGCTGCTCCACCAGCCTCTTGGTCATCATGTCAGCCGGCTGCCCCGTGGTCTTCACGTAGCGCAACTCAACTTCACCCGCGGTTACCATGCTCCTCGTCCAATGCCACTTCACCCTCATGTGCTTCGTGAGTCCATGCAACACAGGGTTCTTAGCAAGAGCAATGGCACCCTGGCTGTCACAGTACAGTGGGGTAGGTCCTTGCTGCTCCTCCCCCAATTCAGCCAACAAACGCCGCTGCCACACAATCTCCCGTACGGCACGGAAGAGTGCCATGTACTCGGACTCCACCGAGCTCAAAGCTTGGTCAACCTGCTTCTTGCTCTCCCAAGCAGTTGGGCCTCCACCAACACAGCATATGAAGCCTCCCACACTTGTCATGTCCTCTGGTTCTGATGCATATGAAGCATCCGAGTAGGCTGTGAGGAACAAACGCCCGGGTTCAACACCATCCGCGCCCTTTTGGCGCCTTTGTGCCGCCGCCGAGTATTGCAGCCCAACGGTCGGTGTTTGGCCAAGATACTTGGCCACCCTCATTCCAGCTGCTACCTGCTCCTCATTAGGGCATTGCACAACCCTAGCCAGCTGCCCGGTAGCAAACGCGACGTCCGGTCGGGTGTTTACCGCCGCATACATGAGGCTGCCCACCAACGAGTGAAATCGGCGCCTCTCCTCTTCACCAACGCTCTCCTCCTCTGGTCCCTTCACACACTTGAACCCAGAGGGAAAAGGTGTAGCCACATGGCCTTCACTCTGCCCAAAGTTGGCAGCCAATGCCTCCAGGTACTTTCGTTGATGCACCCGCATGCACCGCTTCTCCACATCTCGTTCGATGTGGAGCCCAAGGTAGAAGCTCACGTCACCAAGGGCCTTGCACTTGAACTTGTCTTGAAGCTTCAGCATCACCTCCTTCACAAGGTCAGAAGAGGGTGAGAAAATGAGGATGTCATCCACATAAACCACCATGAAACTCCTCTGCTCCCCCTCGCCAAGCATGAACAAGGAGTGATCGGCCGTTGAGGGAGTGAAGCCGATCCCCTCCAACACTTCGCGCAGCTTCATGTACCATTGCCTAGGGGCCTGCTTCAGCCCATAGAGGGCCTTCTTCAGCTTCCACACTCTGCCACTACCATCATCAAACCCCTCTGGCTGCGCCATAAAAATCTCCTCCTCAAGGATGCCGTTAAGGAATGCCGTTACGATGTCCATTTGCTTTACTACCCATCCTTTGATGGCGGCTCCCGCGAATAGGGTTCGCAGCGTCGTCGGCTTCACCACAGGGGCAAACAGCTCCTTGAAGTCCACCTTCTCCTTCTGCTGGTACCCCTTGGCTACAAGCCTAGACTTGTAGCGCTCGATCTTGCCGTCGGCATCCGACTTGATTTTGAAGAGCCACTTGGACGTTATCGCCGTACGCCCCTCCGATAGCTCCACCAATTCAAACGTGTCATTCTCCTCGATGCTCTTCAGCTCACTCTCCATGGCCTTCTTCCACTCCTCAGCATCACTACTCTCCAAAGCCTCCTTGAGAGTTGCTGGTTCTCCCGGCATCTCCACCGGAGAGAAGAACGCCAAGGCACACTCCTCGTAGTCACTCTCCTCGTCGTCTCCGACCATCATTGCCGCTCCGGCCAGGGCTGTCTTGCCCTGCTTTCCCGGCGCATCATAGGTCAGCCTATTAGGGGGTTGAACTCTCCTCTTCCCCCTTCCTTCCTCCTTAGCTGCAGGGACTTGAAGGCCTTGGCGTTGCTGCGGTGTGGCTCGAATCCGTGGAGCACTCGTAGTACGGGAAGGGAGTGACGGTGCACGCTCGCTCACTTGCTGCACCTCCTCCTCTTCTTCCTCTGCATCATTGGCCTCCTCTCCCCCATTCACAAGGGAGGATTGCCTTGTGGTTGTGCTGCCGCTGCTCAGCTCCAAAGGCAGCTCCACATGCTCCAAACCGGAACTCTTCACCTCCCCAAACCGCACGCCTATCTTCGCCTCATTCTCCGCCTTCCAATCCTTGTACATGAAGTTCTCCATGAACTTGCAGTCCCTGCTCACCAAGAACTTCTTGGTGAATGGGTCCCAAAGAAGCCATCCCTTGCTGTTTTGAGCCATGCCCAAGTGCACGGCCCACACCGCCTTGGCACCAAGCTTGTTGTGCCGAAGATGCTTAGGCACGAGCGCCATGCACATGCACCCGAACACCCGAAGCATATCCACCTTTGGCTTCCTTCCTAGCCACTCCACATAGGGCACCCATTTGTCTGCTCCCACATGAGTCAAGGCTCTGTTCTTGGCCACACACGCGCTCCGCACCGCATCAGGCCAGAAATAGTCGGGTAGCCCAGCTTCAATGAGCAACCCGCGTGCCGCCTCCGTGATTGTGCGGTTCGCTCGCTCGGCGATGCCGTTCATTGCAGGGGAGTATGGCATGGTGAGGGAGTGCCGAATACCATTCTTCTTCAGCCACAACCCAAACTCCTTGCTCAGGAACTCTCCCCCTCGATCGGTGCGGATTGACTTGACTAGACGGTCTTGTTGCCGCTCCACCATCGGGAACCAATCCGTCTTCAACGTTTCAGCCACGTCGTTCTTCTTGGCCAGCACGTACACCCAAGTCATGCGGGTGTAGACGTCGACAATGGTGAGAAAATATCAGCTCCAGCAGCTCCAAGCTTCAGGGGGCCCACCATGTCCATCACCACCTCATCAAGCGGTGCCTTTGCCGTTGCCTCCGAACTAGGGAACGGAAACCGGGTGAACTTGGCTTGAATGCACGTCGGGCAGCCAAGCACCTCATCGGGCTCCCCCTTCACACGTATGCCAGCAACCATCTCATTCTTCACTAGCTGCTGCAAGATGGGCAGGGCCACATGCCCCATGCGCCGATGCAAGGTGAGCCAATCACACTCCCCCGTAGCCGAAGTTGGATTGGAGAATGCCGCGCTCGCAATAGCGCCCCACATACTCTCTTCGTAGTCCTCCTCCGCTGCTGCCTCTGGGTTCTCCTCACCCTTTTGCTGCTCCTTGGTTGCTGCACCACTCTCCTTAGGTTCACTGAACTTGCTGGTCCCTCCAGGTTTGCTCTTCTTGAGCTCATTCTCCTTAGCGCGACCGTTCGCGCCATCGTCGCTACCGACCGCTCCATCCTTGGTGCTGATGCTTGCTGCCACTTGCCTCTCCTTAGGCATAGGGACCACTGGGATCTGCCACATCTCGTTGTAGACATCCCTGTCCTCATGAAGGTCCCAAAGAATTCGATCGCCAAGCCTTGCGGTGTAGGTCTTGGCTCCCTTCGAGTTCGTGTCCATGCCGGCCTTTGCCAACCGCCGCACGGAAATCAGGTTTGCAGCAAGGCTGGGCACCCAAAGCACGTTCTTGAGGCCCACCATCTTCCCATCAGCACCCTTGAACATGGCCTTGCCCATGCCTTTCACCTCTGCTCGCTGCCCCAAAGCCGATGTGACATGCTTCACCGGTGACGGCTCGAGTTCGGTGAGCAAGTCCGGGCGAGGTGTCATGCTATAGGTAGCGCCACTATCAATCACCCAATAGTCCAGGGGGTGTAGGGTCACCTTCCCCACAGCTGCTGGCTCCTCAAAGCCTTCATCCTTCTCTGGACCAGCCGGTACTTGCGTCGACACGAAGTAGAATAGACCCGGGTATCGATCGTCGCTCGGGTCCTTGTCGTTGTCTCCGCTCTTCATGTTTGCAGCTCCGCCACCGGCCTCGTCCTCTCCCTCCTCCTGCTCCTCTACCCTCTTGGCCTTGAGCAGGGGTCCAACCATCAGGGAGTTTGTAGCAGTCGCGCCACATGTGTCCGCTCTTGTGGCAATAGTGACACTCGCCGTCGAATCGGCCGCGACCGCGTCCGTAGCTCTTGTCGTCGCTGCCGTAACCGCCACTCCTGCGGCCTCCGCCGAAGTTGCTGCCACCAAATCTTCCTCCCCCTCGTCCTCTGCCTCTTCCTCGACCATATCCACGGCCGATGCTCGCTGCCCCAGCGCCATCCGCACTCGCCAACTCACGGCGGCGGAAATCCTCTTGAAGGATAGCTCGCTTCACGTCTTCAAGCGAGAGGCGGGGCAAGTCGCGATTAAGGTTGATGATGAGCGAGGACCATGACTCTGGGAGTAAGGCCAGCAACTTGGTCTTCTTTTGGAGCTCACTGTAGTTCAAATCAGCTCCCTCAAGCCGCGTCAACAAGTCGAAGAATTTCTGCACCCCTTCTTCAACCGCTTCGTCTTCTTCAATTCGTAGTGCCGCCATTTGCCGTTCCAACACCACCGCTACTGCCGCTGTTGCAGGAGCATGTACACCCTTGAGAGCAGCCCATGCCTTTGGTCCTTTCTCTGGTTCACGCTGGAATGGCTTGATGTGACGGATCTGACTGCTCCCCAACGCTTGCCCAAGTAAGAGATAGCCTTGTGCGCTCTTCCGCACCCACGGGCTCTTCTCCGGGTCGTTCTCGGGGCGCTTCTCCGTTCCTTCCATCACCTCCAGCAGGTCATAGTGGTCAAAGATGTTCTCCATCTTGAAGGACCATTCAGCAAAGTTGTCACCGTTGAACTTGTCAAGCCCAAACACCCTAGGCTCATCCCTAGGTGGGCCAAGACTTGGTTGCATGGGCGCCATGGCTGAATCACGGGGTTGGCCTTGAGCTTGAGCTTCTCCACTGCCACCAGCACCTCTGCCACCCCTTTCCTCAGGTCCAGAAATTGTCGAAACTGCTCCAAGGGGCTCTGATACCACTTGTTATAGTCACAATAGGCTTGAATGTGCCTAAAACGAAAGATAGAGAGCACAGACGGATTTCTGCACAGCGGCTTCAAACGTTGATAGCGTTCTGCTAACAGCTGCAAATGACTTGATTCAAATTGGATCTGGAGCGTCTTCACGTCGTCTACAATTAGCAATTTAGATTGCACGATTTGATAAAGAATTGACGACACAGCGTCGGTTTGAACGAACGGTACTATGGCAGCCACTATAGTCTTAGAACACAAGATAGGAAGAGTTACGAGTTGGGAATGACTCCCAACTCCTACAAACCCCAAGAGCCGAGGTACAGTGATGTGGAACAGTGCCACACTGTCCCCAACCACGAAGGGTCTCGAAACTACCCTTCACTAGGGCCTACACCAAGTGAAATGTTACACTACACAAAGTAATGTAACTATCTTCAATATCTTGAGGTGTACCCTTTTTGGCGAGCTTCGAAATCACTTGAGGCTTGACACCAAGGCTCGGGCTCTTCATCACAAACTCATCCTTGAGTTCTTGATGGGTCTGCTGCACACACCTGCGACACGCCGAACGTTCGACACAGGACAAAATAGAAACCGCGCACGACAAAATAGAAACCGCACGCGAGACACAAACGACCGCGTAACACGCGTCTAGCGATAACTCGCTATTGACTCGACACACACACTCGACATCATGACTCAACATTCACACACAATTATAAGCATGAAATATATATTATCCCATGCCCTCATACCATTCCATACACACACACATTCACGCACACGGACAACAAGCCGAGTGCAAACCGTAGGGTTGCACCAACAGGCAGGAGGGAAGCGGACGAGGAAGAGGAGAAGGAAGAGGAGCTGGGGGATAAGAAACAGGGGGGGCAGGAGCGGAGGAAGGGCAGGAAGCACAAGAGAGGCAGAGGGCAGGGAAGCAGGAGGGAAGAGGAAGTGGAGGAAGATGAGGAAGAGGAGGAGCAGGAGGATGAGAAACAGGGGGGGCAGTCGCGGAGGAAGGGTAGAAAGCACAAGAGAGGCAGAGGCAAGGGAAGTTGGAGGGAGGTGGAAGAGGAGGAAGAGGAGGAAGAGGAGAAAGAGGAGGAAGAGGATGAGGATGAGGATGAGAAGCAGGGGGGCCAGGAGCGGAGGAAGGGCAAAAGGCACGAAAATGGCAAAAGAAGGGGAGGCAAGAGGGCCAAATGATGGTGTGACGAGACAAGGGGGGCAGCAGATGAGGCATGCATGGAGTTTACAAAAGGGGACAGCAGGAGAGGCATCACATACGTGCGAGGAGAGGCATTGGTGGAGACAGCAAGGGGGGCATCAGGGAAGGCACGTGTGGATAGAGAAAGGGGGACAGCATTACGGAGGGGAGTGGTGCAAGGGGGGCAGCAGTATAGACATGACCGGATAGGACAAAGCAAGCAGCAGTAGAGGCTTGACTGGAGGATGTCTAAGGCGGAGCAGCAGACGCATGACTGGGCTGGACATGCGAGGAAGCAGTGGACGCATGGGCAGGGCAGTAGTACCATAATTAGTGAAGGACGGATGAGAGATGCAGGAAGGGAGGCAGGAAGTGGGGTCGCAGCCAAGGTTTGGATCATGGGGGCTAGGTGTAGGGGCGAGCATGCTCGGCCTAGAGCACGAGACATGGGATGCAGATCAACCTAACTGGCGGGGGTCTTTGACTAGAGAGGGTGGGGTGTAGGATGCTGTTGTATGTGCCTTTTTTGTTGAGAATAAAACCCATTTACCAACGCTTCTGTAATGGTTATTTTGGATGCTAGGATGAGGCAACTAAACATCTTGTTAAACAACATGTTAACCATTGCAAGTCTCCAATCCAACTTCATTATAACTAAACCGGATGTCCATGAAGAGTACAATGCAATGAGATCCAATCTCCGAAATAGCTCTGCGGAAACTCCAACCAAACTTCTGCCGAAGGTTTTCACCTGAAAGGTTTGAACAGAGAAGCATCGCAGAAGCATGCGAAAAGCGTTCGACAAAGCATCCAGAAAAAGATATATACTTTCTCAAAAAAGCGTACCAAACAAGACGTTTATAAATCATTCGACAAAGCTTTAAACCAACTCTTTCCAGAGGTTTTCTGCACGCAGGATTTTTGTGATGGGTTAGAGAGTTTGTAGGAGCCATGGCGGCACGACTCGCCTGTGTGATGGCCGTGCTGCTGCTTCTGTCAAGCGGCGGCACTTGGCCGGGCGGCAGTCAGCCGGGGAACCAATCTAGCGGCGTCACGGTGCACGCAAGCACCATCAAGCCAGCGCAAGGTTGGCACCGTGCTGAGTAGCAGTAGTAGTAGTACTAGTAGTGGTAGTTCTTCTCATCATGAAACCCTTTGTCCGTGGCAAGCGCCGCCACAATGCGGTAGTAACGGTACCAAACTAAGGAGGATGGTACTAGTAGTAGTCTAGCATTCTTCTGCATCACAATTCTAGCCTCAGGCTCTCCCGCCAACCCCTAGAAACACATGCATCTGCCAAGCTAGTGCTACGGTTAGTTGTCATCCCTAACCCGGATATTCTCCCACTGCCACCCGCCGCCCTCTCGCAGTGTCAGCGCTTGTAGCCATCAAGTCCGCGCTGGGTTTGACGTACACCACGTGGTCAACCACTACTACCCCCAGCTGCTATGACCCTTCTACTACGACGAGTGCTGATTGGGACAGAATCTCCTGCTCCACTAGCGGGGACGTGATTGCAATGTAAGCCGGCCTGTGCTGTGCTCTCAGCGTGCTTGCTGTCGTTCAAATCTCACTTGTAGCCCTAAGCAATTGCTTATTCTTACTGATCAATAACCGCGGCCTAATATGTGTGTGTGTGTGTATGTGTGTGTGTGTGTGTGTGTGCGTGCGCGCGCGTACGTGCGCGTGTGTGTGTGTGCGTGCGTGCGTGTGTGTGTGGGTGCTGGCCCGATCTCTCCAATTCGGATTTCTGTGCGTGAGTTGCTGACAGGGATTTGAGTGGTCAATCTATAGTCCGCAAGGACCTCCCCAGCCAACTGACCGTACTTTCGGCGCTCACGTCATTGTGAGTATACACCATTTACGATGCTTTTCCTCCCTCGATGCTACCTCGTACTGATCCTAGACATTGTTTTGCCCTGGAACCTGTCTCTGCCACGGTTTTGCTCGCAGAGCGATGGATAGAAACCTGCTGGACGGCAGCATGGGGAGTTACCTCAAGTATCTCACTGGCCTCTCCGCCCTCCAAAAATTGTGAGCATCCGTGGCTGCTACTGTCCCTACATGTCTATCCGTCCGTCCGTCCGTCCGTCCGTCCGTCCGTCCGTCCGTCCGTCCGTCCGTCCGTCCGTCCGTCCGTCCGTCCGTCCTTCCGTCCGTCCGTCCTTCCGTCCTTCCGTCCTTCCGTCCTTCCATCCTTCCTTCCGTCCTTCCTTCCTTCCTTCCTTCCTTCCTTCCTTCCTTCCTTCCCTCCCTCCCTCCCTCCCTCCCTCCCTCCCTCCCTCCCTCCCTCCCTCCCTCCCTCCTTCCCTCCTTCCCTCCTTCCCTCCTTCCCTCCTTCCCTGCTTCCGTCCTTCCGTCCTTCCGTCCTTCCTTCCTTTCCGTCCTTCCCTCCTTCCGTCCTTTCTGTCCTTCCGTCCTTCCTTCCCTCCTTCCTTCCTTCCTTCCTTCCGTCCTTCCCTCCTTCCTTCTCTCCTTCCTTCCTTCCCTCCCTCCTTCATTCCTTCCTTCCTTCCCTCCCTCCTTCATTCCCTCCCTCCCTCCCTCCCTCCCTCCCTCCCTCCCTCCCTCCCTCCCTCCCTCATTTCCTGACAGGTCCATGGCCTATATGTATTTCTCTGGACAGTTCCCAAGCTTCATCCTAGACTCGACGAGCCTTACTTCTCTGTAAGTATAGTGCAATTGCTGTCCACTTACCCTGTATGCCATCCACCCTTCCCCCCCCCATCTGTCTTCCTCCCCATATTCTCGCTCCCCCACCTCTGCTACCCCAATTTCCCCCTCCTCCTCCGCACCCCAGATCACTGCTACCCCGCACTCACAACCCCCAAAACCCCCCTGTCCAACACACTCCCACAGGGACATCTCAACCAACTACCTCACCGGCTCCCTCCCACCCACCATCACCAAGATCAAGTCGCTCAAGTTTGACAGCAACTACTTTGTGGGCTCTCTGCCGTCCGCCCCCTGGACCACATGCGGCTGCACCAGCAACTGCCTTAGCTCCGCCGGCACGTGCGGCGGATCAAATATGGGTCAGCGTTCGAGAGCCGCCTGTGCCATCTGCGGCAGCACTGATGGCACCGGCACACTGTGTACCCCGGGGCAGTCGTGCGATCCGGATGACGAAGCGAGAATTTCTGCCAAGACTATAAACCTTGTGCAAGCTGATTTGCCACTGAGGTGTCCATTCTATACCGTCATTCTCGTTGCAGCTCAGGGTGAGTGCGCCACACGCCGCTCAGATAACCCGCTGCCACCGCACCTGCAATCCTGTGCTCCTGCACCCTTGCAGTCTTGCACCCTCGCACTGTTGCAGTCTTGTGCTCTCTCAATCTTTCTGTCCTGCATTTTTTGCAGTTTTGCACTCTCGCAATCTTTCCTCTAGCACTCTTGTAATCTTGCATTCTTCCATGCACATTTTCATTCACTCTCACAGTCTTGTAGCACTTACACAACACCCTTGCACAATTGTGCTCTCACACCCTCGCACTCTTGCACTCCTGCACCCTCTCACTCTTGCAATATTTCTCGCTCCCCCTTTACCCGCTGGACCCTCCCCCACCTCTCGGCAGCCGATGCAATGATGGCGTTGAAGGCTGCTCTGGGTGTGACCCTCACCACGTGGGCCTCCACCACCCCCTGCCGCGTCACCGGGCTATTAACACCCCTTACGAACGAGTGGACTGGCGTCTTGTGCAATCCCGCCGGCTCCGTGGAGTCTATGTGAGTGGGCAGCGGGGTGGCGGGGTGGCGGGGTAGCAGGGTAGTGGAGCGATGGGGCAGGGACGCAGGTAAGCATGGGGTGAGGATAGCACAAAACGCGAAATTTTGCAAACCAATCCAAACCTTTGTCACCTTTCGTTGCAGGTTTGTGCTTGAAGTGTCAAGTCGTGACACTTCACAGCACGATTTCAGTGCTAAAGGGAGACAGCTTAATGGGGGGGTGAGGGGGACAGACGGCTGATCTTTCAGCCTCACCTTCCTCGCACACCCAACGATCTGCCTCTTCCCATCACCCCCTACAGCTCGGTGCCGCGTCAGAGTCTCAAGGGGTCTCTTCCTTCGGACATCTCGAAACTCACCGCGCTCACTTACCTGTAAGGGTGAATCAGGGAGTGCACAAATAAGAATCTGTAACACACACTCAGACAGACACGCTGTCTGTATTGCACACTCATAACAGGCTGCTTGCATACCGGGAGACCAGCCTTCTGCTCCTGGCGGCCGCCTCATGGCCAGTCATTTGGGGACTGTTTAAGGGAGATATGGAAGGGACACGGACTGACCAGTCTGTTGCTCTCGTCATGTCCATGGTGGACGGCCGTCTTCCTTCGTGTTTACCAGAGAAGGTGATCATGCATGCATGCATGCGTACATCTGCAAAAGCGCAGGTGAATTATACACCTGAAAACGAGGGGGAATTTCGCATCTGAGGAAGAGAGGGAAATTCGAGAGGGTAACTCGAGCAGCTAATGTGATGGTGGACTAGATAATGGCCTTTTCAGTGTCTCCATTTAAGCCATCCTACCCCAGAACAGCCCCTTCCCTTCCAGACATGTGCTTCACAAAAATATTTTCTCCCCCACCCCACCTGCATTAGGGATTTCAGTTACAACCTTCTTCAAGGCAGTCTTGCAACGTTTGCCACACAAATTAAGGACACGACCACGCTAAAGGCGCTGTACGTACCTTCCTCTCTCTAAGAGCTGTAAAGTTGTTCCGATCATTGGCATGTAGAGTCTAGTGTACGGTATTTTTAAAGCCTAGTTGAGGAGAAGGTCCACTCTCATTATGTAACCATTCCTCTCTCTGGCCGTTTTGAATAGAATCTATGTGGACGTCTCATTCACTTTCCTCCCGGTGCATTCCCGCTCCTCTACCCCCCAGCTTTTTTAACTACAACTGGTTTTCAGGAACTATTCCCTCATTCATCGCCTCCCTGCCACAGCTCACCACACTGTAAGCCAAACACAGATGCATGCAGAAGCCTTGTTGCTGGCCTTTCCTCCGCTGTTCCCTGGATACCCTCATGTCTCTCACATGTCACTCGTCTCACTCGCATGCCTCTCCTGTCTGCTGGTTCTTCCCCCACTTGCCCCCTCTCCCTTCCACGCACCCCCATCTGCCCCCGCCCAACACCCCTCCTCTACTCCCACTTCCCGCCCACTTCCCCCCAGAGGCCTCTTCTCCAACTACCTCACGGGCACCATGCCCATCCCCTCCACCTCCCTGGCCTCTCTGGACGTGGGCTTTAACTACCTCTCGGGCTCCTTCCCCAAGCTCTCCCTCGCGGTCTGTGCGGCCGACCAGAACTGCTTCCTCAACTCCTCCTACTGCCGCACCTACGGCTCGCTGCAGCGCCCCGCCTCTGCCTGCGGCATCTGCGGCACAACCAACGGGCAGGGAACGCTATGCAGTGGTGGACTTTGCTCCGCCAACAGCTCTCTGCCAGTCAGCCAGGGGATTGTCAATACCCCCTCGGTGCCGCTGGTGTCCTTGACTTGTTCGGGTGAGTGATGCGTGTGCATGTTGAGTGGCAGAGAGGATTGGAGAAATGATAAGAATCTATTGAGCACAAAAAACACGGCGATTTAAGGGCAGGGAAATAATATGATGTCCTAACACGTGGTGAACAACTACCACTCATTGAGAATGCAACTTCTACACGTTGCCTGTTCAATGCCACTATCTAATGGTGTATTCATATTACAACAAGGTTCTCTCACTTTTTTGTTGTAAGCATTTTCTACCTGAATTTTGTCCGACTGAATGTAATGCTGGTTTGTGCCCCTTCATCTTCCCATGGTGCCTGTGTACAGGATACCGTCCCACCGTTTTGATGAATCCCGCCTCAGGTGGGCCTAACGCCAACACCCATCCATGCCCTTCCCACTGTCTTCCTGCACTCTCAGTCATTCCGTGCGTCCACCAATCAAGAGTGGCATACACCCTTGCATACGCCTACCACATCCTGTCTATACAGCCCTTCCAGAATCGTGCTTATTCCACCCTCCTTCACTTTTCCCTTTCCCTCCCCATTCCCTCCATCCAGTGTCCGTGATGCTATCCATCAAGTCATCCCTGGGTTTGACGCTCACAAGCTGGGTTTCCTCCTCTCTTTGCCTTGCGGGCAACGGACCTATGCCGCCAGGGATAACTTACTGGTCTAATGTTTTTTGCTCCATAGACGGGTCACCCAATCAACTGTGAGTGCTCGATTGGTACACATCTGAGTGAACGCTTCAAGAAATTATAACTTAGCAAATGTTTCAACGATTGTGTAGCATGCTTGGTAATTGATTCTGCTCTGCATGTCCTTGCTAGGCTCCTGTTTACATGTCGAGGGCAAGACAGCGGCACTACGATCTCTCCTATCAGCACCGCTCATAACTGGGATGACCCACACTCTTTGCATTTCATCAGTGGATCCATGACCATCCATATGGCTAGAATTGTTTCAATTCATTCAACCCTCTGTACATTGAGTTTTGCTTGTAGGAACTTAGATTTTTTGGCATTGAAGGGTTCCAGCCTGGCTGCTGACATCTCCAAGCTCACTGCCCTCTCACAAATGTCAGTCTCTCTCTAAACTGGCATACGTCTACTGTGAGCAAATCAATGCTAAGGAAGCACAAGCAGCACACACACACGTATCCTACCTCCAACCCTCCGACCCTAGTGGTCGGATGGTGCTTCTATCAGTTGGTACGGCTGCCCCTCGTCCAGAGGAACAGACGGGCCTTGGAGGCTGAGCTTGTCCGCGGCCAAGGCCCCAGTGGTCTTGGAGCGCAGGGCATACGCCTGTGCACGCTGGAGTGTGACGCTCCAGCGATGGCGGTACTCTGTCAGCAGTCTTGCCGCTTCTGAAAAGGCCTGTGCTACTTTGAAGTGTCCCCTTGCCGCCAGGTAAGCGTGGACACTGGGGCAGGGGCAGCCGTAATTTTCCACCGCCAAGGCATGGAAACCTACCTACTCGTTCCTCAACACGTACTTCTCTTCTTTCCATGTTGCCGCTGCCCTTGCTGCCCAACCTGGAGCATGGTGAGCGAGCTCCTCCTCGAACATGGGAACATTGTCGCGCAACTTCAACACGTGTTCCTTTCTCTCACACATGCATGTGTGCCGGTTTCCATGCCACGTCATCCCATGCCATGCATGTACTGCCCGTGTTCCCATCTGCCTTCCCTTAATCAGAACCCTTTCAAATAATCTCTTCACTGGCCGTTTGGAAGACTTCACCTCCAGCCTCAAGGGCTGTACTTCTCTACAATACCTGTGAGCAATCAAGAGCATGTGAGCAATCAAGAGCATGTGAGCAATCAACAACATGTGAGCAATCAAGAGCATGTGAGCAAACAACAACATGTGAGCAATCAAGAGCATGTGAGGCAGTAAGTCGAGTACTTGAGAATCCAGTTCCTTGTTGATCAAACTATAAGAAGCCACGCACTTGGCTGCAAAAGAAGCAATAACAGAACATCCATGTCGTCATTTTGTCTTCACATCTTAACGCAACAAGCACTACCCTTCCCACATAGCGAAAGGGTTGGATGGGACATGCAGTCAACTGGAAGGAGAGATGATTGGTAGGAGCAGATTCGATCGCAGCGAGCCATGTGTCAGGAGCCTGATTGAGCGAGTGACAAAAATTGGACAACCAACTCCCCTGCCATGCACTCTGCAGACAACTGAATTACAACTATTTTTATGGCTCGGTCCCTTCATTCCTTGTGAATCTCCCAGCACTCACAGGGCTGTAAGTAACACAATGCCATATCTTTCATACCCTGTTCCTTCTCTTGACTGTGCTTGTTATCTCCCCTTCTCTCTCATACCCATTCTCATCACAACCTACACACCGCTTGTCCCACCCACCCTCCTCTCCACAGTAGTTTAATGGGTAACTACCTCACTGGTAGCGTCCCAGCAATGGGACCAGTCTTGCAGGCGCTCTACCTCCGAAACAACTACATTTCCAGCGTGGGCACCCATTCACTCTCCACGTGCTTCGCGCCTACTTGCTGCCTCTCTGATCCCTCCAAGTGCTCCTCTTCCGATACCCAGCGACCTGCTGCTGAGTGCGCCATCTGTGGCACTACCGATGCCATCGCTCCTTTATGCTGGGGTGGCGGTGGAGAGTGTGTGGTCGCCGCTGCGGCTAACATTGCAGCCAGCATAACGAATTCACCCTTTTTGAGCTCTCTCCCACCCATGCTCTGCTCGGGTAACGTGCCTTAACCCTCCGTGTGGATCCACACTTTCCTTAACCACCTAGCCTCAGCGTTGGTGCAGCAGGCTAGGGTGTGTCTGGAACTGGGAGATCCTAACTCCATTCTGCTCTTCCTACTTCTGCTGCTGCTGCTGCTGCTCATGATGATGATGCACTCACCTGCCTATCTTCTATATTGCCCATACTCCCTTCACTGTACTCCTGCAGGCGGTATTCTAACTTCCGTGTCATCTAGCGGTGCTGCAGGTGTGTGTGCGTTCTGCCTTGTCTTGTAACAATCACAAAATATCCATGGCCCATGCAGGTGCAGTGTGGTTTGTGTTTCTTGCAATCTATGATCCCAATGCCCCACTTTTACCTTGTGCTGCGTGTCCTCGACTCCTTTGACTCCCCCCCCCCCCCCCCCCTTCTCTCCCGTCGCCAGCACTGCTGTCGCTCAAGGCATCGCTGGGACTGACGTTCACCTCGTGGGCAGCAAGTGTGCCGTGCCAAGTGGTTGGCAAGCAGGCTGCCGCACAGCCCACGTGGTCCGGCGTGCTCTGTAGTGATGCTGGAGACGTGTTTTCCATGTGAGCACCCATGCATGCATGCTAAAGCTTTGAGGGAGGGAAGAAGGGTGTCAGACAGGTAACTAGCGGTCCTCCTCTATCAACTCCTTCTACACCCATCCCTCTGCCTCTTCCCATCACTCCCCCTCAGCTCGGTGGCGCGTCAGAATCTAACGGGGTCTATTGATTCGGACATCTCCAAGCTCACCGCACTCACTTACCTGTAAGTGTGAACTAGGGGGCACACACACAAGAACATGGGACACGTATACACAGACAGGCTGACTGCATTGCAAAGGGAATGCCTAGTTGTCGAGTCAAGTGCCTTGGTGCCACACACCAAGGACAGGAAGTTTCTGGTTCTGCAATTGAAGACCACCCTGCTGGTGCCAGCGGCTGGCCCAGGAGGTGGGAACGGACATGAACATACCAGTATTGTTCTCTCATCACGTGTCCATGGTGAACGGCCGTCCTTCTCTCCCAAGTCAGTGTCCTTCGCTCCAACCCATCCTGCGACCTGCCTACAGCACATCTCTTCCCTTCCAGATATGCGCTTCACATTCTTGCCTCTCCCCCACCTGCTTTAGGGATTTCGGCTACAATCTTTTTCAGTTTGGTCTCACCGGGTTTGCCACACCAATCAAAGACATGACCTCTTTAAAGGCGCTGTAAGTACCTTCTCCTCTATAAGAGCTGTAAACTCGTTCCAATCATTGCTAATGTGTAGTGTGTGGTGTTTGCATAGTAAAGCCAAGCTTCCTCTGGCCGTTCTCAAAATGCATTCTATGTGGACCTCTCGTTCTCTTCTCTGGTGCATCCCTGCTTCTACCCTCCAGCTTCTTCAACAACAACTGGTTCTCGGGAACCATTCCCTCCTTCATCGCCTCCCTGCCACAGCTTACCACCCTGTAAGCCAAACACACAGCTTCTAGAAGCCACCCTGTGGAGCCTCATTACAGGCCTTCCTGGTCTCACCCTCTCCTCTATCACATCTGTGCTGTTTCTTCCGTTTCCTGTGCTCGCCTCTCCACCCCCCCCCCTCTGTACCCCCCAGAGGCCTCTTCTCCAACTATTTCACGGGCACCATGCCCACCCTCTCCACCTCCCTGGTCGCTCTGGACGTGAGATTTAACTTCCTCTCGGGCTCCTTCCCCCAGCTCTCTCTCAAGAGTTGTGCGGCTGACCAGAACTGCTTCCTCAACTCCTCCTACTGCCGCACCTATGGCGCGCTGCAGCGCCTCTCCTCTGCCTGCGCCATCTGCGGCACGACCAACGGGCAGGGAACGCTGTGCAGTGGTGGAATGTGTTTTGCCGACAGCTATTTGCCAGTCAGCCAGGGAATCGTCAACGTCCCCTCGTTGCCGCCGGTGGCCTTGACTTGTCCAGGTGCGTGTTGCGTGTGGACGGGCAGGGCACACTGTGCTCTGGTGGACTTTGCTCCGCCAACAGCTCTCTGCCAGTCAGCCAGGGGATTGTCAACGTCCCCTCGCTGCCGCCGGTGTCCTTGGCCTGCCAGGGTTTGTGTCGCTTGTTGATGGCAGAGAGCAGAGGATATACGAAAAGAGCACAATGGAAACGCCAACTTAAGGACAGGGTCGAGGAATTGATATGACGTGGCCGGGCATGTGGTGGACCACCACCATTGAAATAGGAGTGCAGCGCTCTGCCTGTTTCTTGCTCAAGGCCACCATCCATCTACATGTCCCTTTTACATCAAAATTCCCCCAGTCATTCTCCACGTTTTTCAGCTATTTTCCACCTGAATTCTGTCCATCTGTTCTGTTGGTTCGTGCCTTACTGTTCTCTGTGTGTACTGGTACAGGGAATGCTCCTCTAGTCCTCATGAACGCTGCCTCAGGTAGGCCTTCCCTCCTAACGCCATCACCAATACCCCTCCCACCCTCTCCCTGCACTCCACATATTTCCTGCACTTACCAATCAAATTGCATCCTTTGCCCGTGCATATGTCCTCCTCCACATTCCCTCTCTCAACCCCTCCCCAAATCGTGCTTAATCCGTCCTCTTCCGCCTTTCTCTTCACCCCCGGAATCTCTCCATGCAGTGTCCACGATGCTGCCCATCAAATCATCCCTTGGATTGACGAGCACAACGTGGGATGCATCCCTTCTCTGTGTTGCAGGCTTCGGCAATACCCCGTTCGGAGTTACCACCTGGGATCGTGTTCTTTGCTCCGTTGGCGGATCACCTTTACTACTGTAAGTGCTCCAAGAACACACGTCTGTGTGAGTGTTCCAAAAAATCATAAGTTGCAAGTATTTCAAACAACTTGAGGCATACCAATGGGCTGCCCCACTCTTCGCACTTCATCTTTCCATCCATCCATCCATACGGTTAATTTTCTCCCACTGCTCCCTATCCGTTGTACCACATGCACTTGTCTGCAGCAACTTCAACATCTTGTCTTTGAAGGTCGCCACCCTGCCTGCTGACATGTCCAAGCTCACTGGACTCACCAATCTGTCAGTCCCTCTCTTCAAACATGGAAGCATCTCTGCGTGTTGTTTCTATGCCTCTGATGCCTTGCCACGTCATGCCATGTGCTGCCATGCCACGTCATGCATGTACTCTCTGTGTTCCCATCCGCCTGCCCTCAATCAGAGTACTTCAACAAAATCTTCTCACCGGCCGCTTGGAAGACTTCGCCTCCAGCCTCAAGGGGTGTACATCTCTAAAGGAACTGTGAGCTGTCAAGAGCATGTGTGCAGTCACAATTATGTGAGCTTGAGCTTGTACGTTGAACAACATTGCCGTTGAAGGGGTAGTAATCCATGCACTTGTCTGCAACTGGAGAAAAATCAGCTTCACCATAAGAGCGTATTCATGTCCTGGCATATTGGTTTCACATATCAACAAGCAGTACCCTTGCCGCATAGTTAAAGGGATGCAAGGGGCAAACATTCATCTGGAAGGAGAGTTTGCTGCTCTCTCAGAACTATGATTTTGCTTCTCGAATCTGAGTGTCGGTAGGAGCAGGTTCAATTGCAGCAAGCCGCACTTCGTCAGCCTGAGTGAGTGTCATTAATCTGGCCACCAACTATCCCGCCCTTCACTTGGCAGATCACTAGATGGCAACTATCTCTACGGCTCAGTCCCTTCGTACCTCGTGAATCTCCCAGCACTCACAAATCTGTAAGTAGCATCATGCCGTACCATACCTTACCTTCAAATATATGGCTTTCAGACCCTTTTCATTCTCTCAACTGTGCTTCTTGTCTCCCCTCCCTCCCCTCATACACAACCCCTCGTCACATACTCTTCTGTACCCCCACTCTCATCTCCTCAGAGGGCTCAGTGCTAACTTCCTCACTGGAAGCATCCCAGCCATGGGTACAGCCTTGAAGTCGCTCTACATCGCATACAACTACATTACGAACGTCGCCACCCATTCACTCACCACCTGCGCCGGCTCTATGTGCTGCCTCTCCAATCCCTCGAAGTGCGCCTCTGACGAGACCACCCAGCGACCTGCTGCTGAGTGCGCCATCTGTGGCACTACCAATGCCGTCGCTCCCTTTTGCTGGGGCGCCGGCGGAGAGTGTGTGGTCGCTGCTGCTGATAACATTGCAGCCGGCAAACGGAATATAGTATACCTCCCGCCTGCCCCACCCATGGTCTGCTCAGGTAACGTGCCTTAACCCTCTGTGTGGGTACCACACTCTCCTTAGCCACCTCACCTCAGCGTTGGTGCAGCAGGCTTGGGTGTGTCTGGGATTGGATGTTTTCACATAAATGAATCTGCGTGGTGCCTTTTGAGTGGTGTGTCTGTCCAGTTGTTTTCCATACTCGTGCACCCTTCTTGTTTTCCTCTTCTGCTGCTACTTCGGCTGCCAATGATGATGATGATGATAATGGTGATGATGATGTTGTTGTTGTTGTTGTTGTTGTTGTTGTTGTTGTTGTTGTTGTTGTTGTTGTTGTTGTTGTTGTTGATGATGATGATGATGATGATGATGATGATGATGATGATGATGATGATGATGATGATGATGATGATGACGATGACGATGATGATGACGATGACGATGACGATGACGATGACGATGATGACGATGATGATGATCATCGTGATTCACTCACCCGCCCACTTACCCTCTGTACGGGCCAAAACCTCCCTGTGACCGACTGTGCAGGCGGTCCTATAGCAGCCGTGCCATCTACCAGTGCTGCAGGTGTGTAAAGGCTGCTCCTTGTCTTGCATTTTCATCCATGCACACGTAGGGTTTTGGTGGTTTCTCTTCTCAATATTCTTCCAATGTCTTTCTCTCCACATCTCTCCTAATCCTTGTACTTCGCCCCCCTTTCCAACTCCCCAATCTGTCTCTATCTCCTCCCACCCCCACCCTTCCCCCCTTCCCCTTCCCCTCCCTCCCCCATCGCCAGCACTGCTGTCGCTCAAGGCATCGCTGGGAGTGACGTTCACCTCGTGGGCAGCAAGTGTGCCGTGCCAAGTGGTTGGCAAGCAGGCTGCTGGACTGCCCACGTGGTCCGGCGTGCTCTGTGGTGATACCGGGGACGTGATCTACATGTAAAGACCCATGCTTCAACCACGCATGCGATAGCTTGGCGTCTAGCGCCAACCTGTAAATGCTTTCAGATGCATAATGTCCTGCAACCATAACGTAAATGTGAGCGGGCTGTTACAACGATAAAGACATTGTTTGATGTATTCACAGTTTCCCCCATCCCTGATGCTTAACTCCCTGTCTGCCTCTCTCACCTTCCTCACACCCTTCCCCTCAGCTCGTTGGCACGTCAGAGTTTGAAGGGGTCTATTCATGCAGACATATCCGAACTCACCGCACTCACTTACCTGTAAGGCTCGATTGGGAAGTGCTGCTTGTAAGGAAGAGCCATGTTTCATTGCCAAGCTAGTGTTGTGGATGGTAAACTCTCTGCTACCCATACGAAATATGTGGACATTATTTCTCCGGATTCTGAGTATAATGCACCGCACACAAATCAATCTTCCCAAATCGCTCCTCCAATTCCCAACTCTAACCTCGCCGCCCGCCCTAGTGACTTTGGCTACAACCTCTTCCAAGGCCGTCTTGACTCGTTCTCCGCGCCACTTAAGAAAGTGCCCAGCCTCAAAGCGCTGTGAGTACCAAACCTCATGTTTGATGGCGCCTTGACTACCAGCCTTTAAACGAGGACATGAAGTCTGCTACCTGGTTCATGCTCCCTAGTAACTTCTTCTTAGGACACACGTCTGCCCTTTGAAATACAATGTCTGAAGTTATTTTCCCTTTGATGTCCCGTCACTCCTCCCTCCCCCCCTCAGATTTTTCCACTACAACTGGTTTGCGGGATCCATTCCTTCCTTCATCGCCTCTTTGCCGAATCTCACCACATTGTAAGCAGCACACACAGCTTCGAAGATCCATCCATGGTTGCTTGCACAAGCCTCGTTGGTGACCCCTTGCACATCGCTCACTCTCGCCCCTTTCTCACCCACATCTTGTTTGTTCGCCCTTCCCTTCCCACCTCTTGCCTGTGTTCTTTCACCCCCGCCAGAGGCCTCTTCTCCAACTACCTCACGGGCACCATGCCCATCCCCTCCACCTCCCTGGTCGCTCTGGACGTGGGCTTTAACTACCTCTCGGGCTCCTTCCCCCAGCTCTCCGTCAAGAGTTGTTCGGCCGACCACAACTGCTTCCTCTCCTCCTCCTACTGCCGCTCCTCCGGTCTGCTGCAGCGCCCCGCCTCCGCCTGTGCCATCTGCGGGACTGCCGACGGCCAGGGGGAGCTGTGCTCTGGTGGGCTGTGCGGCCCTGACAGTGCTGGTGCGGTCAGTGAGGGGATTGTAAACTCCCCCACTCTGCCCATGGTCCCCATGAAGTGCCTTGGTGAGTGTGGCTTTGTCCTTTTCCCGGATGAAATGGACAGCAAGTTTTGCTCACCCAGCCGGTGTATTGCAAACACGCTGTGGCCTGCACTGGAAGGCAGGGGCGTGCGTGGCTTTCGTAATGCCATTCCTGCTCTGCTCTCGTCTAGAGCGTACTACTGGATGGATGCTGCGGTGCACACACTCAGGAAGCTGGCTGGCTGGTTGCCTATCCCATTGGAATTTCTACTTTCGGGCTGCTCCAGAAGCACCTCAAATCCTCTCTCCTCTGTGCATGTGTCGTGCTTGCCCCTGGCCGTGAATCTGTGTGTGACTGTACGCCTGTGTTTGTCTGTACCCCTGTGTGTGGCTGTACCCCTGTGTGTGGCTGTATGTACCCCTGTGTGTATTCCTGTGTGTGGCTGTATGTACCCCTGTGTGTGACTGTACCCCTGTGTGTGGCTGTACCCCTGTGTGTGACTGTACCCCTGTGTGTGGCTGTATGTACCCCTGTGTGTGCCTGTACCCCTGTGTGTGGCTGTATGTACCCCTGTATGTATCCCTGTGTGTGGCTGCACCCACTCGTGTGGCTGTACAGATTCGCCCGTGGTCGTACTGGATTTTGCCTCAGGTGAGCATTCTCTTCTAGAATCACACCTTACCATTCTACTGCATTCCTCACCCCTTCATTTCTCATGCACCTGCCAAATTTTCAGCCTCTTTTGCACAGCCCCTTTTCCCCCCTTCTACGTTCTAAAACGTCCAAAGCTTGTTGAATCACAAGCCCCAATTCAAACTCACACGCCCCTCTTCCTCTCTATTCTCCGTTCCGTTCCGATCCTCCTCCTCCTCCTCCTCCTCCTCCTCCTCCTCCTCCTCCTCCTCCTCCTCCTCCTCCTCCTCCTCCTCTTCACCACCACCTCTCCCCATCTCTCCCCATCCCAGCATCGGCTCTACTGAGCGTCAAGTCATCTCTGGGAGTCACCGACTCCACCTGGGTCGCCGCCTCTTCGTGCACCATCGGCAATGCCGAAATCAGCCTCACAGACACCTGGAATGGCGTGCGCTGCTCCGTTTCTGGGGCCGTCTTGAGTGTGTGAGTGGTGCAAGAAACCACTAGCGTGTGAGTGCTGTTTGTCCTCTGATGTTGATAGCCTCGGTGACTACTACCAGCCAAGTCATTGCGAATTTGCCGAATAAATGGCAGAAACTGATTCTCTGCAGCTTCAGCATGGCTGGCTCGCTCCTGGATTGACCAGCCTGTGGAAACGCTTCCGGAAGGGTCTCAAACCTAATGGTAATCTCTCATCTTCACTATCACGTCATTCTTCCACATCTCATCTTCTCTGTCTGTCACATGGGCTCATTCCATATACTTAACAGTCCTTTATCTTTGCCTGAGGATGCCGCACTAACCCCTCCGCACCCCTCCCTCCCCCCTCCACTGCCCCCCCTCCCACCCTCCTTCCCTCTTCTCCCCCTTCTCTGGTGGTGCCGTTACACTCATCTTGGCTGCGTACAGCAACGTGACGTCCATGGGCCTCAGTGGCAGCGTGCATGCTGACATCTCCAAGCTCACTGCTCTCACATCCTTGTCAGTCCCCCTCTCCACTTTTCCATCTGACTCTTCCAAAAACTCCTTCTCTTCCTCTTCCCACTCCCGTTGTCTAGATCCCTCCTCCTCCCTCTCACTCTCTCATTCTCTTCCTTGACCTCTGTCCAACCCTCATCCGTCCCGCTCCTGCTTCGGTTCGCTTTTCTAGGCTACAGAACTCCTGCTGCTTCCACAATCCTCCCATCCCGTTGCATTGTAACATTCCATCCCGTCCACCTAGAGCATCTATAATTACTGCTCTTCATCCGAACCCAGGGATCCAATTCTCCACAATTTTAGATGCCCATCCCAACAACCTCAGCGCGTTGCTTCCATCCTCGCCCTCCTGCCCCCAATGCCTCAGGGACCTGTCGAGCAACCTCTTCCGCCAGAACCTCGCGTCATTCACTTCTGGCTTCTCCAAACTCCAGGCTGTCAAGCAGCTGTGAGTGCCGCCCGTGCTGAGAGTGCCGCCCGTGCTGAGAGAGTGACACACCCCCATCCCGTGTTGCACTTGCTTTGCTCATGAGAGCTCATGTATCCACCGTTATTGTGAACCGTCAAAATTGCCAACCTTCATTTGATATCTCACAACGTATTCATCTTGTTTCAGTGGTCTTATTTTCCTGGGCTCGCCCTTCCCCCTCCTCCAGCCTTGCGCTTAACACAACACAAGTACCTTTCCTGCTTCCTCTCACATACCTCCTTCCCCTCCATTGCCTGCTTCCACTTCCTTATCTCCTTCCTCTATCTTCCTCATTCTGCGCCCTTGCCATATTCTGCTTCATGTACTCATTCTGCTAGCGTTTCTTATTGCCTCCTTCCTCTCCCTTGCCTCCTTCCTCTCCCTTTCCTCATTCCTCTTCCTCTCCTTGCATCCATCTGAACAACAACTGGTTTGCGGGCTCCATTCCATCTGCCCTCGTCTCCCTGCCCACCCTCACCCGCCTGTAAGCAACGTTTCCCACCCACTCAATGCTTCCAGGGCGCATTCCTCTTGTCATGTTATGTGAACTGCGTTGTGACGACAAGTACTGTATGATGTGCCATTGTTCCAGAAACCCGCCCACCCTAGGCACCCCCGTTTCGGACATTGTTTTGGAACTAACTTCACACACACTGTATGGGCCTGGGGTCACCTGATATGCCACCAATCTCTGGGCCCCAAGCTAATTCACGTAGTACACACCACGTTACATCACTGACCTACCGAATTGTAATCTTGTCTCTCACTGCGAGCTGTCCATCCCAGTAACGCTAACAAGTTACCTGATCCAACCACCTACCTCCAGGGACCTGCACACAAACGCACTGACCGGGACGGTGCCAGCCCTGCCCACCTCGCTCCTCTCCCTTGACATCCAAGACAACTTCCTCGTGGGAAGCTTCCCTGCAGCTTCGCTGACGAGCTGTGATGCGAGCAGCAACTGCCTGGCGAGTGCGATGGCGTGCAGCGAGGCGAGCGCTGTGGCTCAGAGGGATGCCGAGGCGTGTGCCATCTGCGAGTCGCCGGACGGGCAGGGCTTGCTGTGCTTCGGAGGGTCATGCTTGCCGGATGTGGATGGCAGCACCGTGCATGCTGATGGCATGGACCCTCCTGACATGTACTGCGCTGGTGAGTCATCATAGATTCCGGAAGTGATTCGTGGCATGATGTGGCAGTGCGTGCACCATGAATCTTGGTGTATTGGGGAATCATGGTCATGGCTATATCTGTCTATCCATCTCGACTACTTAAAGGGCCTATCCATCCATCTCTACCCTCATTATTAGCCGCCCTCAATCCTCTTGTATTGTTTGCCTTTCTCCATGCCCCACTGCAGAAGCACCGGTGGTCACAATCCATGCAACCGATGGTGAGAGAGTCCGAGAGACACATGCCAGCTCAGATGGATGAGAAGTTTCTAACACATATGCAAGCTTTATTTTCACTCCATTCTCCACGTCACACATTGGGAAACCTTTTTTAAGTCCAGTGTGGTATGCATTCTTTGACCCTATCCACCACCATCACTCCATCCTTCCAACCCTCGTCCCTGCCCATGCCCTTCCCCACAATGCCAGTCACTCATCCTTCATATTTTTCCCACCTATGCCGCTTCTCCGTCCTCTCAATCACCCCTCCTCGCCCCTCACGCCCCTCACCCCAACTCTCACAGCGCAAGCGCTGCTGGCAGTGAAGGGCGCGCTGGGGGTGACCTTCACAACGTGGGGGCTTGACAAGCCGTGCACCACGGCTTCCACCGGGCCGGCCATTGAAGGCACCCTCACTGCTGTGTCCTGTGACCCTTTTGGCAGAATCCGCACCTTGTGAGTCCTCACCACTGCTTCTGATCATCTTTCACACTACTGCTCCTGCTGTTGCTGCTATTTATTCCTCCATTGCTGATCATTCCGTTCTGTCGCTGTGCTTATGTACTGCTACCACTTCTGCTCCCAATTTTCTTCGTCACCTGAGTCAACCAGTTGCCATGCCGCCACCATTCTTCCATCCACGTCCACTCTGTTCCGTGCAGGCAACTAAAGAGTCTCAACCTAGCAGGCACTCTTCCTCGTGCAATCTCCGATCTCACAGCTCTCACGTACCTGTAAGCATGCCTTGCTCACTAGCTTTGCCATCTCGTAGGACATGAAGTGCCCCAGTTTGAACCTTTTTGCACTCCAATCATGTTAGCACGATCTGCACCCGTCTGTCTTGCCTCTCCCTGTTTTACACAACACATCCCCGCTTCTCCATGCCTTAACATCCCTCTTTCTTTTAATCGTATCATCCCCTTCCAATTTATAACACCCCCTCTCCCTGTCTCCACACACCAACATTCATTCCCTCTTCCGACACGTCTCTTCCTCGCTGCCAGCGATCTGAGCGGCAATCTCTTTGAGGGATGCCTGGACGAGGTTGCCACACACCTTCGCCTTCTCACTTCCCTCCAGTCCATGTGCGTTGCTCTCACCATCTGTACTCTTACCGCATGTGCTCCAGGCACATGTGCTCTCACCACCTGTGCTCTCAGCACCAGCATCTGTGCTACCAAGACTGTCGTTCATTTGTCTCTTGGACTTGTGCTTCGGCATGCTGCCTTCTCCAGATTTCTCCTACTAATGCCCATCCCCCCTCCACCCAGCTTGTGCATTGCTCTCACGACCCGTGCTCCCACCGCCTGTGCTGCAAGCACCTGTGATCTCAGCAGGTCTTCACCAGCTGATGTGCTGCCATTTACAGTGGTCGTTTGTCTCTTGCACTTGTGCTTCAGCATGCTGCCATTCATGGCAGCAGAATTTCACAGGCAGCCTTGCACGTCTTGAGTCCTACTGGCATTCATCCGCCTTGATGTTGAATATACCCTCTTCCATTCTCATTCACCTGCATTCTATATCCAATCCACATGCTATTTCAACCGAACGAACCAACCCCCTCACCCTCCTCCTCCCCTCTTTTGGCTAGCAGCAACCTCTCGTTCAACTGGTTCTCTCACACAGTCCCTGGATACCTCCTCGTTCTTCCCAATCTCTCCAACCTGTGAGTTCCCATACATTCTTTGCTGCCGTTTTGCCTACCAGTCAGCTATAGCAGTCTTCCTTTACCCTCCTTCACCTCCTTCATTTCACTGTCCACTCCTCGCATGCCATCCCATTTCCTTGCATCAATCTTACATCCACCTCTCAAATTGAAAACAGTCAGAAGTCCTCACCTCCTTGCTTTTCACTCACCTACACACACCCTCCGGCCATCGCCACCAGCCACCCATCACCTTTCAGCTAGCTTTCTCGATCCTATTCTCACATACTTGCTTTCACCGGCACCCTCCCCTCGCCACCCCCCACCAGCGCGCTGGGCTTCAACTACCTGACGGGGTCGCTGCCTGGCAGCATAGCGGCGCCTCTCAAGGCTCTGGACGTGCAGTTCAACTTCCTTGCCGGCTCCTTCCCCGCCCTCGGCCTCGCCTTCTGCTCCGCCCGCATCAACTGCTTTGCTTCCACCGCCAACTGCAAGCACCCCACAAGGCCCGCTGAGATCCCGCGCGCAGCAGCCGCCTGTGCCATCTGCAACACCACGAACGCTCAGGGCAAGCTCTGCAGCAACATCATTGGTGGTGGGATCTGCAGCGTCACTCCTCCCTCGCTCCTGCTCCCACCAGGCACACCCAACAGTGCCTCATCGCCCGTGCTCCCTCTGGTCTGCACCGCTGCTACAAGTGTGCCCATGGATGCGACTCAAGCCGCTGCTCTGATGAATGTGAAGGTGGCGCTGGGAGTGTCGTTTCCAGACTGGCGGGTCGATGCCCTCTGCACCCTCGTGGGCTCGCCCTCCCCGGCTCCCAGCACGTGGAATGGAGTCGCCTGTGATGATTCCGGGAAAGTGCTCCGAGTGTGAGTGCCGTGCCTGCTCCTGTGGCTGCTGTGTGTGTGGTCGTACTAATGCCCTTTATCCTCCCTTCCCTACGCTCATCCCAGTGGCAACATTTGGTAATTGGTTACCTTGCACCTTCTGCATTTGGTATGTTACCCACTGTTACTGCTTGTTGTATTCTTTCAGGTGTGCGGCCTTCCCTGCATGTGCTGCCCTCCCCGGTTTGCTGCTTTCCCCATGAGTGCTCCATTCCCCCGTGTGTGCTAAACTCCATGTATGTGTCTTCCCCATGTGCACCGCAATCAATCACGACACGCAGGTCGCTCAAGGGGCAGGGCCTCACAGGGAGCATCCACTTGGAGATCTCCAAGCTCACCACCCTCACCGTGCTGTGAGTACACATGCTCACCACCCTCACCGTGCTGTGAGTACACATGCTCACCACCCTCACCGTGCTGTGAGTACACATGCTCACCACCCTCACCGTGCTGTGAGTACACATGCTCACCACCCTCACCGTGCTGTGAGTACACATGCTCACCACCCTCACCGTGCTGTGAGTACACATGCTCACCACCCTCACCGTGCTGTGAGTACACATGCTCACCACCCTCACCGTGCTGTGAGTACACATGCTCACCACCCTCACCGTGCTGTGAGTACACATGCTCACCACCCTCACCGTGCTGTGAGTACACATGCTCACCACCCTCACCGTGCTGTGAGTACACATGCTCACCACCCTCACCGTGCTGTGAGTACACATGCTCACCACCCTCACCGTGCTGTGAGTACACATGCTCACCACCCTCACCGTGCTGTGAGTACACATGCTCACCACCCTCACCGTGCTGTGAGTACACATGCTCACCACCCTCACCGTGCTGTGAGTACACATGCTCACCACCCTCACCGTGCTGTGAGTACACATGCTCACCACCCTCACCGTGCTGTGATTGCACATGCTCACCACCCTCACTGTGATGTGAGTACACATGCTCACATCCTTGCTGTGAGTAGTGATGCGCATTCAAATCGCGTTCAGCACAGCACAGAACAGCGCCGCACATGCACAGCATAGAACCGCACATGCACAGCACAGCGCAGCAACGCACGCGTTTTGGTTATTCGTCCTGTTTCTGCAAAACAACATCTCCTGGTTTCACCTTGTGGAATTCTGACTCTTTTCTGCACCTCTGCCCCCTGCACCATTCCCCCCTGCACCTCTCCCCTATTTCTGGCACGGCAGAGACCTGCAGTCCAACCGGCTGGAAGGCAAGATGGACGCCTTCACTGCCAACATCAAGGCGCCTCTTGTGCTCAAGGAACTGTCAGTGCCTGCCCTGCCCATCCTTCCGTTCCCCCTTCCACTCATTCAAGCATTCTTGCATCCTCCCACCTAGGCATGAGGAACATGTTGATGTTGTTGTTGCTGTTATTGTTGTTGTTGTGTGTGTGCGTGTGTGTGTTTGTGTGCGTGTGTGTGTTTGTGTGTGTTTTTATTTCATTCATTCTTCTTTCTTTCCAGTAGATTCAACTTATTGGATGGGCTGTTTCCTCCTTCGCCATCCCTCCTCCATCGCCCCCATCTCCTGTGCACCCATGCAGCTACCTGCAGTACAACTACCTCTATGGCACCTTCCCCTCGGCCCTCCTCGCCCTCAAGACCCTCTCAACACTGTGAGTGGTCATACGCATGATCGACACGTGATGATGCTGATATTATGAAGCAGGGCCTTTGACCAACCTGGGGGAGTTTTGTTTGAAACAGGAAGTTCAGCTTTCTGCCGCTGTTAACCTCTCCCGCTGTTCGTAGCTTTCTGACCTCCTGGTCAAATCAAGCAGACGATTACACTGCCACAGTTTATTATGATCCCGACATGCAGTTCACTGCACTGCATAGGCCTAGCATTGTGGCACATTCACCCACATAGCTCATCACCCGCCTCTCACTCTCTCACATGCTGCCTGCCTGCTCATTTCCTTCATAAACTTCTCCACCACAGCACCATATTTTCTTCCTTGAATACCCCCAGCAGCTTTGCTCTCATGTAACAACCCTTCTCTTCCCCTACCCTCTCTCCACCACGCCATCAGCTCCGTGGCCTTCAACTACCTCACCGGCTCACTCCCCACCGCACTCCCCACCATGCTCGCCTCTCTGGACGTGCAAAGCAACTTCCTGGCGGGTTCCGTGCCGGCCAACAGCATCCCTTACTGCGCCAGCACGGGCAACTGCCTGGTGGACGCGTCCAAGTGTGCATCCCTGGGACTGCCACAGCGCAGCGCCGCTGAATGTGCCGTCTGTGGCTCCACCAATGGCCAGGGCGCTCTGTGTGCTGCTGCCACCAGCTGCCGGGTTGCTGCTGCTGGGGCTAGGGTGGCGTCTCCCCCCACTGCGCTTTCCGCTAGTCTACCTCTCTTCTGCGAGGCTGTTCCTATGGACTTGATAACAAGTCAGTGTGCTCTTTTGCTCCTTATGTGCATCTCTGCTATCTCTCCTTCTCTAATTTTCGCTTTGAACTCAAAATTGGACCCTGGGGGAAGATCTTTTAGGAATTCTCTGCTACGTAAGGAGACACCTGATGTGATATAGAGGTATATAGCCTTGATCACATATATTTCACAAACTCCGTCCCCCCCTATCCACCACATCCCCCCTCAATTCATCCCTCCTTCTCCCCTTTCCCCCTTCTACCCCTCTTGCTCTCTCTCCCCCTTCACCCACCTCCTGTGCACGCCTTTCCAGCCCAAACCATGGTGGCCATCAAGGCCGCACTGGGGGTGACGCTGACAGACTGGACTGCCACCCTGCCGTTGCTCAAGCCTTCTGGTCCCATCTCGCCCAAGTCGCTCCCTCGCAGCAGCAGTGTGCCGCTGGCAGGGTCTCTGGGCACGTGCACGTTGGAGGGGCAGACTCCCGGCCCAGGCGCATGGACCGGCGTCTACTGCAGCTCCAAGGGCGTTGCCGTGGGCATGTGAGTGCTGCCATGCTTCTGTGCTCTGACATGCTGCTGTCGGTGTTTGGGACGTTTCTCGTGTGTTGCCACTGTAGCCTAATTGTCTAGTGCTGATGTAGCATGGATGAATTAAGTGAAAAACTACACTGTCTTGCTCTTTCGCTCCGCTCTCCCGCTCTTCTGCTTCACTGTGCAGTGTGCTGCCAAACAAGAAGCTGAGTGGAAGCCTCTCAACGGAAATCACCAAGCTCACAGCCCTCACCATGCTGTACGCCTTCCAGATCCCTTTCCCATGATACACTCCCTCCCGTATTATCTGCTGCGTCCTGCTACTTGTGAGCCTACCCTGTTTACTGGCCCGTCTGCTCCCATTTTTGCTTCAGTTGGGCTTCTCAATTCACCATTCTTCCCGTGTGTGTATATGACGTATGTGTGCAGCGACCTGAGCTCCAATCTCTTCCAGTGCCGCTTGGATGTCTTTCTCTCACTCGTCTCTGCCCTCAAGGCACTTCAGAATATGTACGTTCACTGTCCACAGGCTGTGTGCAGAATTCTCTATTTGTTTGGGTTTAGAGTCAGATTTCCGAATTGTAGGCTGTGCTGTGCTCATTGACAGTATGTGCTACTCTCGCTAATCTCCACGCACCCTACCCGATACCGATCCTCTCCACTCCTTTCTGCCATGCCCCTCACATCACATCACTCCCCACCCACAGTCACCTGCAGTACAACTGGTTCTCCAGCTCCATCCCCTCCTCTCTCGTCGCCCTGCCTGTTCTCTCCACCCTGTACGTGAACCCCCCCCACCCTTCTACTGACTCCAAAGAGCCGCCAACATCATCTTCCGCCACCGTTTTGTACCATTCTCCACTCCACTCTCCGTCAGCAACACTCTCGCTTGCACCATTCTCTCAGCAGTTACTCTTGCCCCTCTATCGGACCTGTCGTGTTCACCTCCCTGACCCCTCTTCCTTCTCTACCCTCCATCTCCCCTGCCCTGCCACCACCTGTTGCTGCAGCAAGCTAACCGCACCATTCTCTCATTCAGCACTCGTGCATAGCAGTTACTCTTGGTCCTCTATCAGACTTGTCTTGTTCATTCCCCCCTCCACCCTCCATCTCCCCCTGCCCTGCCACCACCTGTTGCTGCTACTAACCGCAGCTATCTCACTGCCTACTAAGCCTTCCACTCTGCTCTCATGAATTCCGCTGATTCCTACCTTTCTTCATTCCCCTTCGACGCCCTCCCCCAATCCCCATACCCTTTCTCTCTATCCCCCCACACCGCCACGCACAGCAAGCTGAGCCGCAACTATCTGACGGGCACAGTGCCGGCGTTCAAGACGTCCCTCAAGGCCCTCAACGTGGCCAGCAACCTGCTCTCGGGCTCCTTCCCCATCGCCACCCTCACCGCCTGCGATGCGCGCTCCAACTGCCTCTCCAGCGCCACCAACTGCGCCAACACTGCCGGCACATCACAGCTGGCAGCCTCAGAGTGCAGCGTGTGTGGGTCCACCGATGCTTCTGGCGTTCTGTGTGGGGGAGGGCTGTGCGCCCCTGATGCCTCCGCCCCTGCTGCCTCCTCCACCCCCAACACGGACGGCCAGCCGCTGCTGCCACTGAGCTGCCTGGGAGTGCCCATGGATGCGGCCATGGGGTTGGCGCTGCTGAGTGTGAAGGCATCGCTGGGTGTCACGTTCACGGATTGGAATGTGGATGCGCCGTGTGCACTGGCAGGGCAGGCCGTGGTGCCGGGCTCGTGGTCCAGCGTTGTGTGTGACGCCAACGGCAAGGTTCTCACCCTGTGAGTGCAGGGCATTCGTGTTTTGCCACGAAGCATCGTCTCATGTCTATACTTCGGTTTGATGAATGGATTAGACCGCGTGCATCTTTTAATCATGCTGCCATGCCATGGAACCCTGTCACCATGTCACCATGTTACCATGTTTCCATGTCATGATCATCATCCCTCGTCGTTTAACCCAACCACCACCACGTTGTGCCACACGCATGCAGCAAGCTGGGCGAGCTACTGCTGCCTGGAACCGTCAACTCCTCGGTGTCAACGCTCACCTCCCTCACCAGGCTGTAAGTTGCGCCTGCCTTTATTTCCCACCCACTGAACTATTTGGCTCTTTTGCTTTCATTCACTGTGTGCACTTGACATGCTCGCATGCTCACATCGTCGCATGCTCACACAATCTCATGCTCTGAGGTGCACGTGTGTCGGCTGTGCCATGCTGCAGCGAGCTGAACAACAACCTCTTCTCAGGCCGCCTGGACTCGTTCCTCACCCCTCTCCTTCCCGTCAAGACCCTCAAAGTCCTGTGAGTTGCATTCGCTGCACTGCATATACTTCTCTTGCAACAACACTCCACCTCCAACCCCAACCACACTGCATTCCCCAACCAACGCAACCACAGTTCATTGGGTGGCTCTATGGCTTTTGACTGCCTTGACCTTCTTTCCTGGCTTGTATTTATTTCCGCACGGCACCCATTCATGTCAGGCATGACAAACACTTCATACAGGCCAAGCCGCGGCAGCGCACCTACAGGACCCAAAAAGATGTCGTGTACCACTGATTGTGTGACTCTGAACCCTTTCTCCCTATTGCTTCCCTCATCCCCCCTTCCAGCCACGTGCACAACAACTACCTGTCGGGCGCCATGCCTCCATCCCTCACTGCTTTCTCCGCCCTCTTTGAACTGTGAGATCCCTTTTCTCGCCCTTTGCCACGAATTGCTTTATCCAAACTCGGTATTTCATCTCCGTTCTTCCCCTCCATAACCCGCTGTCCGTCTGGCTCTCGTGATTGCATTGCCTAGACGAGATCCCTGCGCCCACCTTCTGGATTTGCTTTTCAGAGCTCTGTGGTTTATGCAGCACGCCTGTAGTACATGCACGTTGGTCACGCCTGAGATTCAACCTCCACCTTCTTACCCCACTCCCTTCCCCCTTGCCCAACACAGCAAGATCCAGGGCAACTACCTGACAGGCAGCATGCCGGCAGCACTGCCGGCGTCCCTCAAGTACCTGGACGCATCAGGGAACTACCTGGTGGGAACGTTCCCCACCACCACCACCACCTACTGCAGCTGCGCCAGCAACTGCTTCAAGGACAGCACCAAGTGCACCAGCGGCAGCACGCAGCGAGCAGCAGCAGCATGTGCCATCTGCGGCAGCACCAACGGCACCGGGGTGCTCTGTGATGGCGGCACGTGTGCTCCCAGTTCGACGGCTCTGATCGCAGCAAAGACTGTGAATACGGGGACGGCTGAGATGTACTGCGCGGGTGCTCCCATGGATGCTGCCATGGGTGAGTGCAGGGAGCAGTGAGGCCAGGCGTGAGGGGTGTGCTTATTAAAAGGGGACATTTGAGAAGGGGGAAGAGGAGCCTTGCAGGAGTGCCTGCTCCGGTCCATACAAATATTGTACCGTCTATGATCTCATATTATTTCTTATCACATCATATCAGATGAGACCACAGTTTTCCTTGCTCCAAGAATCGTCCACATAGCCCTATCCAATAAGAATCGTCACCGAAGGTGTCCCTCCCTCCTCCTTCCCCTCTACCCCCCTAGCTGCGGCGCTGCTGAGTGTGAAGGCATCGCTGGGAGTGTCGTTCACCAGCTGGGCGGTGAGCTCGCCGTGTGCCGTGGAGGGAGTGGCAGCACCGCCAGGTGCGTGGTCCAACGTCCTCTGCAACTCTGCCTTCAAACCCGTCTCCCTGTCAGTCACCCGCTCCTCATGCCGCAGCTGTCTAGCTGATGTCGCTGCTGCTGCTATGACTGATCAGAGTGTTCCAGAAGTTCACTTCTAAAGTAATCTTTTAAGTTCCTGTCAGAACCACGTCTCTTGGAATGTCCTTCCTCAAACTAGCAGTGTTTGCCTGTTTTCGGCTGTGTTTGGCTGTGTTTGAATGTTTTGGACGTGTTTGAATGTTTTGGCTGTGTTTGCCTGTGTTTGACTGTTTTCGCTGTGTTTGGCTGTGTTTGATTTGTGTTTGGCTGCGTTTGGTTGTGTTTGGCTGCGTTTGGCTGTGTTTGGCTGTTTTTGGCTGCATTTGGTTGGTTTGGCCATGTTTGGCTGTGCTTGGCTGTGTTTGGCTGTTGTTTGAATGAGCAGCAAGCTGTCGGGGCAGAAGCTGGCAGGAAAGATGCACTCAGACATCTCCAAGCTCACCACTCTCACCTCCATGTAAGCCTATTCTTCAAGTGCCTCCCAACCAACATCACCACCCTCGCTTTCATGTTCTAGTATCCCCACTCACGCCTCGCTTGCTTCGTCTTTGATTTTGCATCGTCCAACTTTGACAGCCTTCCGTCCCAGCCACCTTCCACATCCATGTATCAAAGTCATTCAGTGTATCCTACGTGTTACCATTCGACTCACCACTGTTGCTTGCTTATCTACTCACTTCAAATCGGCCCGTGTTGTTGTTTCTCCCATTGTCTCTCCCCCCTTTATGGCTTCAGCGTGCTGTATCTGATTCTCCTCTTGCGCGCTTATCTAGTTACCTCAACTCAAAACGCACTTGTGTGTCCGACTCATACACCCCATCACCTCACTCACTCCCTCCTCTTTACACCACGAATACAAACCCCTCCCTACCTCCCCGTGTACCCCTTACAGTGATTTCAGCAGCAACTTATTGCAGGGCCGTCTGGATGCATTCACAACCGACTTCAAGGCACTCACCTCGCTCAAGCAAGCGTGAGTGGTGTGGACATTGTGTCCCTCTGCAGCAGATCAGAGCAGTGCAGAGCAGAGCAGAGCAGTTGTGAGCAGAGTAGAAGGTGTAAACATGTAGAGCAGAGGAGAGTTGCTGTAAGTTTGCAGCGCAGAGTACACAAGGTGGAACAGAGGGAGTCACTTGAGTTGAGAGAAGGCAGACTGATGAAGTAGCTCCTGGATAAGGTTGCCTGTCGCAGCTGTCACTACATACCACGGCATGCATAAACATCTCTTTCCTCTTTACGAAGTCTCTCGAGATCCTCTTATCTTTCTCCCATCTCCACCCCCCTCTGCTTCCCCCCATACTCTCTCCACTCCCTTCCTCTCCCCACTTCTCCCCTCCTACCAACTCCGCTCCCCTCCCCTCCCGTCCTCTCCTTTCTCGTTTTGTTTCCTCTCAACCTGATCACCTCGCCCATGGCAGCAACTTCAACTTCAACTGGTTCGCTGGGTCCATCCCCTCTGCCCTTGTGGGCATCGCCTCCCTCACATCATTGTGAGACCTCCTTGCCTTGTGCGTGTCGTGCATTTGCTCCTTCTGCCTCATTGACTTCACTCCTGCTGCCTCATTGCCTTTGCCTTACACTCACTCACTCTCTTCCACTCTCAGACACTCTGACACTCACTATCTCCCTCTTCCCCCCCATCCTCACCCCTATCATGCCTCCTCTTCAGTGGTGCGAGCTACAACTACCTGTACGGCCCCGTGCCCAAGCTTGGCACGGCTCTCAAGACCATCGACGTGCAGAAGAACTGGCTGTCCGGCACATTCCCCGGCACTGGCTTCCTCTCCTGCTCTGCCTCCTCCAACTGCCTCGCCAGCACAGGCGCATCCAACACCACAGGCACCACGCAGCGCCCATTGGCTTCTTGCGCCGTCTGTGACTCTCCCACTGAGGCTGATCCCATCTGTGCCGGCGGCACCTGTGCTCCCAACACTGCCGGCCCTCTTGCCTCCTCCACCACCCCCACCACCTCGTCTCCCATCCTCCTGCGCTTCTGCGTCGGTGTGCCTTTGAACGCAGCGCAAGCCGCCATTCTCCTCTCTGTGAAGACGGCTCTCGGGGTCACCTTCATCGAGTGGTCTGCCAGTACCCTTGCATTATCCCCCAAGGCCAAGACCCTTGTCAGCGAATTCAGAAACGGGCTCAAGGCGATGGGGAGGCGGCTCTTGGCAGAGAGTGAACCGGGCAGGGAGAGGGTGCTGCTGGTGGCTTCGGGGCAGATGGGCTCGTGCACGATTCAAGGCCAGACGCCCGTCCCTGGCTCCTGGCCGTGCGTGTTCTGCTCTTCTGCCGGCATGGTCGTCGGCCTGTGAGTGCTGCTCCTCTCCTCGCAAACCCAGGCCCCCAGAATAAAATGCTCTGCTGATTCTTCTTGCCTTTTGTGTGTAAACCCACGACGCACAGCCATCCCCTGTCCTCATGCCTGACTTGGAACCACCACTCTGTCTTCCCCTGCTGCTCCATCTTCGCCTGCTGCTCCCTCTTCTCCTGCTGTTCCCTCTTCCTCTGCTGTTCCCTCTTCCCCTGCTGCTCCCTCGTCCCGTGCTGCTCCTTCTGCCTCTGCTGCTCCGTCTTCCCCTGCTGTCCCCCCGCCCCCCTCTGCGTGGAGGGCAGGGATCTTTGGAGTGTCCTGCTGCGAGGCACCGTGCACGCCGACATCTCCAAGCTCACCACACTCACTGCGCTGTAAGGCCACGGGGTGACTCTATACTTGACTCGAGCATTCACCTTCTGAGTCAGTTGGAATGCCGCCGTGGGCACAGGCATGTCTAGAATCACCACACTCACCGCACTGTAAGGCCTTAGGGTTCATTGTTTTAGGGGGTTGACGTTTCAAATATGCTCAATGGGGTGTGGCAGAGGTGACAGGACAGGCAGGATTTTCTCTGTGGGGGCAGATAATGCTGTTGTTCGCAACCTACACTGCACTCATCTCACCTGTAGTCCCAACCCAAATGCCTCCTTGCACATACAGCATGCACACTCGTTTGACTATTCAACCAATATCCCTCCACCCCACAATCGTCACCAATGGTTCTCGTGTTCGCCGTGACTTCCCGCCATGCACAGCTACCTGAATGTGTTCCCACCATGAATCCCCCCGTGTGTTCCCATGCGCAGCTACCTGTCATCCAACCTCTTCAACCAGCGCCTCGACTCCTTTGTGGCTCCTATTCTGCCCACCGCCTCTCTCAAGGAGTTGTGAGTGCACCTCGCACGCACCCAAGCTTATCAAGCCTGTGAAGTGACTACTCATATAATTGCTAAGTGCTGCTGGTACTAAGTGGTGCTGATGATGTGACCCAGACGGTCCTGTGTAGGATTAATGATGCATGTAGGGTCGAAGCTTGCTGCACAGCCAGCCCCAACAAGTTCTTCCATCGCCCCACCTGTTGAAGGACTTACAACCGTCGCAGAACCTTCTCAAACGAATCTCTGCACCATCTCTACTGCTGCTGTGTTGCAGGGCTTTGCCTTGCTCACTTGCTTGATACTGGTCTTTCTCACCGTCTCATGCGTTGCTCGTCATCTGCCATTCTTCCTCCTGATTACTCCTGTCCCTTCAATGCATGTTTACGGTTGTACTCTTGTGTGCATGTGTGCGTGTGTGTGCGAGTGTGCATCGTGTGTGTCCATCATGTGTGTGCATGCATGCACCACAAATGCGTCTCTGCATGTGTGCATGCCTGTACGTGTCCCACCAGGGTGGTGAGCTTCAACTGGCTCTATGGCTCTGTGCCATCCAAGCTCGTAGCCATGGCCGCCCTCTCCAATCTGTAACAACCCGTGCTTAAACTCGTTTCTCATGTCCTCTTTGCAAGAGATTTTTGACAACTTTAACAGAAAAGCGTGAATATCCCGCATGACCGAACTCTCCAACCTGTAAACTCCGTAACCCTTTTCACATCACCATTCACCTCTACTTTCCCTAATCCACCATTCCTTCCCATTCCCCCTTTCGTTACCACTCCTTTCTCATCCCCCCCTTTCCATTCTCCACCTCTCTTCCCTATCTTCCCCTTCTTCCCCGCGCCATCCCAATCACCAGGCGCTTCAGCTACAACTATCTGACAGGCTCGCTGCCCAAGCCCGGTGCCACCCTCAAGATTCTCGACACGCAGGCCAACTTCCTCTCGGGCACTTTCCCCACGGCCACTCTAGTAGCCTGCAACGCTCGCCTCAACTGCTTCACCGACGCTTCTGCTTGCCCCAGCCTGGACGGAACGGCACAGAGGCCAGCAGCAGGGTGCAACATGTGTGGCTCACCAACGAAGAAGCAACAGGGGCTGTGTGGAGGAGGCACCTGCTTGCCCATCGTCTCTCCTTCCCTCGCTAAGGTTCCCAACAGTGCTGCTGCTCCCATGCTCCCGATGGCATGTGCTGCCGTGCCCCTTGATGCCACCACTGGTGGGTGCCTTGCCTTCCATCCCCCTTCATCACTCCCATCCTCTAATTCCAGAATTCTCTAGCTCAGATCACCTTGACACTTGCCTTGCTCTGAGCCTGCTTTTCACCACTCGTGAGTCCCTTCCCTGACTGGCACCACGCGTGATTCCCTTCTCTTCCCTCCATGCCGCCAAGCAATATCCCTCTTCTTTCGACATGCCACCACCCATGCCATAGCATCGTCACACCACCGCCACGACCTGCAAGCATCCACTCAGCGTCTTCTCCTCTCCCCCCTCCACTCCACGTGCACTCCCACCGGCAGTGGCGGCACTGTTGAAGGTGGGGGCGGCTCTTGGGGTGAGAGACACGGACTGGCGCAACGGCAGCAAGTGCAACATTGAGGGGCAGACCGCCAACTTCAAGACGTGGCCGGGCGTGTGGTGCAGCGCCAACGGCACCGTCCTCTCCATGTGGGCCCCCCTGCCCTCCTGTTACCCTTGCACTCACTCCTTGACTTCCTCTCTCCCTCTCTCTCTCAAACGTCCCCTCATTGAGTATGCGTGTAGTCCTTCTGTCCACATGCCTCCTGCTAACCCCATGCCTCCTGCTATCCACATGCCTCTTGCTCCTGCTATCCCATGGCAGCACGTTGCCCAACAAGGCACTGAGGGGCATCATCCATGCCGACATCTCCAAGCTCACTGCCCTCTCCTACCTGTACGCCCCCCCAACCCTCAACCTCCCACCCGGGCGTTCTCTACAAGCATGTTCTCACTTTCACACACATGCTAGGGTCGACATGATGTCTGCACACCTGGGTCCATCCAACTCTTGCCTTCACGGCCTCTTTTCCAACCTCTGCTCCATCTTCTCATCCCATATCTCGCCCCTCCTCTCCCTTCATCCCGTGCTCCTCCTCTCCCACGCCCACTTGCAGCGATCTGTCCTACAATCTCTTCTTTGGTCAGCTCTCCAAGTTCGTCTCCAACGTGCTGCCGCTCGCCACCGTGGCCACTCTGTGAGTTGAACTCAAAATCTCCCAAAGTCCTCACCAATACGGCCGCTCTGAGAGTGCAACGCTTCCAGGGGGGCAGCACCCAACGCTGCTTACACGTGACGCCTAGGGACATGTCCTGCCGGTACAGCTTCTTGATTCGTCCAGCCCGAGTTTGTCCCGCCGTTGCTTCTATGCATAAGACCGGCATATCACGTAGCGTTGAAGCACCTACTGGTGGAGAAGAGGGAGCAGGGGTCACGTACTTGTGCAACATGGGCTGACCCAGGACGGACAAGCATGGGTACTCACCACTGCTCTCTCTAATAGCTATTTTCCCCATGTGCTTCACATGTGCTCTCATTTCCAGGAACCTCAACTCCAACTACCTCTATGACAGTATCCCATCAGCTCTGGTCAACATGCCTAAACTCACGGAACTGTCAGTTCTGCCCATGCCCATGCCCATGCCCATGCCTTTTTTATGCCCATGCCTTTGCTACGCCCATGCCTTTGCTATGCCCATGCCTTTGCTATGTCCATGCCTTTGCTATGCCCATGCCCATGCTATACCCATGCCCATGCCCATGCTATACCCATGCCCATGCTATACCCATGTCCATGCTCATGTCCACGCCAATGCCCATGCCCGTGCCTGTTACCATTGGCCTCCAACCCCTCTCCTTCGCTTCCTTCACCTACTCCACCCCACAGCCGGCTGGGAGCGAACTACCTGACGGGCACGCTGCCAGCCATGGCCACGCAGCTGCAGGTGCTGGCCATCGCCAGCAACCTCCTGGCGGGCGCCTTCCCCACGCAGCCCTTCCAGCTGTGCGACATCCACAGCAACTGCCTCTCCTCGCCGGGCTACTGCACCAACGATGCCGGTGTGGCTCAGCGCACCTCCGGCTGTGCCTTCTGTGGTTCCGCCACGGGCGCCCCGCCTTTCTGTGCGGGCACCACCTGCACTCCCGATGTCGCTGCTCGCCTTGCTGCCAGCACCGTCAACACCCCTGCTGCCGCCCTCGCAGCAATGTTTTGCGAGGCCGTTCCAGTGGATGATAACTCTGGTGAGTGGGGAATTACAGCCCGTCATGATAGTGGAAACGTATTGGTTCGTTTCGTAGGGCTGGACTGCACGGGTGTGAATCGGCACTCTCTGTCGGATCCAGCAGCAGCACGAGTGTGCCAGGATGAGTACTCTTACAATATCCCTTCCTCTCTACCGTCTTCCCTTCCGCCCCCTCCAATCCACCTGGCCCTGCTCCTCCCCCATACTCCTCCCCCCTGCCCCCCCAGCGCTGGCGCTGCTGGCACTGAGGGCGGGGCTGGGCGTGAGTGCTCTCAGCTGGGCGGTGGACTCGCCCTGCACGCTGGCGGGCAACGCCCCCGCGGTGGACAGCTGGACGGGCGTCGTCTGCGACCTCTCGGGCCAAGTGCTTAGCCTGTGCGTGCGCGGGTGATGGGTGTGTGTGGGCTATGTGTGGTGGTGGGCTATGTGCATGTGCACGTGTTATGCGCACGTGTGCTACGTGCATGTACGTGTGCTATGTGCTTGCCTGTGCTCCCTCTGCAGGTGTCCAACCCATCTTGATGCCAGCATGCTTTATGCAGCATGCATGCTCTTTCCCGCCCGTGTCTCTTGTCATGTCACCATCGGCCTCCAACTGTCTATTGGCAGAAGAAATTCTTCTTTCTGCATTCTATGCTCCATGGTCAATTGCTCAGAAGCTCCTTCTCACACTTGTTTCTCCTCATCCTAACACCATATGAGCCCCTTCAACCTCACATCCCTGCAAGCTCCATGCCCGCATGCTGCCCTGCCTGCTGCACCGCTGCTCCTCACACCAATTCCTCCTCGTCCCTTGGTTCGTACGTGCATGGCATGGGGTTGCTGACGTCACAACAGGGATCTTTCCAAGATGAACCTTCGTGGCAGCTTGCATGCCGACATCTCCAAGCTCACTGCACTCACCAGCCTGTGAGTGTGGCTACGTTCACTGGCATGTGGGCCAGCATCTATCCACCCTTACCTCGCCCCGCACGTCCATCATGTTCCTCCATTGTGCTTCAGCATGCCATTCCTTTCAACCTAAACCACTCCCCAACCCTCGCATACCCCTCCGCTCACCTCTTATTGCCTCCTTGCCTCTGTTCCTCCTCTGTGCCTCCATACCCCCACCCCACGCCCCCGATGCTCGCAGCAACGTGGCGTCCAACCTCTTGGATGCGCGCATGATTGAGTGGGCTCTGCCTCTCACGGGTCTCAAGGCACTCAAGCAACTGTCAGTCCTCCGGCCTGCATACCTTCTTGCACAGCCTCTGCCACACCGCATGGCCAACAGCACAGGATTCTGCACACCAGGCTCTCTTTAATGCATGTGTGCGCCAGACCAGGCCAGGGCAGGCCCGACCCGGCCTCACAGGGCAAGGCCTAAAGTTCCACCGTGCGGTGCGGGTGCCAATACTGTTCAAATCCTCGTTTCACGTTCTTTATTCTTCCACTTTTCTCTTGTGTGTCTTTTCAACTGTGTCAACTTCCTCCTGTGTCTGTCAACTTTCTCTTGTTTGACTTTTTCCCCCACCACCCTGCAGGTCTCTCAACAACAATTGGTTCTCCGGCCCTCTGCCCTCATTCCTCCTCACCATGTCCTCCCTCTCAGCGCTGTAAGCACCCCAACTTGTGGAACCCAATCATCATACACACACATGCACTCCCCTTTCATTGTTCATAACGACCCTTTTTCTCATTCATAATCACGGATCATGGCACCCTGCGCTTACTCCATTGTGTACCTCCTTACTGATTCCTCGCCTCAATCAACCCCCTTTACACTCTCCATCTGCCCTTCCTCACCCCCCACCCTCCTCCCCTCCCCCCTCACCAGCAACGTGCAATTCAACTACCTCGCTGGTCCCATCACCGGCACTCCCTCTGCCTCCCTCAAGTCCCTCAACGTCGCCTCCAACCTTCTCACAGGAACCTTCCCAGCATCTTCCACCACCGCATGCGATGCACGCAGCAACTGCCTAGCAGACTCCTCCAAGTGCCTTGCCTCTGGCTCCTCCTCCCAGAGGAGCACTTCTGACTGCAATCTGTGCGGTGCTGGGAGTTCCAGTGTGGTGATATGCAATGGAGGGGTGTGCACACCTGACACTACCGCGCCGGTGGCAGCACTCACGCCTAATAGTGCCTCAGATGCTCTGCTGCCCATGCAGTGCTCGGGTGTGCGCATTGATGCCACTGCAGGTGCGTCCGCTGCCCATAGTTTCTTTTCCGATATTGTCTCTCATTTTCCACCATACGCTTTTGCTCCCTCCCTCTCTCACTCAACCATACGTCCCTCAAGCATCTCTCCTCGCTCCACTCCCGCCTCTCTTCCCACCGTTCCTCCCTCTTCTCCTTCCCGCACCCCTCCCCACCCTCCAGTATCAGTGCTTGGGAGTCTCAAGGCGGCTCTGGGGGTGCCTCTCCCGGACTGGGGAGTGAACTCCCTGTGCACGGTGGTCATTGTTGTTTCCGGGGTCAGCAGCTCCTCCCCTGGCCCGAGGGACTTGGGAGGCGTGCTGTGCAGCCCGGCCGGTGCTGTGGTGGAGATCAACCTCAACACGCGCCAGCTGGCTGGGTCCATGCATGCAGATATCTCCAAGCTCACTGCGCTCACTGCTCTGTAAGCCCACTGCTCGCTAATACTCTGTAAAGTCTAAGCTTCAAAATACCGCTGCTATAGTATAACAATAGATATTTAAAGTGGTATCACAATGCATGCGGAATCCTTCGGCAGAACCAGGCTGCCCAACATGCCTATCGCTCTGCACCTCTCCCCTTCCTGCGTTCCCCTCTTCCTGCGTTCCCCTCTTCCTGCCTTCCCCTCTTCCTGCCTTCCCCTCTTCCTGCCTTCCCCTCTTCCTGCCTTCCCCTCTTCCTGCCTTCCCCTCTTCCTACCTTCCCACATAATGCTTCTCCGGCAACTCATCCCCCTGTGCCTTCTCTCCCACGCCTCCCGTTAACCATCCCCACCTTTTCCGCAGGGCCTTCTACTCAAACTATTTGGCTGGTCGCTTGGATGCCTTCACTGCGCCCTTCACTGCTCTCTCCAGCCTAGTGAATCTGTACGCCCTTAGCTCAAACACTCCTTCTCAGGATGGTAGTCTCGACCTGTCCTTCCTGTAAAGGCATGGCGTGTAGAACAGAATTGTAACTGGGTACAGACTCCGGAGGGCCTGGATGTTCTGCCTCTTGTTCCCATATTTAATGTGCGTTCTCCTTCCCTGCATATGAGGCACGTCGCACCTCACCAGCCTTCACTCATCACACCCGCATGGGCCTTCTCCCTGCGAAATGCAATACCTGGAGCACACACCCTTGCCCTGTTTCTCGTTGCTTTCCCTCGCCCCACCCTCGTCCCTGTGTGCTGTGCAGCCAACTACACTACAACTACCTGTTTGGGCCCATCCCCTCAGCTCTGATCGGTCTCAAGAGCCTCTCCAAGCTGTGAGATTACCACCTTTATGCCATTGTGTGTCATGCCATGCCATGCCATGCCATGCCATACCATACCGTGTCACTGGTATCATGCCAGACCTGCACATGGCACTTCGCCGCCTTCCTCTGAGTATCCTTCCGCCTCACACTTCACTCACTCAACCCCATCAAACTCTTCGTCTCCACGTTTACTGGCACGCACTCTTGACCCGGCGTTTTTTCCTACCCTATTGGAAGTCTAGTGTTTTAAACTCGGCTTAAAATACACTCATTGAATATCCTGCACAGGCCTTGCCTGTACCTACTCTACCAGAAGTTTGCTGCACTAGTCTCATCTCAAAGCATTCTATTTCCCTTTCTTCATGCCTCATTCCACAGGAGTCTGGGCTCCAACTACCTCACTGGGAGCGTGCCAGTGCCAGGCACTGCCATCAAGCACCTGGGCTTCGAAAACAACTACCTCGTGGGAACCTTCCCAACAGGTTCCTGGCTGTCCTGCTCGGCACTCACGAACTGTTTCTCGAGTGCTGCTGCTTGCACGGCCGACGGAGGCAAAGGGACTGTTCAGAGAACCACGTGCAGTATCTGCGGCAGTGCCAATGGCACAGGGGTGTTGTGTGGCGGCGGTGGTGCGTCCACCTGCCAGCCCACAGCTGCTTCCCTCGCGTCCCTCTCCACGCTCAACGGCCCCTCTACACCTGCACTCCCTATGGAGTGCTCCTTGCTGCCAGCTGTACCCGTCAACTCTACTGCCAGTAAGACACCCCATCGCTTGGGCACGGGCATGACACGGGCTTGGCCAAAGACGGGCACAGGCATGGGCGCAGGGAGCATTGCACATCCTGCACCTTCCTTTCTCATTCCGCACTCACGTTTGATGCTCACTATCCACTCCCCCATTGGTTATTCAAAGCAGCTATTAGTTCGAATTAATTATAAACGAGGCATGCCCATCATTTGGGAACAAATTAAGCACGTCAGCCAAAACAATCCTCTCTTCTCATTGTCTCCCCGCTCCTCAATGGCAGCGCTGCTGAGCATCAAGACTGCCTTGGGAGTGACGCACGCAGGGTGGGCAGCAAATGCTGTGTGCACGCTGGCAGGGACAGGTGGCACTGTGGCGAGTGGGAGCTTGACGGGTGTGGAGTGTGACTCAGCTGGCAACCCCGTCAAGATGTGAGCACTTGATTATTTGTTGTATTGAACCCTCGTTTGTAGATAAATGAAGCCTGGAGGTATTGGTAACGGTGTCACTGTTGTTGTGTCCAAACAGCTGCTCAGATTGTTCAAAAGCTGGCAATCTCATGAAGGTAGTGAGGTATCAAGAGGGCATGTTGTTAGGATGAATCGTGGAAAGTACATTTATTTAACAGTGCTAAATATAGAGAAACGCAAAGTCTTGAGTGGTCCTTCCCCCTCCTACAATTACTGCTTTTCCACTTATCCTTCCCTGCTTGCTCTGGAGTGCCTTTGCCTAAATTCGGCACCTCTGACTCCTTCCCAGCTCCTCTCACTCCAAATCCTGCTCGATCATTCCCGTATTTTCTCTTTCGTTGTTTCTCCCTCTGTGCCAGCACTCTCAACAACCAGCAGCTGTTTGGAGTGCTCCCTGCTGATGTCACCAAACTCACAGCGCTGACTTACCTGTGAGTGCACACATGCACGCATGTACACAGGACTTTCAAGCTTGTGCGCAATGTTTCGTGCATACAAGCATACGCAAGCATGCGAAGGAACACATGTGACCACTCAGGTGCATGCAGTTATCATTTGCATTAAAGAAGCAATCAGATCAGATATATGTTATGCAGGAAACTGTGATTAGGACTCCACGTACACACGCTCCGACGTCCCAAGCTTCTTCCTTGGCGTATGCAAACCTGCGCTGCGCCCCCACTTCTCCCCAACTCTATCTCCTCCCCTTCATATTCTATTCCTCTCCCATGCCCCACACTGCAGCTCGTCTATGCCCCTCCTGTGCCTCCCTTATGCCTACTCTGTGTCCCCCTGCGCTCCCCCTCACAGCAACCTGCAGTCAAATCTGTTCAGGGCTCGCCTTGAAGATTTTGCCATGAGGCTTCCTGCACTTACCAACCTGGCAGTGCTGTGAGTCCCTCACCGACCTTCCAATGCTGCAACTCCCTCTGCACCTCGCATTCCCCATCCTTGCCGCTGCAAACCAAGGCGCCACTTGCCAGCCTTGCCGTCCTCATCTGGCCACGTACGCAGTTATCTACAAGGCACTCAGCAAGGAACCAATCATTCTGCGTTCAGCTTCCAGCCTCAGTGCGCTGCATTTCAGCGTGGTCAGGACGTACGGCTTAAGTGAACATAAAACACCTCTTCCCACCATGTGGGTCTGTCCTGAGCCATGAAGCATGAACTACAAATGTACCACTTGACCACGCCCGAAGAAGCGTCCTTCTCTATGATGTCTGTTTCAGGTCTCCGTCTTACATGTGTACCCTCTGCACCCCTCTGCACCCCTCTGCACCCCTTTGCGCCCCTCATCCGCTCTTCACGTTCCTCTGTGTGCATCCACCTCCAGCCTGCTGGACTACAACTGGTTCAAGGGCTCGCTGCCCCCGCCTCTCCTCGCCATGACCAAACTCACCCGCTTGTCAGTGCCGCCTCATCTTTCATGCCCCCTAGCTTTTGCTGCTAAACCATCTCCCACACGTGCCTAAGAATGTGGGGCCTACTCATACTAGTCGAGTTCTTGAATAGTTTGGGTCATGCTTCTTAGCTTCCAAGTGACACAGCATGCCCAAACAATCTGCCACTACCTTACAACCCGCCATATACCATACGCAGGAGCATGGCGTACAACTACCTAACATTCCGCGTGCCACCGGTGTCAGCATAGCTCAAGGCAATCGTCCTCTCCAACAACTTCCTCTCGGGCACCTTCCCTGCCAACTCCGCCACCTCCTGCGTCTCTGCTGCCAACTGCTTCACCAGCGCCACCTCGTGCAACACTCCTACCGAGCAGGGCGATGCGGCACAGCGAGCGACAGGGTGTGATATCTGCGGCAGTGCGAGTGGTCAGGGCATGCTGTGCGGCGGCACAGGGGTGTGCACGCCCAATACTGCTGCACTGTTCACTGGGACAGGGAGTCTTGGGTGTTGAGCCATTTGTGTCGAGAGAGAAGGTGTGCGGGGCGGAGTTCTGGCCATTTGAGGCCAGTTGAGTGGGTTGGGAAGATGTTCCCGCGTCGCCATTCCGCAATGTTTGGAGCCCTTGCTCAAGACTTGTGAGTCGCTGAAGCAGTTGTGCAAGGACGGCGGAAGGGATCGTCGTCGTTTCCTCGCTTATCGCAGCCGGATTGGGCTGCGCTTCAGCCGTCAGATTCGTCTGACCTCCAGATCCTCCGGCCATTCTCACACGCGAGCGTGTGCCAGACGCCACTTTCCGTTCGCCGAGAGTTTCGGAGGTGCAGTGCGAAGGATTTCCGAGTCGCTCTCATACCATGCTGCGATCAGAAGTTGATCGAACTAAGGATCACCTCAGGAAGGTTCGCACACTACTGATTTAGTGGTGGTGGGCTCTTGACCTCAATAGTAGAGTGAATCTAAATGCTTGAGATGATAAAAAACATGCAGTACAAGGAATATAAATAAGAGTACAGGGGAATTCGAATCGACCTAGCTAGCCATGTACTCTAAGGGGTACATTCCCTTATTACAGCGAAATCCAACCGTGCGACTCCGGGTGGTTACGAAACCGTTCGGGCAGAATCCTCGCCACTGCTGCTGCCTGGTGCTGTCTGCCCTGTTGGAAACAAGTAACTTAAACGCTTCTGATGTGTCGCAACAGCAAACTGAAAACGAAGCGAACTACAACGAAGCAACGGCGAGTCAACCATCGGAGGTTGACAAGAGAAGCAACTGCTGGAGGTTACGCGAAGGTCAAAGGTCAGCGACCTTTGACTTGACAAATGTAGCGCGACAGCAAGGACAAACAACTGACTCGATACTGAGCAGTTGCCCGAGTCGTCACTGTATCGAACCGCAACATCAACAGTAAAACAGTTATTAGTTATACCCTTCCGTATTCTTTGTAATCTTATAAAAGCTTGTATTACTTTTCTATAATCAATCTATCTTGCCCTCACATACTAACGCAAGGTGGTTCAACACTTGTCATTAAAACGCTTCCGCAACTACAACACTCAGAGTTTAGCCTTGTAGAGATCCTAAGGGCTTTTCTCAGCCCAACGTGGTATGAGAGCGGTCAAGGCAAATTCAACTGCATTCAAATCCTCTACAACGACAGAAAGCATGGCAACGCAGAAGGAGAGAAGCTCCTCCAACGGCACTCCTGGCACTACTCCTACTCCACCTCCAGCCTCTGGCCTGCAGACAGAGGGAGGTACAGCAACAAGACCAGCAGCTGAGTCTACTGAGACTCCCGCGAACCAAGCGACAGGCTTCGACCCAAGTATGATGGAGAAATTCTTCTCCTTCATGTCCTTCTACGAACAGCATCAGCAAGCGGCACCTGCGCAGTCAAACATCAGCAACAACAACAACGATGTTACACCCATGAGTCTCGATGGCTCATCCTATGCATGCGGAAACCAACAGCAACCCACCTTTGCTCCGTATGAGCCTCAACGTGGCTCAATCAGCTTCATGCCGCAACAACAGCCTCGACCTGGACAGGAGAAAACACTGGATGCGCTTCAAGTTCAATCGCAGTTCGCGTACATCCTAAAACTACAGACATCAACGCCTTTCGACGGCAAAGATTTTTATGCCTGGTCAGTCGAGTTTGAGCTGATGATGGAAGGCGCGCAGATTCTTGGATTTTTCAACGGGTCCCTGCCATATCCAACACACGGGATGCAGTATGACAAACAACAGTACACTTATCAGTCTATGATGGCATACACGATCCTGTTGAGGAACATAACTCCAAACCAGCAGCAGAACATCCGGTCTTATCGGGGATACGGCAACTCCGCCGAGCTCGCGTACAACCATTTGAAGAACCTGTATCAAGCAACAGACTGCGTCAATCGGAGTCGGTTAATGGCACAGCTGACAACAGTGGAAATGAAACCCAGCGAAAAGGGATGGCGTATATCAGCCGCTATTGCAAATTGCGCGTCAAACTCCTTCGATGCGGAGGATCGATATCTGAAGAAGCCTTCGTCACGGTCGTCATCTCCGGCCTTGGTCCTCATTGGCGCTCCACTCGAGCCATACTCCGAGCTCACGGGAAAATCTCCGAAGCGGCACTCTGCGCCGAAAAACACGCCGAACAACAAGACATGGACCTGCACGAGGAGCGTCACAAGAGGAAGACGCCAGTACCCGAATTTGCATTCCACACCCAACGGCGCTTCAACAACTCCAGCCGACAGAATAAACAACAACAGCAACAGCACATATCGCCAATCTGTCATCTCTGCAAGACGTCTGGACACCCTCGTACACACTGCCCAAATCTGCAACAGTCAACGACACCATAGCGACAACTTCGGCCTTCAAGCAGTCAAGTGACCTCCACTCAAACACACCCCACCAGTCAATCACAGTCTTCAACAACATCGACGACGCAATCTGCACAAGGGACAAGAAACATCGTGAGCCGCATGGCGAGATTGACAGACTCTTGCATCACTGAATCACCACCGTATTACTCACCGGAAGAACGACTCGATGAAAGCACCCCTCGCCGCGAGTCACTGGAGCCGAACCCGACATACGCAGCCATCGCCCAGAGCGAACCGTCCGGGAAAGACACTTGGTTCTTGGACAGCTGCTGCGGATAGCACATGTGCTCCTTGGGTCGCTTCGTTCAACGGGAACATCAACTCCAACGCGAAGTAGTCATCACCGTCGCCAACAACCAGAACATGCGCACATGATGGCAAGGCATCGTTCAACTTCAGTCAAGAGAAACCAACGTCATACTACAAATGTCAAAAGTTCTGATCGCGGAGGGACTCGGCTGCAACTTACTTAGCGTCAGCCAGCTGATGGCGAAAGGCATCCACCTCGAAGCAGACAGCACCACACAGGAGTTTAAGTTGTACCACGGGAAAGGAGGTCTCTACATCGGCAAGGCAGTGCTGAAGAACAATGTTTTTGTCCTCGACTTCGTTCCAGATCAAGGCACCGCCGACAGCGACGGGATCGTCACCTTCGCTCCGTGGACACATCCACCGGACCTCGACCCCGACTTCAGCCCCGGCGGCTTCTAGTACTCAAACACCGTACCTGAGGAAGAACGAACACGAGCATTAGCGACAATCCAACAAGCAGAGACAACATCGGCAGCAGCAGAGACAACATCGGCAGCAGCAGAGACAACACCGGCAGCAGCAGAGACAACATCGACAGCAGCAGACACAACATCGGCAGCAGCAGAGACAACGTCGGCAGCAGCAGAGACAGCACCAATCACGACACCAATCGCGGGTCCTTCAACAGCACCAGCCCCAATCGACGACGATACTCCACCGACTCCTGCGCAGCAACTGACTCCCACTAGACGAGAAGTCCACAGAAGCGCCAACTTCACCGCCGGTTTTTACTCCAACTCCGACTTGTACAGGCGCTCACCCGGACATCGTGCCGGCGAAGATATCTGGCACGCAAGAATGGGACATCCGAGCAACACGACGTTAAATAACACGATAAGAGCAGGAGTACTTGATAAAGACTCGCTACTTCTACCCGACGGCAGAGAACTTCAACGAGTTCGAGGAACATGCCTCACCTGCCCTGAAGCCGACTTACCTCATCAGCCTTTCGTCTCTCATCACAACCCAAGTGCACCGGCATACGCACCTCTGGAGAAGGTGTACAGCGACATATTGTACAACCGTGAACCGGGTCAAGGAGCATACAACTACGTCATCACCTTCATCGACGCCGCCACACGATACGTATGGAATCTTAACCTTCCGAGTCGCGACATGGCTTTCGAAGCCTTCGTCGTCTGGCTTCCAGTAGCAGAACGAGAATCAGGAGTGAAGCTGAAAAGCTTCCAGTCAGACGGGGGAGGGGAATAAACGTCACAGAGGTTCACTCAGTACTTGGCAGAGAGAGGCATCAAGCGACTTCTGTCCCTTCCCTACGCTCACCAACAGCAAGGCGTGGCAGAAAGAATGGACAGAGGCTCGGAAGAAGCCGGACCTCTTCCCTACTGCTCGGTGGACATCCCAATGGATGATGACAACCCTCGCGAAAGCATCAATGCCGAAGTCTTCTACGACTTCGCTGACACCGGTTACGTTACACCCGCACGAGTCAACACCGACGAAGCGGAACGCATAGGGCCAAGTTTCTTACCTGATCCAGAAGCAGGAGACGAAGCAGCTTATCCCGAAGACTCAAATCTCCCCCGCTACACACAGAGTGGACTCCAGATACTCGGGCTCGTCACCGCAGTCCACGGCACGGCGCCGCCTAAGGAGCCTGCCACAGTTCAGCAAGCTCTTGGGGGGGGAGCATAGGGAAAATTGGCACGAAGCCATGGACAAGGAATTAAAAGCGCTGGAAGACGCAATACCTGGAAAATCGTTCCCATCGGCGTGGCACGCAACAAGACAACCCTCACCGGGAAATGGGTTTTCCGTGTGAAAACCAAAGCAGACGGCACCATCGACAAATTCAAGGCGCGCTGGGTCGTACGCGGCTTCGACCAAGAGCACGGACGGGACTTCACCAAAACGTTCGCGCCGGTCAGCCGACACACCTCTCTGCGGATTCTCCTCGCGATAGCCGCCATGAAGAAGAAGAAGCTACGCCAAATCGACGTCGCCAACGCCTTTCTCTACGCACCCGTCGACGCTAAAATCTTCGTCGAGCAACCGCATGGCTCCAACGCAAACCCCAATCAAGTATGTCAGCTACTGAAGTCCCTGTACGGCATCAAACAGGCCCCGAGACTGTGGCAGCAATACCTACACGCGCGGCTCATCCGCATCGGATTCCACCAGCTACCGCACGACCAGGGCATGTACCGGCTCACGAAAGGCATCGACTACATCCTGCTGATCGTCAACGTGGACGATCTACTCTACATCGGCTCAACCGACAGCATCACAACTTGGTTCGAAGGGGAGCTGCAGCGGGACTTAACGCTCACCGTCTCATCCACCGTGACACAATACCTCGGGCTCAACATTCAAGAAGAGGAGAACGCGATCTACCTCAGCGCGGCAAAATACGCCGACACCATCGCTAATGTCGGAATCTCCTCCGCTTGCCCCTTCTCCTGTCTCCTTCATTCCTCTCTTCCTCACCTCTCCCGTCCCCACTTCCATGTCCCGATGTAAGCTCTGCCCTCTCTGTCTTGCCTCAGCTACTACCCTGAGTGGCCTTGTCACCTGGCTGCAGTAGCTTAAAACGACAACTTGTATCCACTATATTAGGTAGACAAACGAGAGAACAGGGTAGTCTGTACTAGGCTAGGCTACGTATTCCCCCTTCCCGTGTCGTGATTGTTTCTACGAACCGGGTTGGGTTGGAGTGGCCTGGGCCGTGGATTGGCCGCTGCCGATTTCCTGTCCCTCGAGGCGCCTTGAGCTCTTCCCAATGAACTTCGCAACTCCCCTTGTCACCAACTTCGCGTCACTCCCCTGGAATTCAACAACCCCTCGGCACTTTGACATAACCCACTTCTACACCCCTCTACACCACACTAGCATGCAACAGAATATAATGTTCATACACTATCTTCTGTGACAGCTGTCGGAATCTCCTCTGCTTGCCCCTTCTCCTGTCTCCTTCATTCCTCTCTTCCTCACCTCTCCCGTCCCCACTTCCATGTCCCGATGTAAGCTCTGCCCTTCTCTGTCTTGCCTCAGCTACTACCTGCCCCCTCCTGTGCTCGAGCTCGAGCTGCTCGGGCCCGAGTCACAGGACTTCCCAGCTGAGGCCCTATGGTCGTGAAGGTCTGGTGGCACACGGTCTGTTTCCTCTTTCTCTTTGCCAGCACCAGCAATCTCGTACTCCTCCGATTCCTCGCATGCCCTCTCTGCGCGCCCGGCATCTTTTCGAGAGAATCCTTCTTCCTCCTCCCCAGGTACACCTTTTATCCCACTTCCACTGCTGCCTTTGTTCTTGTTGCCGGCCTGCTGCTGCCGTTCCTCTTGCCTGTGTGCCTCGCTCATCTGCACTGGATTCAAGTTCTTCAGGGCTTCTGGCAGCTTTTTATTCGGGAACCTTGCCCTGTCTCTCGCCCGTGCCTCACAATTCTCAGCCCCTCCTATTCCCACTGTTTCTGTCATGGGTATGAATTCCCTCTCCTTCCTGGTCATCACCTCCCTCTCCGCCCACTTGGCTTCTTCCTTTCCTGACCCGCATGCCCATGCCCCAACCTTTTCGTCCTGCCCCATCACTTCTGCCGCCGCTGGAACACACACTCCTGCCCCCACCTGCTCGTCCTTCTCTTCAACGTCCGCTACTGCTAGTGCACACGCTCCTGCCCCCACCTGCTCCTCCCTCTCTTCCGCTTCTGGTGCTGCTGGTTCGCACGCCCCTGCCCCCTCTTTCTCGTCCTTCCCTTCCCCTTCTGCGGCTGCCCATGCCCCCACCTTCTTGTCCTCCCCTTCAGTGTCTACTGTTCCTAGTTCACACACCCCCGCTTCCTCCTTCTCGTCCTTCTCTTTCCCTTCTTCCACTGCCCATGCCCCCACCTGCTCGTCCTTCTCTTCCCCTTCTGCCGCTGCCCATGCCCCCACCTGCTCGTCCTTCTCTTCCCCTTCTGCCACTGCCCAGGCCCTCACCTTCCTCACTTGCTTCCCTCCTCCGTCCCTGGCCCCGCTGCGCCGCCCCACGGCTTCACTGCTATGTACCACCGCACAGGAATATTCTGGCTCCTGCTCCCCTTCCTCCTCCTCCTCGTCCTCCCTTGCATACAACCCTGCCTGCCTCTCTGCTCTTCCTCTCAACGCCCGCCCTTTCCCTCCATTTCTGCCCCCACTGCGCAGACCCAGTTTCTCACGGCCACGTAGCGCCAGGAATGTGTACTCTGGCTCCTGCCCCTCCTCCTCTTCTGCTTCTTCCTCCCTTGCGTACAACCCAGCCTCTTTCTCCTTCCTCCCTCCCAGGGCCTGCAACTGCGCCTGCAATTTCTTGATCTGGCTCTCGATCTCCTCTGACGACCTTTTTGTTCCGCCTGTCCTTTTATCGCAGCCCCTAGCCTCATGCCCCCTTTCTCCGCATTCCTTACAAGTTGGTGCTTCCGGGCAGTCCCTTCGGCGGTGCCCTGGCTTCCCACATACATTGCAGTTCCTACAGTGGATCCTTATGTGTCCCGGCTGCCCACACCTATAACAGGTGCGCGTCTCTGGCCTGCTCTCTTCTCCTGCTCCCTCCCCTGGTATCATCGCCGCTGCCCAGGTAGGACTCTTCTTCTCTGTCGTCCTTGGCAGATATACCTCGTACTTCCTCTGCGCCAGCTCCACTCTCTCTGCTAGCTCAAACACCTCCTCAGGTGTTGCGTCCGCCCCTAGCTCATAGACTCGCATTCTCAGTCCTCCTGCCAGTCCCCTGTCCAACCCATTCAAAAAACTTACTGATGATCATACTGCTGTCCGTGCACACTACGTCTTCCGCTAGATTCATCAACCGCCCATAATACGTCAGCAGGGATTCCTCGTCCCTCCTTCTGAACTCTTGAAATTCTTTGATGCGTGCTGCAGTGTGCCCCGGAAACTGCTTTCTCAGCCGCTCCAGGAACAGCACCGTCGGGTCCTCCTCATCCTCCTCCGCTCTCCTCAACGATTCTCCAATTTTCATACGGTACAGAGTTTCTGCCTCCCCTCCCAGTGTGTTTGGCAGGCTTAAGAAGAAATCTATAGGGTCCATCCCGCTCCGGTCACATCTGTACTTAACATTGCTTATCTGCATCAAGTAGTTCTTCAGGCTTGGGCCTGTGCTCTCGTTCCCTGTGAAGCGTACCGGCACCTCCACCCGTGGCGCTGCCGTCGTGCCCCATCTCCCCATATCCCAGCTCCCAGAGCCTCCCCGATCTGACAAAGCAGCCCCTCGCTGCCTCCCCTTCTCTCCTCTGCTTCCCGTGCTTGTCCCGTACAGTGCTCGCTCCAGCCCCTCACGAGCTGCTCTTGCCCCACTCGATCCCTCTCCGTGTTGTCGTAGCCTTCTATTTTCAATTGGACTCGCACCCCTCCTCCGATCATCTTCGCGGTCCTTCCTGTACCCCTCCTGATCACCCCATCTCCTCTCTCTTTGCACAGGCGAACGTTCCTGGCGATGCTGCTCTTGCTCCCTCCGCTGCTGACCTCCTCCCTCTGCTCTGGAACCGTGCGGTGAAAGCCTTCCCCAGCCCCTTTCTCCTCCTTCTCCGTTGCGCCCCCGCTCCCACCTAGGCGGGCTTCGCTGGTGTCGCTCCTCGTAGTCCCGCTCGTCTTCCCGCTGTTCCCGATCTGCTTGCCGACCTACACCCATCGCCATGCGCCGTACGCGATCATACCCTGGCCTTGGCTCAGGCGAGCGGAAGACACCTGCCGATGCCCTCTTTCCCTCTCCCTCTTCTCTGCGCGCCCCCGTTTGGCGCTCCACTGCCCTGACGCTCCTTCGCGGCACCTCTTCGCACCGTCCCCCAGGTGAGCGCTCTCCATTCCTGTCTTCTTCGTCATCCTCCCGCGCCATTTCGCGTCGGACTCGCTCCCCTTCATCCCTGTTCTTGTACCCTTGCCTTCCTTCTTCTCGCTCAGCAGGGAGATCCTGCTCATCGTTGGCGATGTCGCGCTTTCCGCCGCCCCGCGCAGTGGGGAACTCCTCCTCGTCGGCCGCGTCATGCCTTCCGCCGCCCCGCGCAGTGGGGGATCCGTCGTCGTCGGCCGCATCGCGCCTTCCGCCGCCCCGCGCAGTGGGGGATCCGTCGCCGTCGGCCGCGTCACGCCTTCCGCCGCCCCGCGCATTGGGGGATGCGTCGTCATCGGCGTTATCACGCCTTCCGCCGCCCCGCGCCGTGGGGGATCTGTCTTTGTCGGCCGCGTCACGCCTTCCGCCGCCCCGCGCAGTGGGGGATTCGTCGTCGTCGGCCGCGTCGCGCCTTCCGCCGCCCCGCGCAGTGGGGGATCTGTCTTCGTCGGCCGCGTCACGCCTTCCGCCGCCCCGCGCAGTGGGGGATCCGTCGTCGTCGGCGTTATCACGCCTTCCATCCATCCCGCGCTGGCCTCCTGCCAGGTTCCACGGGTTGCTGATCGCGGGCCGTCTCCACGGCTCTGACCTGACGCGCAGGTCCTCCCCGCTTTCTTCCCTTCGCACGCCCGTCGGCGTCACTGGATCCGCGCGATACGCCGCCCATCGTGGCAAGCGCATCGGCGATCTCCCACGCTCCTTCGAGCGCCTCATCCGCGACGGAGATCGTTCCCGCCGTGAGTACGTACGCTGCATGCGCGGATCGTGGCGATCCATCTCGCCGGTCAACTTCTCTCGTTTGTGAGAGATCCGGGCTCCCACACGGTGGCTACCCTGAGTGGCCTTGTCACCTGGCTGCAGTAGCTTAAAACGGCAACTTGTATCCACTATATTAGGTAGACAAACGAGAGAACAGGGTAGTCTGTACTAGGCTAGGCTACTTATTCCCCCTTCCCGTGTCGTGATTGTTTCTACGAACTGGGTTGGGTTGGAGTGGCCTGGGCCGTGGATTGGCCGCCGCCGATTTCCTGTCCCTCGAGGCGCCTTGAGCTCTTCCCAATGAACTTCGCAACTCCCCTTGTCACCAACTTCGCGTCACTCCCCTGGAATTCAACAACCCCTCGGCACTTTGACATAACCCACTTCTACACCCCTCTACACCACACTAGCATGCAACAGAATATAATGTTCATACACTATCTTCTGTGACACTAAGCGCTTCGGACTAACTCCAGCCGCCATCTCCACGCCATACCGCTACACCGCAGGAAACCACAACGAAACCTCCGCCCCACTCAAGTCCGCCGGCATACGCGACTACCAGCGAAAGCTGGGATGTCTCCTCTTCGCAGCCGTCACTTGCCGACCGGGTCTATCATATTCGGCAAGCCAGCTCGCCACCTACCTTAAGAAACCTGAAGCAGAGAACATGGCGGAACTCGACCACGCACTTCACTATCTCGTCAGCACTCCGACAATCGGCCTGACCTACCACAAAAATGGAACCTCGACACCTAAACTAATCGGCTATGTAGACGCCGACCACGCCGGCGACGCAGACAACAGGCGCTCGCGCACCGGCTATATCTACCGACTCGAACCTATCGGGCCTATCTCGTGGCAGTCGAGCAAGCAGGAACTAATCGCTCTCTCCTCAGCTGAAGCAGAATATATTGCACTCTGCTCAGCCACCAAGGAAGGCTTGTACCTTCGCGAACTGCTGGAAGAAGCAAAGTTGGCTCAGTTACCCAGCTTCACCCTGTTCTGCGACAACCAATCCGCAATTCGCATAGCCAACAAGAACGGGTTCGCGAACCGGAAGAAGCATATCGCCCTGCGATACTTCTTCGTGAAAGACAAGATCGAGAAGGGGAGACTTGAGCTATCTTACTGCCCCACGACCGAGATGGCAGCCGACTATTTGACCAAGAAGCTCGGAAAGCAGAAATTCGAGTACTGCATGCTGCTGACTGGACAAAGCCACGTCACGAGCAGCGACACTCCAGAAGCTAAGGGGAGTGTTGGAAACGAGTAACTTAAACGCTTCTGATGTGTCGCAACAGCAAGCTGAAAACGAAGCGAACTACAACGAAGCAACGGCGAGTCAACCATCGGAGGTTGACAAGAGAAGTAACTGCTGGAGGTTATGCGAAGGTCAAAGGTCAGCGACCTTTGACTTGACAAATGCAGCGCGACAGCAAGGACAAACAACTGACTCGATACTGAGCAGTTGCCCGAGTCATCACTGTATCGAACCGCAACATCAACAGTAAAACAGTTATTAGTTATACCCTTCCGTATTCCTTGTAATATTATAAAAGCTTGTATTACTTTTCTATAATCAATCTATCTTGCCCTTACATACTAGCGCAAGGTGGTTCAACACTTGTCATTAAAACGCTTCCACAACTACAACACTCAGAGTTTAGCCCTGTAAAGATCCTAAGGGCTTTTCTCAGCCCAATATGCCCGACGGTCCAGATGCTTTCGGAGGAGCGATTTGGGAAGATTGATTTGTGTGCGGTGCATTATATTCAGAATCCGGAGAAATAATGTCCACATATTTCGTATGGGTAGCAGAGAGTTTACCATCCACAACACTAGCTTCGCAATAAAACATGGCTCTTCCTTACAAGCAGCACTTCCCAATCGAGCCTTACAGGTAAGTGAGTGCGGTGAGTTTGGATATGTCTGCATGAATAGACCCCTTCAAACTCTGACGTGCCAACGAGCTGAGGGGAAGGGTGTGAGGAAGGTGAGAGAGGCAGACAGGGAGTTAAGCATCAGGGATGGGGGAAACTGTGAATACATCAAACAATGTCTTTATCGTTGTAACAGCCCGCTCACATTTACGTTATGGTTGCAGGACATTATGCATCTGAAAGCATTTACAGGTTGGCGCTAGACGCCAAGCTATCGCATGCGTGGTTGAAGCATGGGTCTTTACATGTAGATCACGTCCCCGATATCGCCACAGAGCACGCCGGACCACGTGGGCAGTCCAGCAGCCTGCTTGCCAACCACTTGGCACGGCACACTTGCTGCCCACGAGGTGAACGTCACTCCCAGCGATGCCTTGAGCGACAGCAGTGCTGGCGATGGGGGAGGGAGGGGAAGGGGAAGGGGGGAAGGGTGGGGGTGGGAGGAGATAGAGACAGATTGGGGAGTTGGAAAGGGGGGGGAAGTACAAGGATTAGGAGAGATGTGGAGAGAAAGACATTGGAAGAATATTGAGAAGAGAAACCACCAAAACCCTACATGTGCATGGATGAAAATGCAACCGAAGCAGCAGCAGAAGAGGAAAACAAGAAGGGTGCACGAGTATGGAAAACAACTGGACAGACATACCACTCAAAAGGCACCACGCAGATTCATTTATGTGAAAACATCCAATCCCAGACACACCCAAGCCTGCTGCACCAACGCTGAGGTGAGGTGGCTAAGGAGAGTGTGGTACCCACACAGAGGGTTAAGGCACGTTACCTGAGCAGACCATGGGTGGGGCAGGCGGGAGGTATACTATATTCCGTTTGCCGGCTGCAATGTTATCAGCAGCAGCGACCACACACTCTCCGCCGGCGCCCCAGCAAAAGGGAGCGACGGCATTGGTAGTGCCACAGATGGCGCACTCAGCAGGGTGGTCTCGTCAGAGGCGCACTTCGAGGGATTGGAGAGGCAGCACATAGAGCCGGCGCAGGTGGTGAGTGAATGGGTGGCGACGTTCGTAATGTAGTTGTCTGCGATGTAGAGCGACTTCAAGGCTGTACCCATGGCTGGGATGCTTCCAGTGAGGAAGTTAGCACTGAGCCCTCTGAGGAGATGAGAGTGGGGGTACAGAAGAGTATGTGACGAGGGGTTGTGTATGAGGGGAGGGAGGGGAGACAAGAAGCACAGTTGAGAGAATGAAAAGGGTCTGAAAGCCATATATTTGAAGGTAAGGTATGGTACGGCATGATGCTACTTACAGATTTGTGAGTGCTGGGAGATTCACGAGGTACGAAGGGACTGAGCCGTAGAGATAGTTGCCATCTAGTGATCTGCCAAGTGAAGGGCGGGATAGTTGGTGGCCAGATTAATGACACTCACTCAGGCTGACGAAGTGCGGCTTGCTGCAATTGAACCTGCTCCTACCGACACTCAGATTCGAGAAGCAAAATCATAGTTCTGAGAGAGCAGCAAACTCTCCTTCCAGATGAATGTTTGCCCCTTGCATCCCTTTAACTATGCGGCAAGGGTACTGCTTGTTGATATGTGAAATCAATATGCCAGGACATGAATACGCTCTTATGGTGAAGCTGATTTTTCTCCAGTTGCAGACAAGTGCATGGATTACTACCCCTTCAACGGCAATGTTGTTCAACGTACAAGCTCAAGCTCACATAATTGTGACTGCACACATGCTCTTGACAGCTCACAGTTCCTTTAGAGATGTACACCCCTTGAGGCTGGAGGCGAAGTCTTCCAAGCGGCCGGTGAGAAGATTTTGTTGAAGTACTCTGATTGAGGGCAGGCGGATGGGAACACAGAGAGTACATGCATGACGTGGCATGGCAGCACATGGCATGACGTGGCAAGGCATCAGAGGCATAGAAACAGCAGGCAGAGATGCTTCCATGTTTGAGGAGAGGGACTGACAGATCCGTGAGTCCAGTGAGCTTGGACATGTCAGCAGGCAGGGTGGCGACCTTCAAAGACAAGATGTTGAAGTTGCTGCAGACAAGTGCATGTGGTACAACGGATAGGGAGCAGTGGGAGAAAATTGACCGTATGGATGGATGGATGGAAAGATGAAGTGCGAAGAGTGGGGCAGCCCATTGGTATGCCTCAAGTTGTTTGAAATACTTGCAACTTATGATTTTTTGGAACACTCACACAGACGTGTGTTCTTGGAGCACTTACAGTAGTAAAGGTGATCCGCCAACGGAGCAAAGAACACGATCCCAGGTGGTAACTCCGAACGGGGTATTGCCGAAGCCCGCAACACAGAGAAGGGATGCATCCCACGTTGTGCTCGTCAATCCAAGAGATGACTTGATGGATAACATCGTGGACACTGCATGGAGAGATTCCGGGGGTGAAGAGAAAGGCGGAAGAGGACGGATTAAGCACGATTTGGGGAGGGGTTGAGAGAGGGAATGTGGAGGAGGACATATGCACGGGCAAAGGATGCAATTTGATTGGTACGTGCAGGAAATATGTGGAGTGCAGGGAGAGGGTGGGAGGGGTATTGGTGATGGCGTTAGGAGGGAAGGCCTACCTGAGCCAGCGTTCATGAGGACTAGAGGAGCATTCCCTGTACCAATACACACAGAGAACAGTAAGGCACGAACCAACAGAACAGATGGACAGAATTCAGGTGGAAAATAGCTGAAAAACGTGGAGAATGACTGGGGGAATTTTGATGTAAAAGGGACATGTAGATGGATGGTGGCCTTGAGCAAGAAACAGGCAGAGCGCTGCACTCCTATTTCAATGGTGGTGGTCCACCACATGCCCGGCCACGTCATATCAATTCCTCGACCCCGTCCTTAAGTTGGCGTTTCCATTGTGCTCTTTTCGTATATCCTCTGCTCTCTGCCATCAACAAGCGACACAAACCCTGGCAGGCCAAGGACACCGGCGGCAGCGAGGGGACGTTGACAATCCCCTGGCTGACTGGCAGAGAGCTGTTGGCGGAGCAAAGTCCACCAGAGCACAGCGTGCCCTGCCCGTCCACACGCAACACGCACCTGGACAAGTCAAGGCCACCGGCGGCAACGAGGGGACGTTGACGATTCCCTGGCTGACTGGCAAGCTGTCGGCAAAACACATTCCACCACTGCACAGCGTTCCCTGCCCGTTGGTCGTGCCGCAGATGGCGCAGGCAGAGGAGAGGCGCTGCAGCGCGCCATAGGTGCGGCAGTAGGAGGAGTTGAGGAAGCAGTTCTGGTCAGCCGCACAACTCTTGAGAGAGAGCTGGGGGAAGGAGCCCGAGAGGAAGTTAAAGCTCACGTCCAGAGCGACCAGGGAGGTGGAGAGGGTGGGCATGGTGCCCGTGAAATAGTTGGAGAAGAGGCCTCTGGGGTGTACAGAGGGGGGGGGTGGAGAGGCGAGCACAGGAAACGGAAGAAACAGCACAGATGTGATAGAGGAGAGGGTGAGACCAGGAAGGCCTGTAATGAGGCTCCACAGGGTGGCTTCTAGAAGCTGTGTGTTTGGCTTACAGGGTGGTAAGCTGTGGCAGGGAGGCGATGAAGGAGGGAATGGTTCCCGAGAACCAGTTGTTGAAGAAGCTGGAGGGTAGAAGCAGGGATGCACCAGAAGAGAAGAGAACGAGAGGTCCACATAGAATGCATTTTGAGAACGGCCAGAGGAAGCTTGGCTTTACTATGCAAACACCACACACTACACATTAGCAATGATTGGAACGAGTTTACAGCTCTTATAGAGGAGAAGGTACTTACAGCGCCTTTAAAGAGGTCATGTCTTTGATTGGTGTGGCAAACCCGGTGAGACCAAACTGAAAAAGATTGTAGCCGAAATCCCTAAAGCAGGTGGGGGAGAGGCAAGAATGTGAAGCGCATATCTGGAAGGGAAGAGATGTGCTGTAGGCAGGTCGCAGGATGGGTTGGAGCGAAGGACACTGACTTGGGAGAGAAGGACGGCCGTTCACCATGGACACGTGATGAGAGAACAATACTGGTATGTTCATGTCCGTTCCCACCTCCTGGGCCAGCCGCTGGCAGCAGCAGGGTGGTCTTCAATTGCAGAACCAGAAACTTCCTGTCCTTGGTGTGTGGCACCAAGGCACTTGACTCGACAACTAGGCATTCCCTTTGCAATGCAGTCAGCCTGTCTGTGTATACGTGTCCCATGTTCTTGTGTGTGTGCCCCCTAGTTCACACTTACAGGTAAGTGAGTGCGGTGAGCTTGGAGATGTCCGAATCAATAGACCCCGTTAGATTCTGACGCGCCACCGAGCTGAGGGGGAGTGATGGGAAGAGGCAGAGGGATGGGTGTAGAAGGAGTTGATAGAGGAGGACCGCTAGTTACCTGTCTGACACCCTTCTTCCCTCCCTCAAAGCTTTAGCATGCATGCATGGGTGCTCACATGGAAAACACGTCTCCAGCATCACTACAGAGCACGCCGGACCACGTGGGCTGTGCGGCAGCCTGCTTGCCAACCACTTGGCACGGCACACTTGCTGCCCACGAGGTGAACGTCAGTCCCAGCGATGCCTTGAGCGACAGCAGTGCTGGCGACGGGAGAGAAGGGGGGGGGGGGGGGGGAGTCAAAGGAGTCGAGAACACGCAGCACAAGGTAAAAGTGGGGCATTGGGATCATAGATTGCAAGAAACACAAACCACACTGCACCTGCATGGGCCATGGATATTTTGTGATTGTTACAAGACAAGGCAGAACGCACACACACCTGCAGCACCGCTAGATGACACGGAAGTTAGAATACCGCCTGCAGGAGTACAGTGAAGGGAGTATGGGCAATATAGAAGATAGGCAGGTGAGTGTATCATCATCATGAGCAGCAGCAGCAGCAGCAGAAGTAGGAAGAGCAGAATGGAGTTAGGATCTCCCGGTTCCAGACACACCCTAGCCTGCTGCACCAACGCTGAGGCTAGGTGGTTAAGGAAAGTGTGGATCCACACGGAGGGTTAAGGCACGTTACCCGAGCAGAGCATGGGTGGGAGAGAGCTCAAAAAGGGTGAATTCGTTATGCCGGCTGCAATGTTAGCCGCAGCGGCGACCACACACTCTCCACCGCCACCCCAGCATAAAGGAGCGATGGCATCGGTAGTGCCACAGATGGCGCACTCAGCAGCAGGTCGCTGGGTATCGGAAGAGGAGCACTTGGAGGGATCAGAGAGGCAGCAAGTAGGCGCGAAGCACGTGGAGAGTGAATGGGTGCCCACGCTGGAAATGTAGTTGTTTCGGAGGTAGAGCGCCTGCAAGACTGGTCCCATTGCTGGGACGCTACCAGTGAGGTAGTTACCCATTAAAGTACTGTGGAGAGGAGGGTGGGTGGGACAATCGGTGTGTAGGTTGTGATGAGAATGGGTATGAGAGAGAAGGGGAGATAACAAGCACAGTCGAGAGAAGGAACAGGGTATGAAGGGTATGGAATTGTGTTACTTACAGCCCTGTGAGTGCTGGGAGATTCACAAGGAATGAAGGGACCGAGCCGTAAAAATAGTTGTAATTCAGAGATCTGCCAAGTGCATGGCAGGGGAGTTGGTGGCCTGATTGATGTCACTCCCTCACTCAATCAGGCTCCTGACTCATGGCTCGCTGCGATCGAATTTACTCCTACCAGACTACCAGTACTGAGAGCAGCTCTCCTTCCAGTTACCTGCATGCCACATCCAACCCTTTGACTATGTGGGAAGGTTAGTGCTTGTTGAGTTGAGAAGTGAAGACATTATGAACACATGGATGTTCTCTTATTGCTCCTTTTGCAGCCAAGTGCATGGCTTCTTACTCATTGATCAACAAGGTTCTCGATTCTCAACTACTCAACTTACTGGCTCACATGAACTGGATTGTTCTAAATGCTCTTGGTTGCTCACATGCTCTTTATTGCTCACATGCTCTTCACTGCTCACAGGTATTGTAGAGAAGTAGAGCCCTTGAGACCAGAGGTGAAGTCTTCCAAACGGCCAGTGAAGAGATTAGCTGCAAGGGTTCTGATTAAGGGCAGGGCGATGGGATCACAGGCAGTACATGCATGGCATGGCATGTCAGTGGAAGGCAGGTGGGCTGCGGAGGCCTTACATCCATCAATCTCGTATGTTGTTTTAGGACAACGAAACGAACCCTGTGGGTTTGATGAGAGACAGGAAAAAGAAGACTGGTTGAGTGCGTGTCTTAGAGAGCCAGTTTAAACAAATCCTCAGCACACAGACATGCGTGAGAGAAAGAAACACGTGTTGAAGTTGTGCGACAATGTTCTTATGTTTCTACGTTTCTTGAAATTCGAGGGAGGGGGAGAGAGAGAGAGGACCGCTCGAGAGAGGGAGTAGGAAGTTGAGGCCTGGACTGTTTTGTAAGCGCGAATCCTATATCTCCTGCATGTGTGTACCCCGTCTATATCAATGAATGGACAATTGGAGAGAGAGAGGGAGCGCGAGAGAGAGAAACCGGGGACCCAGGTTTGCTTACCAGGGCGAGCTCGCTCGCCGTGCTCCAGGTTTCCCATGCCTTGGCGGTGGAAAATCACAAGTACCCCCCTCCCCCAGTGTCCACACTTACCTGAAGGAGTGCGCCCACCTGGCGGCAAGGCGACGCTTCAGCGCAGTGCTGGCCTCCTCAGAAGCGGCAAAACTTCTGGCAGAGTGTCGGCAGAGCTGGAGCGTCACACTCCAGCGTGCACAGGCGGATGAGCTCGGCCTACAAGGCCAGTCTGCCCCTGTGAGCAAGGGGCAGCTGTACCAGCTGATAGAAGCACCATCCGACCACTAGGTCGGAGGGATAGAGGTAGGATACGTGTGTGTGTGATGCTTGTGCTTCCTTCCTTTCTACAGTTTTGCTCATAGTAGACTTATGCCAGTCTTCTGTGTGTTTCTTTCTCAATCTAATACAAAGGATCGTTCAAGAGAGAGACTGACATTTGTGAGAGGGCAGTGAGCTTGGAGATGTCAGCAGGCAGGCTGGAACCCTTCGCTGCCGTAAAATCTGCGTACCTGCAAGCAAAACTCAATGTACGGAGGGTTGAAGGGATTGAAACAATTCTAGCCATATGGATGGTCATGGATCCACAGAAGAAATGCAAATAGTGTCTGTCATCCCAGTTACGAGTGGTGCTGATAAGAGAGATGGTAGTGCCGCTGTCGTGCACTGGACATGTAAACAGGAGCCTAGCAGGGACATGCAGAGCAGAATCAATCACCAAGTATGCTTCAAAAGATTTGCTAATTTAAATATTTCTTGAAGCGTTCACTCAGATGTGTACCAGTCGAGCACTCACAGTTGATTGGGTGACCCGTCTATGGAGCAAAAAACACTTGACCAGTAAGTGATCCCTGGCGGTAGAGGTCCGTTGCCCGCAAGGCAAAGAGAGGAGGAAACCCAATCTGTGAACGTAAAACCCAGGGATGACTTGATGGATAGTATCACAGTCACTGGATGGAGAGAACAGGGAGGGAAAGGGCAAAGTGAAGGAGGGTGGATTATGCATGATTCTGGAAGGGCTGATAGACAGAATGTGATAGGCGTATGCAAGGGTGTATGCCACTCTTGATTGGTGGATGCAGGGAATGAGTGAGAGTGCAGGAAGACAGTGGGAAGGGCATGGGTGTTGGCGTTAGGCCCACCTGAGGCGGGATTCATCAAAACGGTGGGACGGTATCCTGTACAGGCACCACGGGAAGATGCAGGGGCACAAACCAGCATTACATTCAGTCGGACAGAATTCAGGTAGAAAATGCTTACAACAAAAAGTGAGAGAACCTTGATGTGAAATCAATATGCCATTAGATAGTGGCAATGAACAGGCAACGTGCAGCAGTTGCATTCTCAATTAGCGGTGGTTGTTCACCAGGTGTTAGGACATCATATTATTTTGCCTGCCCTTGAATGGCCGTGTTTTTTTTTGCTCAATAGATTCTTAGCATTTCTCCAATTCTCTCTGCCACTCAACATGCACACGCATCACTCACCCGAACAAGTCAAGGACACCAGCGGCACCGAGGGGGTGTTGACAATCCCCTGACTGACTGGCAGAGAGCTGTTGGCGGAGCAAAGTCCACCACTGCAAAGCGTTCCCTGCCCATTGGTTGTGCCGCAGATGCCGCAGGCAGAGGCGGGGCGCTGCATCGAGCCGTAGGTGCGGCAGTAGGAGGAGTTGAGGAAGCAGTTCTGGTCGGCCGCACAGACCGCGAGGGAGAGCTTGGGGAAGGAGCCCGAGAGGAAGTTAAAGCCCACGTCCAGAGCGACCAGGGAGGTGGAGGGGATGGGCATGGTGCCCGTGAGGTAGTTGGAGTAGAGGCCACTGGGGGGAAGTGGGCGGGAACAGGGAGTAGCGGAGGGGTGTTGGGCGGGGGCAGATGGGGGTGCGTGGAAGGGAGAGGGGGCGAGTGGGGGAAGAACCAGCAGACAGAAGAGGCATGCGAGTGAGACGAGTGACATGTGAGAGACGTGAGGGTATCCAGGCACGAGCGGAGGAAAGGCCAGCGACAAGGCTCCTGCATGCATCTGTGTTTTGCTTACAGTGTGGTGAGCTGTGGCAGGGAGGCGATGAATGAGGGAATGGATCCAGAAAACCAGTTGTAGTTAAAAAAGCTGGGGGGTAGAGGAACGGGAATGCACCGGGAGGAAGGTAGAATTCACTCAAAACGGCCAGAGGGGGGAATGGTTACAAAATGAGAGTGGAATTTCCCCTCAACTTGGCTCTAGAATGCCATACACTACACTCTACATGCCAATGATCGGAACAACTTTACAGCTCTTAGAGAGCGGAAGGTACGTACAGCGCCTTTAGCGTAGTCATGTCCTTAAATTGTGTGACAAACGCTGCAAGACTGCCTTGAAGAAGGTTGTAACCGAAATCCCTAATGTAGGTGGGTGGGGGAGAAAAGAGTTTTGTGAAGCACATGTCTGGAAGGGAAGGGCTGTTCTGGGGTAGCATGGCTTGGAGGGAGACACTAAGAAGGCCATTATCTAGGCCACCATCACATTAGCAGCTCAAGTTACCCTCTCGAATTTCCCGCTCTTCCTCAGATGCGAAATTCGCCCTCGTTCTCAGGTGTATAATTCACCTGCGCTTTTGCAGATGTACGCGTGCATGCATGATCACCTGCTCTGGGGAACACGAAGGAACACGGCCGTCCACCATGGATGGACATATGATGAGAGCACAGACTGGTCAGTCCGTGTCCCTTCCATATCTCCCTTAAACCGTGCCCAAATGACTGGCCATGAGGCGGCCGCCAGGAGCAGAAGGCTGGTCTCCCGGTATGCAAGCAGCCTGTTATGAGTGTGCAATACAGACAGCGTGTCTGTCTGAGTGTGTGTTACAGATTCTTATTTGTGCACTCCCTGATTCACCCTTACAGGTAAGTGAGCGCGGTGAGTTTCGAGATGTCCGAAGGAAGAGACCCCTTGAGACTCTGGCGCGGCACCGAGCTGTAGGGGGTGATGGGAAGAGGCAGATCGTTGGGTGTGCGAGGAAGGTGAGGCTGAAAGATCAGCCGTCTGTCCCCCTCACCCCCCCATTAAGCTGTCTCCCTTTAGCACTGAAATCGTGCTGTGAAGTGTCACGACTTGACACTTCAAGCACAAACCTGCAACGAAAGGTGACAAAGGTTTGGATTGGTTTGCAAAATTTCGCGTTTTGTGCTATCCTCACCCCATGCTTACCTGCGTCCCTGCCCCATCGCTCCACTACCCTGCTACCCCGCCACCCCGCCACCCCGCTGCCCACTCACATAGACTCCACGGAGCCGGCGGGATTGCACAAGACGCCAGTCCACTCGTTCGTAAGGGGTGTTAATAGCCCGGTGACGCGGCAGGGGGTGGTGGAGGCCCACGTGGTGAGGGTCACACCCAGAGCAGCCTTCAACGCCATCATTGCATCGGCTGCCGAGAGGTGGGGGAGGGTCCAGCGGGTAAAGGGGGAGCGAGAAATATTGCAAGAGTGAGAGGGTGCAGGAGTGCAAGAGTGCGAGGGTGTGAGAGCACAATTGTGCAAGGGTGTTGTGTAAGTGCTACAAGAGTGTGAGAGTGAATGAAAATGTGCATGGAAGAATGCAAGATTACAAGAGTGCTAGAGGAAAGATTGCGAGAGTGCAAAAATGCAAAAAATGCAGGACAGAAAGATTGAGAGAGCGCAAGACTGCAACAGTGCGAGGGTGCAAGACTGCAAGGGTGCAGGAGCACAGGATTGCAGGTGCGGTGGCAGCGGGTTATCTGAGCGGCATGTGGCGCACTCACCCTGAGCTGCAACGAGAATGACGGTATAGAATGGACACCTCAGTGGCAAATCAGCTTGCACAAGGTTTATAGTCTTGGCAGAAATTCTCGCTTCGTCATCCGGATCGCACGACTGCCCCGGGGTACACAGTGTGCCGGTGCCATCAGTGCTGCCGCAGATGGCACAGGTGGCTCTCGAACGCTGACCCGTATTTGATCCGCCGCACGTGCCGGCGGAGCTAAGGCAGTTGCTGGTGCAGCCGCATGTGGTCCAGGGGGCGGACGGCAGAGAGCCCACAAAGTAGTTGCTGTCAAACTTGAGCGACTTGATCTTGGTGATGGTGGATGGGAGGGAGCCGGTGAGGTAGTTGGTTGAGATGTCCCTGTGGGAGTGTGTTGGACAGGGGGGTTTTGGGGGTTGTGAGTGCGGGGTAGCAGTGATCTGGGGTGCGGAGGAGGAGGGGGAAATTGGGGTAGCAGAGGTGGGGGAGCGAGAATATGGGGAGGAAGACAGATGGGGGGGGGAAGGGTGGATGGCATACAGGGTAAGTGGACAGCAATTGCTCTATACTTACAGAGAAGTAAGGCTCGTCGAGTCTAGGATGAAGCTTGGGAACTGTCCAGAGAAATACATATAGGCCATGGACCTGTCAGGAAATGAGGGAGGGAGGGAGGGAGGGAGGGAGGGAGGGAGGGAGGGAATGAAGGAGGGAGGGAAGGAAGGAAGGAATGAAGGAGGGAGGGAACGAAGGAAGGAGAGAAGGAAGGAGGGAAGGACGGAAGGAAGGAAGGAAGGAGGGAAGGAAGGACGGAAGGACGGAAAGGACGGAAGGAGGGAAGGACGGAAAGGACGGAAGGACGGAAGGACGGAAGGACGGAAGCAGGGAAGGAGGGAAGGAGGGAAGGAGGGAAGGAGGGAAGGAGGGAGGGAGGGAGGGAGGGAGGGAGGGAGGGAGGGAGGGAGGGAGGGAGGGAGGGAGGGAGGGAGGGAGGGAGGGAGGGAGGGAGGGAAGGAAGGAAGGAAGGAAGGAAGGACGGAAGGAAGGACGGAAGGACGGAAGGACGGAAGGACGGAAGGACGGAAGGACGGAAGGACGGACGGACGGACGGACGGACGGACGGACGGATAGACATGTAGGGACAGTAGCAGCCACGGATGCTCACAATTTTTGGAGGGCGGAGAGGCCAGTGAGATACTTGAGGTAACTCCCCATGCTGCCGTCCAGCAGGTTTCTATCCATCGCTCTGCGAGCAAAACCGTGGCAGAGACAGGTTCCAGGGCAAAACAATGTCTAGGATCAGTACGATGTAGCATCGAGGGAGGAAAAGCATCGTAAAGGGTGTATACTCACAATGACGTGAGCGCCGAAAGTACGGTCAGTTGGCTGGGGAGGTCCTTGCGGACTATAGATTGACCACTCAAATCCCTGTCAGCAACTCACGCACAGAAATCCGAATTGGAGAGATCGGGCCAGCACCCACACACACACGCACGCACGCACACACACACACGCGCACGCACGCGCGCGCGCGCGCACACACACACACACACACACACACACACACACACATATTAGGCCGCGGTTATTGATCAGTAAGAATAAGCAATTGCTTAGGGCTACAAGTGAGATTTGAACGACAGCAAGCACGCTGAGAGCACAGCACAGGCCGGCTTACATTGCAATCACGTCCCCGCTAGTGGAGCAGGAGATTCTGTCCCAATCAGCACTCGTCGTAGTAGAAGGGTCATAGCAGCTGGGGGTAGTAGTGGTTGACCACTTGGTGTACGTCAAACCCAGCGCGGACTTGATGGCTACAAGCGCTGACACTGCGAGAGGGCGGCGGGTGGCAGTGGGAGAATATCCGGGTTAGGGATGACAACTAACCGTAGCACTAGCTTGGCAGATGCATGTGTTTCTAGGGGTTGGCGGGAGAGCCTGAGGCTAGAATTGTGATGCAGAAGAATGCTAGACTACTACTAGTACCATCCTCCTTAGTTTGGTACCGTTACTACCGCATTGTGGCGGCGCTTGCCACGGACAAAGGGTTTCATGATGAGAAGAACTACCACTACTAGTACTACTACTACTGCTACTCAGCACGGTGCCAACCTTGCGCTGGCTTGATGGTGCTTGCGTGCACCGTGACGCCGCTAGATTGGTTCCCCGGCTGACTGCCGCCCGGCCAAGTGCCGCCGCTCGACAGAAGCAGCAGCACGGCCATCACACAGGCGAGTCGTGCCGCCATGGCTCCTACAAACTCTCTAACCGTCATTGCCTGACGAGCGTTAGTACTACTACAATTCTTCGAAAGCTAGCGATACTCTTTGGATCAAATGGAAGCGCCGCTGGTTGTATAATCATACTGCAAGCCGTCCTTCTGTCCTCCTCGCTCTCTCTCCCTCCACCCCCTTCCCCCTCTTCCCCCCAATCCCCCACCCCACTCCCCCGGGCCGTCTCCCCTCTAACACCACCCCCCCCAACCACCCGCCCCCCCCTCCTCCTCCCCCCCCGTCGGGAAACCTTATCATCTTTGCTGAAGGGGTTCACGGCACGCGTCGGGTGTGGTTGCAAAATGGTCGGCGCCACCCTATCCAAACCTAATCGGCCGAAGCGACGGATATGGCTAGCTTCGGGGGACTGGAAAATAGTAATGCTGCCGCCAGCGGAATAGAGGAGAGTGTTCATCTACGTAGATGCACAGTATCTTGTCCGATTTGGGTGCTGCAGTAATGCACGTGGGCAATACACCCACGTGGCACTTCTCGGACCTTCTCACCAGCGCGTGATGTACTATGTATGTATAGGTTTTTGAAAAAGACTGACTGTCTCGTACTATGTACTATGTATAGGTTTTGCTACATTCAATTTACTCATAGAACGACGGCCAAACATTTTTGGCATTTTTTTAAAACCTTTGAGTTGCGGGCACTGCCCGCACCACGCAACGCTGAATACAGTACCCTCCCCACCATTCCTACACCCAAAACGACCGTTTTGTCCCGAAAGGCATACAGTGTACTGTTTTGGCTTCACTGAATAGTGGGGCTTCGTGTCTGTCCTTTGATGCAACCTACAGTATCTCGTCGGCGGATGCGTTTCAAACGTGGTGAGGATGGGAGGTGGGGGGGGGACTGGGATCGGACTCGGTGTGGTTGCTTCTGGCGAAATGCGAGTGTCTCGCCAGTGTTTAGCGTCCGGAAGAGACACTCACTCGATCGCTTGGGCAATAGCGCTTTTGGGAGCGGTCAAGCTTACTGTAGGAGGGAAGCCTGGCTGGGACTGACATGAATTGCCGTGAACCTTATCGATCTGTAAGGGTTCACGCACGCGTCGTGTGGTTGAAAATGCTGAAGCCGGCGCTATCCTTGATGTAACCTATTTCGGCGGCAGTTGCGTTTCAAGCGTGACGGATGGGGACTCTGATGGGAGGGACCAGACGTGCGGAGCTTACGCCACATTGAGCGGGATTGGGGTACCGTTCAGAACAATTTCGTACAGAAACAAACATCGTCCTTTGTTTGTTTCTCCATGAACAAACACCTTATCTCATGAACAAACATCTTATCAAATCGAGCAGCATATTCGCTCAGTGTGTCGCTGACCCGAATTTTGGGATGGTGCCTTGGCTGCCCACTGAAACTGTACTGTATCGTCGTCACAACAGAACCTCCTACAGATGTGCTTGCTGCTGGCGAAATGTGAAACTTTACACACAGCATTCCTTGCAGAGTGTATGCGGAGAAACACTCACTCCATAACGATTCAAAATGGGAAATGGCCACACGTACTGTACACGTACATATTGGAGTGTAATTGGTCAAGCTTAGTGTAGTACGAAGGGAAAATATGCCACAAGTAACCAACTTGGAACTCGATAACGTGAATGGTAAAAAAAAAAACGCGTACGGTCACTGTATCGGGTTTTCTGACGGGTTTGGTAAGCGGGGTCACGGATTCAGTCACTAACAACAGGTAAAAAATCACGCGAATGGTCACACATGTAACTCCCGCCAAAAAAACATGAAACTAAACAAAATTCCCGCTCGCGCCGAACCAATCTGCGAACTTGTAAAAAAACTAAAACCCAATCGGAATCGGATACGGTTTGGGAACGGATCAACCCTAAACACCTGGCGAGTTACGTGTTTAGGGTTGATCATCCGAAAATGCATCCAGGTTCTTTCTGGGTTTCATTTTGTTTTGGCGGGAGTTTCATCTGTGACCATTCGCGTTTTTTTTTACCAGCTGATTGTGACTGATTCCGTGAAACGCTTTATCAGTCGCGTGAAAACACCCTTTGCAGTGACCGTACCCTCTATTTTTTTACCAAAAATGTTTTTGAGTCCCATGATGGTTACGAACGGCATATTTTCCCTAGTACGAAAGGCCTGTAGAGGCTTGCATGAAAATGGGTTCTAAGTTACAACTGCCGGCGCTTCGTACATTTCCTATCGTGTATCATTGCATCTAAAAAAAAAACGTGTTCTCTTTCCCTCACCACTCACTTGACACATAGCACTAATATATATATTAGTGACATATAGCATTTCATTGTGTGTGCTACAATACGTTGAACAATCAAAAGTATTCTGGCATTATTTTGCACACCCTGGAAACACAAAACCAGCCATCACAATTGGCTATCTACAAATAATTCACTGCTTTGTAAGGAATATCTCAACGAGGCCTGTCGCTACAAGTGCATTTGCACTTTTTACTCTGAAATTCAAGTGTTGTCTTGGGCTCATCTCAGCCATTTTCATGGCTGGCTTTGAGGCCAACCTGTTTCCTTACAGGCTGATTTGGCCCTTAACCCGTATTTCAGGTATACGCTCTGTTACGAATAGTAAATTGAGAAGAACACTGTGCACTCCTGACAGCAGCAATCGAGTCACACAGCACCGATGCTGAAGACGAAGAGGCGGAATGACACGAAGGGTCGCGCACTGTTACGGAGCATCTGGACCGTCAGGGCAGACAGCATTAGGCAGCAGCAGTGGCGAGGATTCTGCCTGAGCAGTTAGTAACCGTCTGGAGTCGCACGGTTGGATTTTGCTGCAATAAGGGAATGTATCCCTTAGAGTACATGGCTAGCATAGGTCGATTCGTATTTCCTTGTACTCTTATTTATACGTTTGTATTTGCATGTTTCAATCATCTCAATCATTTACATTCACTCTGATCTGGGGTCAAGGGCCCATCACTACCACACACATTCTCTGCGAACCTTCCCGAGGTGATCCTAGGGGCGATCAACTTTGAATCGCAGCATGGTATGAGAGTGAGTCGGGAATCCTTCGCACTGCCACCTCCGAAACTCTCGACGAATGAAGGTGGCGTCCGGCACACGCTCATGCGTAAGAATGGCCGGATGATCTGGATGTTACAAAAATCTGACTGCTGAAGCGCAGTCCAACCCGGCTGCGATAAACGAGGAGACGACGACGCCCTCAGCGACTTTCTGTCAAACTTATACTCTACAGTTTGTTTAAGCTGTAGTGGGGTAGTTACTATGGAGTACATCAAGTTTAGGTTTTCCTACTTGTACCCACCCATTTCCTAGTGCATTCACTCTTGTTCATTCTGACATGGTATCAGAGCCTAGGTTAGGCACCTAGGACCGCTTAGTACTACGGGCCCACCGTTCCGCTAGAAGCGCCCTCGTGCGCCCTGCCTTCCTCGCGCCCTCGTGCGCCTCTCTCTGCTCGTGCGCCCTCGCGCGCCCTCCCTCTCGCGCTGCCCGCGCGCAGTCCGCTAACCGCGCGCGCGCAGCCCGCTAGCCGCCCGCACACGGCCCGCTTATCGCGCGCGCAGCCCGCTAGCCGCCCGCGCGACCAGCACCGCCCGCGCGCAGCCCGCGACGGCCTCGTGCGGCCCCGCGCGCAACCCGCGCGCCGCAGCTGCTCGCACGCCGGCCGCTGCAGCCCGCGCGTAGCTCGCTGCCCGCGCGCAGCCGCAGCCCGCGCGCAGCTGCGGCCCGCGCGCAACCGCAGCCTGCGCGCAGCCTCACACCAGCGCGCAGGCCCGCCGTCGCGCCGCCCTGCCTGTCCGAGCCGCGCCGCGCCGCCCTGCCCGAGCCGCGCCGCGCCGCCCTGCCCGAACCGTGCCGCGCCGCCCTGTCCGAGCCGCGCTACCCTACTGCTACTGCTGTTCCTGCTGCTCCTACTGTTCCTACTGCTACTGCTGCTACTGCTACTGCTGCTACTGCTACTGCTGCCCCTATGGCTAGTCCCACCGTTCTCTCTTTCGATGCTGAGGGCCGTCCGATTCAGTTTGATGCTTGGCTCGACGACCTGCACCTGTTCCTACAGATCACTGCTAAGGACGATATCTCGCTGTATGATCACGCGTCCGGAACCGCTCTAGCACCTGCTGAGACTGCTGACAGTACAGCTCGTTCCCAGTGGCAGACTCGTGACGCTCACGCTCGCCTAGCCATTCGCAGCCACCTGCCGTTAGATGAGCGCGCGCATTTTGGCCAGCACAAGACTGCTAAGGCACTGTACGATGCTGTAGTCGCGCGCTACTCCTCACCTGCCTCTGCTACGATCGGCCGTCTCTCGCTGCCCTATCTTTTCCCCGATCTGTCCGCCTTTCCCACCGTCGCTGACCTCATCACCCACGTCCGCACCAGTGACAGTCGCTACCGTGCCGCCCTTCCTGCTGAGTTTCTCGCCAACAACCCCCCCCCCCCCCCCGATGTACCTCACTCTCTACCACCTCGTCACCCGTCTCCCTGATTCTCTTCGCGCAGTCAGGGACCAATTTCTCGCCCTCTGCCCCATTGAGCTCACCGTTGACCTGCCCGAGAAGCACCTGCTTGCAG